ATGGCTGATGAGAAAGATACATACAATCAAGCTATTGTATCCCTGATGCCTTTATCCTTGGAAGTCAGTAACTAATACTAATCACTTTATCATACATTCTGCAACAAAAGTAGATATTTGAATTTTTCTCAGCTAGTTCATCTATCTATGGGTGAACATTACTTATTTTAGATGGCATTGTTTCTCCCCAGCTGAAGAAGATGGGAGCCATTCAACTTGATTCAGCTTGTTCCCTCATTCCCATCTTCCCACAAGTTTAAAATGCAGCAAACTATTCCTCTCCCCACTCTCCAAGCTGAGAACTTGTCTGAAGGTCAATGAACCATTGACCTTGACAGCCCCTGATGCCCTTGGGGGTGAGAAAGGGAGGAGAGAGATAGCTGGTGCTGAGAGAGGGGCACCAAGATGGGAGCTGCCTGCATCCCCTTCTTCCTTGAATTGTGCATGGAAATTCTCCCTATGTGAGTCAACTAGAGGGCACAGAAGGCAGCTGAGGCTTAAAGCTTCTGCTGGCACTCTCCAAGAAGCCCCTCCAGACAGTGATCCCCCAACAACAAAAGATTGCCCCTGGCAGGAACTGGTGGTCAAGTCCAAGAGAAAGAGGTTGAGGCTGGCCTCTCCTAAGTTAGAGAGTGCACAGGGAGCCATGATGTATCCAAAGTAAGAAAGCTGGCATCCAAAGTAAGAAAGTTGGCATCTGGACTCCTGCCACAATAGGAAATCTGCTACTGAAGTAGCAACAAGAGGCAGAAAGAGAACAGAGAACTCTTCATGGTCAGTCTTACAGAGAACATTCTTTCCCCCTCCTCCTCATCCCTATTTGGGAAGAGCAAGAGCCAAGGGGAGAGGAAGGGAGTGACATTACCAACCTCTCCAGCAAGAGCCATTGTAGCCACAAGTCTACCTGTACCAGGAGAATGGGAAGAGCTATAAATACGAAGTTAAAGATTTAAAATGGGCAGGCCTAAAGCATAATACTTGGAATGAGACTGTAGTCATTACTGAAAGTGAGTGCACTATTATGGGACCAGAGTAGAATATTTCTAAGGGAATCTGCTATTCAGGGACCAAGAAGATTGCTAGAGACAGTGGTGATGGTTAATGGAGAAAAAATAAAATTGTTTCTCATATATACCTTATAAGTTAAGACTTTTCAAACTGGTTATATACTTATATCATAGCTTATAATTATTTACTAGTTATTGTTTGTTTTCCTCCTAAACTATAAGCACCATGGACCAAAGACTGTGACTATGCTGTTCACTATTGTATCCCTCTAGAGGACAGCATATGTGCTCCCCCAGAATGTGTTGAAAGAAAATGTCTCATCTTTTAAAGAAACAAACTAAAATATCTACAGAGTAAGCAATGTGATGGCTAAGGTGTACTTTAAAATAACTCAGGAAGGCAGGGTGAAAGAGTGGGTAGGGATATAAGTAGAACAGATTGATAATTCTTGAAGCTGGATGATGGGCACAGGGTTCATTATAATTTTCTCACTCCTTTTCTTAACTTTTAAAAATTGTGGTAAGATCATAATTAGCCTTCTTTAATTTAAAACGTTTCTCAACATAATATGAAAACATTCAAATACACATAAAAGTTAAAAGTGAACCCCTGTGTAACTACCATGGAGATTTGACAATATTAACATTTTGTTGTATTTGCTTTATCTATATCTATCCATCTACACATTTATCCATCTTATTTTTGATGCATTTCAAGGTAACTTACAGACATCAGTACATTCTGCCCTTTAACACTATAGCATGCATATCATAAGAGCTCAAAATTCTTTCTATTTCTTTAAGGTAAAATTTACTTACCATGAAATCACATATTTACTACATATAAATATATCATATATTACTGCATACAAATATAACATTTATGTAATCTACAAAAATGCATACATATATTTGTCTTTATATTTAGAAATTTATAATTACAAATTATAAATTTATAATTTATAGTTATTGTGTTGTTTGTGTTCCCCCAAAATTCATATGTTGAAGCTCTAACACCCAAGATAATGGTATTTGGAGATGGGGTCTTTGGGAGGAAGTTATGGTTAGATAAGGACATGAGGATGGGGCCCTCATGATGGGATTAGTGGCCTTATAAGAGAACAGGATATTCCTCTCTCTCTCTCTCTCTCTCTCTCTCTCTCTCTCTCTCTCAACACCAACTGGGGAAAGGCCCTGTGAGGATATAGCGAGAAATCTGCAACCCAAGAAGAGAGTCTTCACCAGGAACTGAATTGGCCAACACCTTGATCTTAAACTTTCTAGCTTCCAGGACTGAGAAAGTTTCTGTTGTTTAATACAACAGTTTATGATATTTTATTATGGCAGCCTGAGCAGACTAAGACATAGTGTGATTAGGAAGCCACTGACAGGGGCTTGATGACATACTCTCTTAAAGAGCACTTTGGCTGAGTGTGGAAGGTGGAATGACAGAGGACAATAATAGATTCAAGAAGACTGGATAGAAGGCTATTACAGTAGACTGGGTCAGAGATGGTCTTAGCTTATATCCAAAAGAAGCCAAAAGAACTGAATGGGTATGAGAAATATTTAGGAAGTAAAACAGACAGGACTTGTTGATGAGAAAAATAATAGAACTACAGCATAGTGACCAGATTTCTCACAGGCTGGTGGTACCACTATTCACTGAGACTGGGAACACAGGAGAAGCAGGTTTTGGGGGTGAGCACAGGGGGATGAGTTCAGTGTTAGATATATTCCACTTGAAATGTCTGTGGGAGTCAACAGACATTTGAATACATACATCTGGAGCTTGAGGATAGGCTGGGCTAGAAATAAACCTGTGGGAGTCATGGGCATCAAAATGATCATTAAAGCCATGAGAATAGCTGAGCTTGTGTAGGGAGACATGTGTGAAGATGGCCTATGACAGAACTCAGAGACATCAAGATTTAAAAGGTGGGAAGAGGAGCAGAAGTCAGGTTAGGAGACTGAAAAGCAGCGGTAAGAGTGGTGCAGATCCAAGAAGCCTAGAGAAGACAGTGTTTCAAGAAGCATGGAGTTAAATAAACTGAATGTTTAATGGCATTTGGTGAAGACAATGTAACGAATCCCTTCACAACAAGGATGATTTCAGCCATTCGATCAGAACATCTGAAATCTGTTAGCCATAAACTCCCTGTCCGCCAGACCACTGGTTTGCAAAGTGTGGTCCCCAGAATGGTAGTATAAACATCAGCTGGGAACTTCTAGTGAAATGCAAATTTTTGGGCCCCACTTCACAGTACTGAATTAGAAACTCTAGGGTGGGGCCCAGAAATCTGTTTTTTTGTTTGTTTGTTTGTTTTGTTTTGTTTTTTATCCTCACCTGAGGACATTTTTTTGTTTGTTTGTTCAGATAGAGTGGGAGGGAGAGAGAGGGGGAGAGAGAGAGAGAGAAACATCCACGTGAAAGGGAACATCAAGTGGCTGCCACCCACACGACCCAACCAGGGCCAGGGACAAATCACAACCGAGGTACATGCCTTTAGCGGGAACCGAACCCAGGTCTCTCTGAACCGCAGGCCGACTGACTCTAACCTCTGAGCCAAACCGGCCAGGGCCAGAAATCTGTTTTTTAACCAGCCTCCTGGGTGATTCTAATACTAACTAAAATGTGACAATCATGTTCTGGCCAGTGTGGCTTGGTGGTAGAGCATCGGCCCTGCACGGAAGGGTTTCGGGTTCGATTCCCAGTCAAGGGCATGTACCTGGGTTGGAGGTTCGATCCCTGCCCCAGTGAGGGCTTGTTTGGGAGGCAACCAATTAGTGTTTCTCTCTCATCACTCCCTCTCCCTTCCACTCTCTCTAAAAATCAATGGAAAAAATATCCTCAGGTGAGGATTAACAAAAACAAAAAAGTTTGACAATCACAGCAAGAGACAGGGCTTAGATAACACCTGATACTAACTGATCTCCATTCTAATAAATACATTTTCATTTTGATCTGTTAATAGATCTCACCTAGTTCTAACAGGCAGGATTTTGTCAATACCCCACATTTATTGTAACAGATCCTATCTTGATTTTAATGATCCCGCCTTACAACCAATTACCTACCGTTTCTCCCTGTACTGGGTATATCTTTTTCATCTTTATAACCTTGCTCATTCATAACATCTAATTATTCATAGAGTCTACTACCTCATGGCTTCTCTTTGTGCATTTTTTTTTTCAGTTTCTGATCCTACTACCAACTGAACAAGTCTCCAAACCTCACCGTTTAAATCTCTGGGTGACATGGATTGTTGATGAAGCTGCAAATTGGTACAATTTAGGAGAGTAATTTGGCATCGTTTATTGAAACAACTAGGGAAACATCGCCTTTGACCCAGAAATTAAACTTCTACGCATTTTTCTTACAGATGGACTTGCACATGTGCACAGAGAATTGGGGCCTCTCTCCCCCCTAGTCCCCTGGGCTCAGCCCGAAGCCGGGTCCCCCACCCCCAGTCAGTCGGGAGCCCTCTCCCCCATCTGTTGGGGCCGGTCCCCCACCCTGGAGGGACCCCTCCAGCTCAGCCACAGGCCTGTCCACACCTCACTTCACACTTGAGTCAGCTAAAGCAGCTGGGGAAGCCACTCGCAGTCGCAGTCCCAACGCCCGCCCTCAACACCGGCCCAGACCGGCTGCAACTTGACTTTTCTCTCTTCTTCCTTCTGTTCGGTGAGGGAGGACGAGTGCCATCGACAAGCACAGTGACCGCGGCCTTGACCGGGCGGGGGACTGCCGACAGCCCGCGGCCCGCGGCCTGGGGGGCGGGGCCCAAGGGGGCGGGGCTGGGAGCGGACTCGGGACGAGAGGGGCGGGAAGGGGCGGGGCTTGGGCGGGAAGGGGCGGGGCCGGCGAGGTGATGGCCAGGGTTGTCGCCGCCGCGGCTGCCGTCTCCTCAGCAGAGGGAACCGAAGTCGCCGCCGCCAGCGCGGCCTGGGTCGCCGGTCGCCCGCGCGCCGGCTCGGCCGGGACCCGCAGCCATGGAGGACTTCATCGTGATCTCGGACGACAGCGGCTCCGAGAGCTCCGAGGGGACCCGCTCGGGCCGAGCGCGGAGGCTCCGCCGGGCCCTGTCGCGGACCCCCAGCGCGCTGCCCCGCCGGACCGTGGTGAGTGGTCGAGCCGCCGCGGCCGCAGCGCCGCTCCGCGACCGCCCGCCCGCCCGCTGTCCCCGGCGTCCCCGCCGCCGCCCGCCCGGTGGCGCCTCGCAGCTGCAGCCGCTTCCCGCTTCGCAGCCTTCCGGGCCCCGAGGAGCGCGGCGGGCCGGGGCCGGGCGGCCGGGCCTCCGGGCTGCGCGCTGGAGCCCGAGCGGCCGCAGGCTGGAGAGGGCGGCGGAGCACATGGGCGACGTCCCACCGCAGGGGGCGGTCAGGCCGGCCGTGGCTCCCTCCGGGCCCCGGCGGGGTGGGGGCTGGGCGCTCATGGGGCCGGGGGTTCCTGCGGGGAGTCCCCACCCCGAGGCCGGCGCGCGGGAGCGTTGATTGTTTGGCTTGCGGGGCGGCCGCGGGTGGCGCCGGGGCTGGAGCGACGGTGGGAGGGCGGGCACCGCGGGCCTGGGCCGCTGGTGGCGCCGCTCCAGGGCCTGGCGGGCGCGGGGGCCCGGCTGTGGTGTGCGGGAGGCTGGTTTAGTCGCTTAGCCGAGCCCTAGAGGAGGAGAGAGGGACCTTGCACTACTTCTTTCCCCGGAGTCTCCGTAGTCTTTGTCCTTCCCGAGACGGTGAATCAAACGTCTCCGGTCCCTGCCTTTCTGGAACCCTCCACGGATATCTATTGGACCCCGGCGATGGGCCCGATGTCTTGGGGGCGGGGAGACCCCTGGAGCCCACGACACCCGTGGTCCCTCTCGTAGAACGTGATGTATTCCACAAGTGGCTCCTGAGTCCGCACGGGGCCGGAGGTGGACAGGCTTTCTAGCAGATTGTCAGCCTCAGACCCGCGACGATCCTCCCAGCCCAGAGACGAAAGAGGGGACCCTCGTGTTACTTTATAGATCTGTAACATACCGTTGAAGGAAACCGCCTCTCTTCCTACGCAAACACTCCTTCTAGCCTAGCCGAGCCTCTGCGCCTTCAGGCCGCTTCCCAGCCAGTCTGACCCCTCCGCCTCCGTGTGTGCCCCTCTGGGCCCCAGGAATTCACACGGTGCTGTGTTGCCACGATTCAAGCGAGAGGGTTTCTCCGTAAATCTCAGTCAAGACTTGAGAAGAGATGACAGATGAGATTTTCAAGGTAGAAGTGATCCAACTTGGTAGGCGAATGGACGTACCGAGCACTGTGGCAGACGGGGGGACATAATGGATCCACAAAAAGTATTTGTTGGGTGACATGGTGGTTAAAGGAATGGGGGAGAGAGCAGGTGGATGTTTGGTAAGGGAGAGGGAGTTCAAGAGCAGGAGCAGGCTTGGCGTGGAGCGGGTGCTGCATGCAGTGTGGACCTACTGGGTTTAAAGTGCTGATGGGAAATGTACATGGATGTGTCCCACTCAGGGAAACTGATCTCCAAGAACAGGCAGAAGGGAGAGATTTGGTAATAATCCAGATAGAAAGCACCCAAAGGCCTAAGATCATCACGGAAAAGATAGAGAGAGGGGAAAAGTGGAAGGAAAAAAATACTGCAGAATAATTCACAGCTGCCTTTCTTCCTGGTTGCTCTTTCCTACTGCCCCCCCCCCCCCCTTCTCTCCATCTCCCGGGAGCTTGGTCCTTCCTACCCACTTCCTTTTGTTCCAAGTATTATCCCTCTTGCCTCATCCTAGTCCAGCTTCCTTCAAGTGTACAGATGGCATCCTTATACCAGTTTGTTGTGTCTGTTGTGGCCCTTCACACACATACATGGGCTTACTCTCATACTGCTCCCATCCTGTGACCATCCAACCAGGTGTTTACTCTTGAGCCTATTGAGTTGAAGAGACATGGAGGGCAACTTTCAGAGAGTTACACCCGATTTATTTTATTATTATTTAAAAAAATTTTTTTTAATTGATTTGAGGGAGAGAGAGATGGAAACATCGATGAGAGAGAACATCAATTGGCTGCCTCCTGCATGCCCCCCCCCCCCCTGGGGATTAGGCCCACAACCTGGGCATGAGCCCTGAACAGGAATAGAACCTGGCAACCTCCAGGTGCATGGGTCGATGCTCAACACTGAGCCACACTGGCCGAATTACACCCAACTTAAATCTTGCTTCTCTAGATAGTTTTACTGCAGCTGTCTAAAAACTCCAAGCTTTTCTCCTTTCATCTCTCTTGTCATTTAGATAAGGGCAGTAGGATAACCATGTAAGATCAGAGGCATTGGGAGTCTTGTAAGATTATAAAGCCTCAAGAGCCTTTGTCTAGCTTTTTCTGAAGGCCCTGAGGTCAGAGAGACCTCTGCAAATCAAGACCCCAACATAGCAGCTGTATGAACTTCGGCCAATTCCGTCTGTCTTGCAGCTTTTGCTCTTGGGAACAATACCTACCTGGCAGGACAATTAGAAGATTTGTAATGAGGCAATGCAAGGAAAATGCCCAGTATAAATGAGAGCTTTTGCTACACTCTGCATTGTTTTTTAGCCAGGCCTGGCCTTCTCAAGCTTGGCAGGCAATGAATTAAACAAGTTTTACAATTTTTTTTTTTCTTTTTTACAATATTGACAGTGGGGAAGCAATGTGCTTGAATTCAGCAAATCAGAAAGCTATCTCCAGTCCTGTAGTTAATATTTCTGAACTCCTGGTTCTTTACCTGGGCTTTGGTAATATCACTAAGTTGATGAAGTGTGTTTGTGTTTTCAATAATCTTTATTGCTTTGTCTTTTCCACACAGAACATGTGTAGATAGTAGATTAATTTTGGTTGACCTATTACAAAAAAATTTAGAAATGTATATAAAGAAGAAAATTAAAATTGCCCATAATCTCACTCTCCAAAGGTAACAAATGTTAACATTTTGATGTATGTCTGTCTGAACTTTGATCTGTAAATGGGCATGTATGCTCATACATACCCATATGTCCCCCAATACATGTTTTTGCAAAAATGAAGTCTTGCTATATATGTGTGTTTTTTTATAGCTTGCCTTTTTCTATTAATGTACTTTTTAACTCTTTCCACACTAATAAATACACATCTTTACCAATATTTTTAGTGTATTTCATTGTATAGATTATATATATAATCTCCTATTAATGGCTAGCATGCTAGCCATAAATTTTTTCTAAATTTTCTCTATTATAAACAACCCAGTGAGGAATTCCCTCATAAATAATATTTGTATCTTTTTCATTTGTTTGGTTAGGATAAGATCCTGTTATATGTGAGATTGCTAAGTCAAAAGGTATGCCCCCCTTTGAAGGCATTTTACATATATTTCCTACAGAATTCCCTACAGAAATTGTGCATCAACTATAGTCTCATCGTACCCCTTTCTTCCACTACCTACTCACCCCTAGATATTGTCAGTTCATTCAGTAAATATTTGTTGAATGCCAGGCTCTTATAGGTGCTGAGGATACAGCTATAGAACAAAACCAAGTCCCTGCCTCAAGGAGATTTCATTGTAATCAGTGAGAGACAAACGGTTAACAACCACATAAATGTAATATTGGGTGATAGAGTGTTAGGAAGAAAAATAAGACTTTTTCATTCTATTAATCTTTGCTGATTTGATAGCCACATTCTGTGAGCTATCATGGTTTTAATTTTTTTCCTTTGGTTATGATTCATTCTTTCAATAAATACTTATTGAGCATATGCTTTGACCCTGGGGACCAGAGGTGAACAAAATAACAATGGACCTATTGAAAGACAATCAATACACAAATAAGTGAACAATATAATAAAGAGTAACTTGGGTGGGGTTGGATACATCAGATTTTTTTATCAAAGAATGCCTCTCTGAAGAGATAATATTTTATCTGAAACCACAATGACAGAACCTACTTGTTATGAGAAGATCTCGGGGAATGAGGTAGGAGCAAAGGGTGCAGCAAAAATAAGGCTTAAAAGTGGGAATGGTCATGACTTATTGGAGGAATTGAAAGGCCAGTGGGGCTGGAATGTAGTAGTCGAAGGACAGAGTCGGAAAGGATGAGAAGAGGGTGGGCTAGGTTACATAGGCCTTGTAGACCACAGAAGGAATTTGGATTTTATTCTATGTAATAAGACATATTTGAAGATTTTAAGCAGGGGAATGACATGATCTGATTTACATTTTTAAAAGGTGACTAGCTATTGTGAGACAAAAAGACTATAATGTAAGATGACTGTATAATTTATCATCCAAATGGGGAATGCTTTTGCAAATGAAAGGGGGTGTTAGCTGGACAGGTTATCAAGCAACAGATAAAAACTAGAACTGTCCCAAGCAAGCCAGAAGTATATTCAGCTAAGGGGACAAAAGTGGAACCACAGAGGTCAGGCTGTCTGCAGTAGTCTAGATCAGATACTACTGTAGCTTAGACTAGAGTGGTGTTGGAGGCTCAGAGACCGGAGGGATGCAGTAGACATTTAGGAAGTAAAATCAACAGGTCCTGATCACTTGGATGTGGATAATGAGGGAAAGGGAAGAATCAAGAGTGATGCCTTGGTTTGGGCCTTAGCAACTGGATGCATGCTGGTGTCATACATTGAAATGAAGAAGACATGGGAGGAAAGAGTTGGAGGAAAGATTCAAGACTTTTATTTTGAAGGTGTTAAATGTAAGACGCCTGTGGGTTAGCCAACTGGAGATGCCAAATGTGATGTTTGTACTGAGTTTGGAGATCAGGGAGGCAGTTCTCACAAGGGACACAAATTTGGTGTTATTGGCACATAGGCTGTAGCGATTTGGATGAGATCATCTAGGCTGAGACTTTATGAGAGGAAGAACATCCTGGGTCTAGCCCTAGGGCCACAGTGCCTAGCCCAGGTGAAGGCAAGGAGCAGAGGAGCAGCTAGTAAGGCTAGAGGTCAGAGAGTGTGCTCAGTGGGCAGCAGAGGTGGTTATCTTTGTGCATGTTTATTGTATGTGTGAATTGCCTTTTCCTATCCTATTGGGGTGTTGTTTTTTCTTACCAGGATGTCAATATTACTTACATATTAGACTACAGAACGTGACCTTATTTGGAAATAGGGTCATTGCAGATGTAATCAGTGAAGATAAAGTCATATGGAGTAGGGTGGACCCTTAGTCCAATATGACTGGTGCCTTTTTAAGACAATGTGAAGACAGAGGAAGAACACTATGTGATGATGGAAGCAAAGATGGGAGTTATGCAGTAGCTACAAATTAAGGACTGCTGGCGATACCAGAAGCTAAAAGGCATGGAACAGATTCTCCAGTGAGCCTTTAAGAGAGCATGCATGGCCTTGCAGACACCTTGGTTTTGGACTTCTAAGCTTCCAGACTGAGATGAATTACTGTTGTTTTAAGCCAGTCAGTTTGTAGTAATTTGTACTGAAAGACTAATAACAGCCCCTGTGTCATACATGTTAACATTTTCCCTTCAACTTTTGATTTCTTTTGGTTTTCTTTACAGGAGTTATATGTATATATTGTTTAATCCTCAACTGAGGACATGCTTAGGGAGAGGAAGGGGGAGAGAGAGAGGGATGTGAGGAAGACGCATTAATTGATTGCCTTCCGTATGTGCCCCTACTGGGGATCAAACCCACAACCCAGGTATGTTTCCTGACTGGGAATCGAACTGGCAACCTTTCAATGCACAGGATGAAGTCAACCACCAAGCCACTACGGTCAGGCACAGGAGTTACAAATTTTAAAGCAGTCAGTTCTGTAACTCTTTTCCATTATTTGGTTTCTGTCTTTGTTGTCATGGTTAGAAAAGCTTTCTTCACTCTTAAGGTTATAAAAATATTCTTTACATTTAATTAATTCATTAATCTACCTGGAATTAGTTTCAAAAAAGGGATAAAATGGTAATCTAATATTATTCTCTCCAGATGGTTACCTAGTGTCCCAACATCATTTGTTGAATTATCTTTTTTTACCCATGGTTTGAATATTACCTTTATTAAATGGTAAAATTTTATATATTTTTGGGTCTATTTGTGGACCCTCTATTCTGGCCTTGCTACATGCAGTTTCAATAAAAAGTAGAGGAAATGCTTCTTTACTCTCCTTTTTTAGAAAATTTCTGGCTAGTTTTGCATGTTTATTCTTTCAAAAGACTTTAAAATCATTTTGTCAACTTCCAAATAATTTGTACTTTTAAAATTGGGATTACACTAAATTTAGAAATCTATAGTGTATGATATTTTACTTAATAAAACATAACGTTTTCGTGTATGTGTTTGTACATCTTTTTTCTTTGCTTTATGTTTAGAAAACTCTTTCCTGTCCTGATATTATTTTCCTGTTTATTTTGCCATCTCATTTTAACAATTAGTTCTTTATTAATCTGAAATGTTTTATATGGCATGAAGTATGCCTGACATTTACCATAGATGGTATTGACTTATTTCTGAGACAGCACCGAATCGAAGACTTGTCAATCTAAGAACAGCTTTTCAAGAAGAAAGGAACTTCCACACAAATGTACACGATAACTATAAAGTGCATCCTGATTGTAGATGTATGGGGAAATCATTCTGGATATTAGAATGTATATCGTTAATCACATATGATATTGATCAATTATCCAGGAATAGTTTCTTCAATAATTATCTTTTCTCCACTTATTTGATACACACTGTTTTATACGCTTATATCAGTTTCTGTTACATTTCATTGATTTGTCTATTCTCAATGCCTGAACTTTACTGTTTTATTTTTGTGAGGTTTTTAATTCTGTGTGTGTGTGTGTGTGTGTGTGGTTTGATAATATTTTTTGGTATCTGGAAGATCAATTTTCTGTCTTTTTTTTTCTCCCAAGATTTCTTGGCTATTATGCCCATTTAGTCTTCCAAATGAACATTAAAATCATTTTGTCAAGGATTTCAGTAGATCAGGGTTTCTTTGGGCCAATAATTCTTTGTTGTGGGAAGCTGTCATGTGTACTGAGAAGATGTTTAGCAGTATCTTTGGCCGCTGCCACTAGATGCCACAACCAAAAATGTCTTCAGACATTGCCGCATGTCTCCTGGAGGGCAAAATTGTTGTAATTCAAAACCACTACATTAGATTTGTAAGTTAATTAAAGGAGAATTAATATCTTTATAATACTGTCTTCCTAATTAGAAGCATAGTATAACTTTCATTTTATGAGGTTTTCTTCTGGGCAGTTAGACTTTGGGTCCTGAGTCTTTCTTATCAAGGAGCTAGTGTTTTGATTCTGAATGACACAAGGTTGAACACATTAATTATGGTGAGTATCACATAGTAAGAAAAGTGGCATTCATGTCACACACTATGTTATGTCCTTTGAATGGATTAACTCATGTTATCTTTCTTGCAGCCCCACAAGGCAAATACTGTTATTATCCCTTTTTGATAGATGAGGCAACTGAGGAAGGTTCAACCAGGTGCTAACTGGTAGAGCGGGTTTACCACCACTAGTCTCAATCTTGAAAATCCTGGGGTGAACTTGTGAACCTCTCACCAGGTTTTCAAGAGAACATCCTCTAGCCCTGGCCAGTTTGGCTCAGCGGTTAGAGCATTGGCCTGCGGTCCAGAGAGACCCGGGTTCGGTTCCCGCTAAGGGCATGTACCTCGGTTGCAGTTTGTCCCCGGCCCTGGTTGGTCATGTGGGTGGCAGCCACTCGATGTGTTCCTTTCACGTCGATGTTTCTCTCTCTCTCTCTCTCTCTCTCTCTCTCTCTCTGTTCCTTTCTCTCCCTCCCACTGTACCTGGACCAAAAAAAAAAAAGGAAAAATGTCCTCGGGTGAGGATTAAAAAAAGAGAGAGAGAGAGAACATCCTATAGGGATGCTAGAAATAAATGTTTGGGGGGGGGGGGGAAGCAAGTTGTAAAATATAAATCTTTTTTTAAATTCTCTTCTGAGGATGTTTTTATCGATTTTTTTTTTTTTTTAAGAGAGAGAGGAAGGAAGGGAATGAGAGAGACATTGATGTGAGAGAGAAACATCGATTGGTTGCCTCCTGTATGTACCCCAAGCGGGGATTGAACCCACAATCTAGGCATGTGCCCTGACTGGGAATTGAACCCACAACCTCTTGGTGTACAGGACAATGCTTCAACTAACAGAGCCACCTGACAAGGGCTATAATTCTGTTTTTTTAAATGTGTGTGTTTTATAAGAATAGACCACCAGGGTTTTTTAATCTAAAAATTACTTTTTAAAACCCTGTCATGTACATAATTTAAAATATTTTTAAAAATCACTTTATCTTTCTCAACCTCTTTTCTGAAATGGTAAGTTCATTGCTATACACAGCAATATTCTCAGAATTCCCAGCAACTAGTTTAATGCCTCAAATATAGTAGGTGCTCAGTAACTATTATTTAAGGAGCAACAGAATTCTTTTTTTTTAATCCTCACCCGAGGATATTTTTTTCCATTTATCTTCAGATAGAGTGGGAGGGAGGGAGGGAGGGAGAGAGAGAGAGAGAGAGAGAGAGAGGTGAGAGACACATTGACTGGTTGCCTCCCACACAACCCTGACTAGGGCCAGGGACTGAGCCACAACCAAGGTACGTGTCCTTGACTAGAATCGAACCCAAGACTGTTTGGTCTACAGGTCGACACTCTAACTGCTAAACTGGCCAGGGTGAGAAACAGAATTCTCACTGTTAGTTTTCTAAGGAATCCTTTCCTCCTGATAAGTTATGTTACAGTTATGTCAAAATGCCCTCTGTGATGGAAGAGCCCAGGGATAAACATGCATCTATCCCGGGCTAATTTTTTTTGTTTAAGATCAGGTGGGAGTCCTGGAGAGCCTGGGCACAAACCCAGACTGAGCCTTTGGAACGACCTCTCCAAAGCCCAGCGTGAAGTCCCTGATGCCCACTCGGGGCTCAGGATACTTCCCGAATTTCCATGTCATTCTTGCACAGGGGCCATGATAATCTCCCTGTCGTTCCAGTTTCGTATATGTGCTGCCAAAGGGAGCACCAGGCTAATTTTTTGGAACTAAATATGCAGATATGCCATAGAATAGAAAGCGAAATTCACCTACATTTTGCATTTAAAACAACATGTCAAAATAATTTGGATCTTAAATCAAGGTCAGTTTCCCTTAAGGCTGAAGATGACTTCCCATCTTTCATTAAAAGCTTTAGTAAGATATAATTCCATACCATACATAAAATTCACCCATAAAATTCCCTGAGTTGTGCAACCACCACCACTATCTAATTTTAGAACATTTTCACTCTAAAAGGAAACCCTGTACCCTTCAAAGGATTATCTGTTTGTTTGTTTTTTTAAAAGGTCCATAATCATATAGTTTGAAAAATAAAATTACCCCATTTTATATTATAAAAATTATTCTATTTATTTATTTTTTAATTCTCACCTGAGAATATTTTTCCATCTATTCTCAGACAGAGTGGGAGGGAGGGACGGTGGGAAGGAGAGAGAGACAGAGAGAGAGACATCATTGCAAGAGAGACACATCTATTGGTTGCCTCCCGCACAACCCAACCAGGGCCAGGGACCGAACCACAGCTGAGGTAACTGAGGTATGTGCCCTTGACCGGAATCGAACCTGACTCTGGTCTGTGGGCCGATGCTCTAACTGTTGAGCCAAACCAGCTAGGGCTATAAAATTATTTTAAAATTATAAACAGGAAAATAATTCGGGGTATCAATAAGAACCCATCCCTATCCATCACTGTCCATTGCCACTCTCCAAAGAAAACTAACATTTTTTCTGTATTGTTCTGGAAGTGTTCTGTGTATGTACACAAAAATATATAAATGTCTAATTTTTCCTGCAATGGAATTATACTGACTTAAAAAATTTTTTTCCCTTGATTGATTTTAGAGAGAGAGGAAGGGAGACAGAGAGAGAGATAAAAACATCGATGAGAGAGAACATAGATTGGCCACCTCCTGCATGCCCCCCACTGGGGATCTGGCCCACAACCTGGGCATGTGCCCTGACTGGTAATCAAACTGGCGACCTCTTGGTGCATGGGTCAACCACTGAGGCCCATACTGACTTTTTAAAACGACTTAATATATTTTGGGCATTAAAAAAAATATTAGTATCTCATTCCAACTATTGTCCATTTTGCTCACAATGGTATTCCCAGTGCATAACATGGTGGCTGGCACAAATATTCACTCAATAAATATTTTATCAGCTGCGACTTCTCTAATGTTAGAAATAAACTATTTATTTAACCAGTCTCTTATTTAATATTTCTTTTGGGTTTCAGATTATGATGTGATGAACTCTTCATAAAAATATGTCTGTAGGACAAGTTTCTTACAGTAGAATTTTGGAGTTAAAGACATATATACTTATAATTTTAATATATGTCACTGTTATGGACATACTGTCCTTTGTGAAGGCCATTGGAATTTTATTTAGAATTTATTAGATTTATAAATTAATTAGAAGAGAACCAACACTTTTAACATTTTAAATGTTTTGTAATAAAAGTTCTATGAATAGACGATCTGAATAGACCTATATCTATTAAAGAAATTTAATCAATAATTAATATCCTTCAAAATCAGAAAGCGCCTGGCCCAGATGGATTCACTGGTGTATTCTGTTATACATTTAAAGAAGAAATTATACCAATTCTTAACAAAAAATAGAGGCAAAGGAAATACTTCCTCATTTTCAGCTATCCTCCTACCTCCCCACTGCTTCCTGATTTCCGTAGTAATCACTTGCTGTTCTCTCTAGTTTACTACTTGATGTGTGTATCTAAATAGTGTAGTTTACTTTTGCCTATTTTTGAACAGTATAAAAGAAAACAGTTTTTTGTTTTTTTTTAATCCTCACCCGAGGACATTTTTCCATTTTTTGTTCAGGTAGAGTGGGAGGGAGAGAGAGGAACAGAGAGAGAGAAACATCGATGTGAAGGGACACATCGAGTGGCTGCCACCCGCACAACCGACCAGGGCCGGGGACAAACTGCAACCGAGGTACGTGCCCTTAGCGGAAACCGAACCCGGGTCTCTCAGGACCGCAGGCCGACGCTCTAACCACTGAGCCAAACTGGCCAGGGCAAGAAAACATTTTTTTTTTACTGACATCAAATGTATAGAGAATTTTTCCCCACACCAACCAAGTCTCCAACTTTCTGGATACCAACTAGGTGTACTACAATTTAATTCAATTGTGACAGCACCTGGAGTTAGCGAAGAACCCACAGGTTAAGAGCTCAGTCCCATAAGACTACCCTCCACCCCACTTCAGATGCCAGTAGTAATTAACGGGTTCCCAAGTTACCCACACTTCTGTCAAACTTGGCTACAAATCAGGGGTTCCCATGACCCTCTCTCAAAGTTCTATAATTGGCTATAATGGTTCACAGAACTCAGGAAAACACTTTACTATTATAGTTTATTATAAAGGATGTAAAGGAACCACCAGAAGGGGCAAGGTCCAGAAGGGTCCTGAGTGAAGGAGCTTCTGTCCCCGTGAAGTTTGGTGTCCACCTCCCTCCTGTATGTGCCCCAACGGGGATCAAACCCACAATTCCTGGTCAGGAATTGAACCTACAAACCTTTTGGTGTATGGGATGACCCTCCTACCAACTGAGCCACCTGGCCAAGGCTATTAACAGTCTTTTAAGAACAAACTTGACATTGCTGCTCCTCTCTACTGTTTGTCCTTTTATTCATTTCTGTTATTCATTTCTGCCTTCTTTAGCCTAGTTCCTTTGCTTTGTTTTAGGCATACAGATTTTAAATTATTATATCTTGATGAAATAAATCTTTTATTGTGCAGTGGCCCTCTTTATCTCTAGTAATACTATTTTCTTTGAAATCTATTTTATTTGATATTAATATAGCTACACTGGCTTTCCTTTTGTTCATTTTTCTTTGTTGTATCTTCTCCCATGTTTTTACACTTATACATGAATTCTAGCTTTTATTAAGTTGATATATTAGAGTATCTAGTTAGTCCTTATGATCAGAAATGGAACTCTTTTTTAAAAATTACTGCAGCCCTGGCCGGTTTGGCTCAGTGGTTGGAGCATCAGCCTGCAGACCAGAGTCCTGGGTTTCGGTTTCCACTAGGGGCACGTACCAAAAAAAACAGCAACAAAAAATTACTACAGTTGCCCGGTTGGTGTGGCTTAGTGGTTGAGTGTCAACCCATGCACCAAGAGGTCGCTGGTTCAATTCCTGGTCAGGGCACAGGCCCAGGTTGTGGACCGATCCCCAGTGGAGGCTGTGCGGGAGGCAGCTGATAGATGTTCTCTCTCACTGATATTTCTATCTCTCTCTCCCTCTCTCTCTAAAATCAATAACAAGAAAAATATTTTAAAAAATAAAAAGTTACTGCAGTTGAGTTGCTAATGTTTTAGAGAGGATACTGGTCAGTAATTAGGATGACATTATTTGTTATACACACTGAGGCAGTTGAGAGTGAAAGGGAGTGCTGATAATAAGGACACCAGGACAACAGGTATACGGCAGGGTCATCCAGGGCAAACGCGGAGCACCTACTGATTTTCCTTTTCTTTTGATCACATTTTGTTGTAAGTACTATGTGAGGTTTCCAAAATGAAACAGGAAGCGTATATGCCTTTTACAGTTATCTTGAATAGGATAAATAACATTATCTGTTTCTCTAAGTTTTGTAGAATTTGTTTTTAAGAAGCCATCTGAACACAAGAAGTAGGTAACAGTGATTGTTTTCTGGGGAGGGTGCTGGGGTCAGAAAGAAATTGTTTACCTTCTACCTTTATACCATTTTAATTATTTTTTAAACCCTCTCTATGTTTTTTATTAAAAAAAAAATAAAGCTATATTTATTTATTAAACCAATATAAATTGAGACTATTTAGGTTTAGTGGAGGTTTTTTTTTTTGAGAGGTAGATCTTTGATTTTAATTTTAATATTTTTTCTGTGATTATTGGTCTACCAGCCTTTCTATTATTTCTTGAGTAAGTTTGGTAGCTTGCTATTCTACATAGTTATTTATTCTAGATTTTTAATTGAATAGAATTTAATTTTATATAATAATTTCTACTACAATTTATTTTCATTGCGATAATTAGAGGTTGATATGCAGTTATAGAAAATAATACAGAGAGATTCCTATACACTTGCCTAGTTTCCTCCATTGGTAACAGTTTGCTAATTTGTAGTGTAATATCACATCCTGGATACTGATATTGATACAATCTGCTTATATTATCCAGACTTCCCCTATTTTACTTGTATTCTTTTGAGTGTGTATATTAAGTTCTACAGTTTTATCACTGAACAGATCCAATACCATAAGGATTCTTCATATTACCCTTATATAACCACACCTACCTTCCTCCCTCCACCACCATCACCCCGCCCACATCCCTAACCCCTGGCAACCACTACTCTGGCCTTCATTAAATGTTATTTAAATGCAATAATGTAGTATGTAACCTTTGGGGACTGGCTTTTTCACTCAGCATATTTCCTAGAAGATTAAACCAACTTATGTGTATCAGTAGTTCATTCCTTTTTGTTGAATAATATTCAATCATATGTATGTACCACCACAGTCTGTTTAACCATTCACCTGTTGAAGGACATCTGGGATAATCCCAGTTCTGGGCTATTACAAATAAAGCTGCTGTGAACGTTCATATACACATGTTTGTGTGAATAGTTTTCATTTCTCTAGTGTAAATAGCCCAGAGTGTCATCGCTAGATCCTATGGTAGTTGTACATTTAGTTTTCAAGAAACTGCCAAACAAGTGGCTATACCATTTTAGTCTCATTGGCAATATAGGAGTGATCCAGGTCCTCTGCATCCTCACCAGCATTTAGTATTGTCACTATTTTTATTTTAGTTATTCTGATATGGTTAGTGATGTTATGGTTTTAATTTGCATTTCCCTAATGGCTAATAATGTTGGACATCTTTTCATCTTTTGATTTGTCATCTATCTTCTTCAATTAAATGTCTATTCTTATCTTTTGCCCATTTTATAATTGAACTTTGTTTTTTTACTGTTGAGTTATTAGGGTTCTTTGTAATTCTAGTTACTAGTCCTTTGTGGGATATGTGGCCTACAAATATTTTCTTCCAGTCTGTAGTATGTCTTTTCATCCTCTTCACAGGCTTTCATAAAGCAGAAGTTTGTAATTTTAGTGGGGTCTTATTTAATCATTTTTTATTCTATAGACAGTGCTTTTAGTGTTGTCTAAAAACTCTTTGCCTGGCCCTAGAGCCCAAAGATTTTTCTCCTGTTTCTTTTTCCTAAAAGTTTTATGTTTTATATCTAAGTCTATAATCTGTTTAGAGTTAATTTTGGCCTAAGGTATGAGATTTAGGTCAAGATTCATGTTTTTTGCCTATAGATGTCCAATTGCTCCAGCACTATTTGATTTGCTATTTATTTTGTGCTCAAATAGCCCCAGTTTTGGCCTTTGAAAGCCCCTTTTTGCTGGCTTCTGTTTAAGAGTAATTTTGAGTAGGCATTTTGTTTATCTTATTGGCTTACTTTGGAAACAAATCCCCAAGAAAGATGCATCTATGCCATATTAAGTACTTACTATATTAATCCCGAGGATGCGTGAAGCTTGACTTGTGTAATGTAGCAATGAAAGGAGGATCTGTAGAATCCTTCCAATTCTGATGTTCTAATGCAACTTTTAAATTTTCCAAAATTCTAAAGATTGGTCTGACTTGTTTATAAAACTAAATAAATTTCTCTTAGCCTGGGAGTGGGGAGGAGGTGGTGTCATGTTCTCTATTCTTAGTACATCATTAGGCCATTATTGAAAAGACAGTTGGCACTCCACCCCACGACTGCAGTTTCGAAATACATGAAACAAAACTAACTGAACTAGCTCTGGCTGGGTAGTTCAATTGGTTAGCACATTGTCCCTATTTGCCAAGGTTGTGGGTTTGATCCTGGTCAGGGCACATACAGGATCAACCAATGAATGCATAAATTAGTGGAACAACAGATCTATCTTTCTCTCTTCCCTTTCTCTCTCCTCCCCCACCTCCTTTCTTCTCTCTCCTTTCCTCTCTCTCTAAAATCAATTTTAAAAAATTAACTGAACTAAAGGGAGCAATAGTTAAAGCCACAATCATAGTTGGACACTTTACTATACTTCTGTCAGTAATTGATAGCACAAATGGATATCCCTAAAATAAAGAAATCAAAGATCTAAAACATACTGTCAACAAACAAGACCTAATTGGCATTTATAGAATATATCCAAAAGCTGCAAAATACACTTTTTTTTTTCAAGTGCCCAAGGAACATTCAGCAAGGTAGGTGATGTGTTAGGATATAAAACAAGTCAATGTATTTCAAAAGATTGAAATCTTACAGGGTTTGTTTTCTGATCATAATAAACGTAAATTTGAACTACATGATACTGACTACATATTAAAAATTGTGGAATGAAGCAGTACTTACAGGGAAATGTTTAGCTTTTATTTGTAATGTTAGAAAAGAAAGAGGTTGAAAATCAGTTATCTAAGTCTCTACATTAGGAAGCTAGAAAAAGAACAGCAAATTAAATCCACAGTAAATAAAAGGAAGGAAATAATAATAACAGAAATAAATGAAATAGAAAACAGATTAAAAACCTGGTTCTTTGAAAGGATCAATAAAATTGATAAACTTCTAGCTAGACTGATCAGGGACAAAAATGCAAAGGTTACAAGTTACCAATATTGGGAATTTTTTTAAAAAGGAATTGGGAATAAATTTATACAGAGTATAGAATTAAAGAGATAATAAGGGACTACTGTGAACTATTTTATGCTCCTAAATTTGACAAGTTACATGAAATGAACAAATTCCACAAGTCACAAAACTAGCACAAGAAGAAAGAATAAATGTTTACTAAAATATTGAAAATGTAATTTAAAACATTCCTACACTGGCCGGTGTGGCTTAGTGGATTTAGCATCGTTCCATGGACTGAGAGGTCCTGGTTTGATTCCCTGACAGGGCACATGCCTGGGTTTGCGGGCTCGATCCCCAGTGGGATGCATGCAGGAGGCAGCTGATCGATGTTTCCATCTCTCTCTCCCTTCCTCTCTCTCTAAAAAAATCAATAAAAATATATTTAAAGCCAAACAAACAAAGCATTCCTACAAAGCACATTATAGGCCCAGATAGCTACACTGGTGATGTTTATCAAACTTTCAATCCAACACAGCCTTTCAGTATAGAGGGGGCTGGGAATAGTTCCCAAGTCATTTTATAAGGCCAATTTTATTATGATAGCAAAACTAGTAAAATAAATGACAAGAATAGAAAACTACAAAAATTCTTAATACAACATGATACATTAAACCCAACAATATACAAAAAGAATAATACATTATAACCAAGTGGTTTTTTCTCCAGGATTAATCAATGCATATAAATTTTGCTATTAATAGGGCAAAGAAAAAAATAATGATCATCTCTGTTGTACAGAAAAGGCATTTGACAAAATTTAACAACCAGTCCCAATGAAAACTCTCAAAAAACTAGGATAAACAGGAAATGCCCTCAATCTGATATGGGGCTTCTGTGAAAACTCCATAGCTAACATTGTACTTGATGATGAAAGTCTGAAATTCTTTCCTCTAGGTTCAAGAACAAGGCAAGAATGTCTGCTTTCAGCATTTCTATTGAGAATTATAACTGGATGCCTTAGCCATTGCAATATGCAAGAAAAATAAGTAAACATACAGATTGGAAAGGAAGAGTAAAACTTCTTTGGATAACGTGATTGTTCATGTGGAAAACCCTAAAAGATCTACAAAAAATAATTACTTGAACTATTAGCAAGGTTGGAGGATACAGGGATAAAATCAATAGTATTTCTATATACTAGCAATGAATAATTAGAAAAATGACAATAATTTCTTTCCATTTTTAATATAATCAGAAGTTAAGTCCAGCTAGTGTTAAGCATTGACCCATGCACCAAGAGGTCGCCAGTTCAATTCCTGGTCAGGGCACATGCCCAGGTTGTGGGCCCAATCCCCAGTGGGGGCCATGCAGGCAGCCAGTCAATGTTCTCTCTCATCAATGTTTCTCCCCCCCACACCTTCTTCTCTCTCTAAAATCAATAAAGAAAAAACATTTTTTTAAATTAAATTATTTGGGCTAAAGAAAGAGGTTTATACAGATGCAATCAGGATATGAGAGAGGACGTGATTAATATGACAAGAAGTGGGCTGGAGGGATTTCACATGGTGATATCTATGCTGAGTCTTGAAACACAAGAAATTTCCCAACAACCAAGGGGATCATAGTCATTCTGGGCAAAAGAAAGAACATAAGCAAACATAAACAAAGATAAAGATAACCGAGGAAGCATGGCACATTTGGGGATCTGTAGTAGTTCTGTGTGATTTGAACATGTGAGGAGGAGGGTCAGTAGTCAAGGAGAGGCTAAATTCAGGCCTTACTATGAAGGACCTTGTGTGTCTTACTAAGGCATTTGTCCTTTAGTTTGTAGCTTATTTGGTGGGTTTTAGGTGGGAGAGACATAGTAATGTTGTACTTCAGAAGTTGGCGATGGAAGAAGAGATGAATTCAGACCCTTTGTGGCCTTGAAGCTACTTATGTTGAGTTCAGCTAGCAGCAGAGAACCACCAAAGGCAGTGATGCTGTTTAGCTGCCTCTTAGGAAAGAGGGATTTGGTGTCACCAAACTATCCCTATTCCAGGATGAGGTGCACGCCAACTTCTCACTTGACCCACCCAGAATCCTGCGCCTGCTTTGGTGCCATTAACAGTGGTGACCATTACGTCTATTAAATAGCATGGTAGCTGTGGTAGCCCAGCAATTAGTACCCAACATACCAGTGGCAAGGTACCCAGTCAGGTGAGAAGACACCCGGGAGGGAGATCAATATTGTTCCAGGCTCATGGCACAGAGGTTGATTCTAGTACCTCTGGCTGGCATCATCAGGCTTTGTGAACTGCCTAATAATTTTATAACCCTTTGTTGTATTATCCTCCATATCTGACTCTAGGCTTACTATATATTGAACGAAGTTGTACATTCCTGGGCCCTAACAGGGAAAGAGGGTAACAAACCTGGGTTTGCATGTTTGTCTCTTCTACTCAGCTGGATAATCCTTAGGTAAATAACCTAATGTCTCTGAATTTCAGTTTCCCCACCTGCATAATGGAGATGATAATGCTTATCTGATAGGGTCATTTTAAAAGTTAAAGACCCGTGAACGCACTCAACATGTTCTTAGCACATAGTAGAATCTCTTATATTAGCTTCTCTTTTTCTGTAGTTTGTTTTAGCTTATCCTGTGTATTTGCTTTTCCAAACAAAGGTTGCTTTTTAGTTTATGACTTAAGGTTGAAATTTTACCTATGACTTCCCTACCCACCTTGGATCAAAAAACATTTCCCACTGTGCCCTCAGTTATGTTCATGTGGCATTTGGATAAATTAAGAAGGTATAGAAATTGACAGCATTGACAGTAAAATTTTGACCAAAGGGAATAAATTGATGTTTGTGTTATATAATATTTATAGATTATCAGTGAAGTGAAAAGGTAAAATATGCTTTTCCTTAAAAGCTAAGATTTGTCTTCTTAGATAAAGCTGAGACTCCCTACTTGACCCTTTATCTTCTCCTAATCCTTCAACAGGACTTCATTGACTTAACCAGAGAAACCAGACCAAGGCCAAAGGATCGCAATGGAATCTGTGTGATTGACCTGACAAGAACTGAAGAAGAAAACAGACCTATTGCCACTCTTGACTTGACTCTCGAACCTGTTGCTCCTTCCCAGAAGGAGTCAACAAATCTTCAAACATGTGCCAGCCTCTCCAGCAAAGAGGTGATGGAAAGGCGGGTGGACAGAAGCTCTTGGCCTGCAGCACGGAGAATCATTAACAGTGATCCTGTGGATTTGGACCTCTTGGAGGAAACCGTATTTGAAGGCCCCCAACCCCCTACGTCCATCAGTGGGGACTCGGTTAATACAACAGAGCCGAACTGTAGCTCAACCACATTCAAAGATGACTTCAGCTTCTCGTCCAGCCTAGAGCTATCTTCAGATGTTCACTCCCTCTCCCCAATAAGCAATAATGGTAACAGCAGCAATCAGAGGGCGCCCTTGCCATGCCCACAGCAAGATGCACCTTGCCCATCTCAAGCCTTGCCATGCCCACTGCGAACCTTGCCAAGTCCACTACGAGCCTCACCATGTCCACCACGAGCCTCCTCATGCCCACCACGAGCCTTGTCGTGCCCATCACAAACCATGCAGTGCCAACTACAAGCTTTGCCTAACCTGCCTCAAGAAGTGCCATGCCCTCAGAATATGCCATGCCCTCAGCAAAATATACCAAGCCCACCTCAGGATTCATCATGGCATCCTCAACATTTACCATGCCCACCTCAGGACTCATCATGGCATCCTCAACACTTACGATGCCCACCTCAGGACTCATCATGGCATCCTCAACACTCACCAAACCCACCTCAAGACTCATCATGGCATCTTCAACACTTACTATGTCCACCTCAAGACTCATCATGGCATCCTCAACAGTCACCAAGCACATCTCAAGACTCACTCTACCCACCTCAAGACGGTCTGGGCCGACCTCAAGGTGTACCAGGCCCACCTCAAAACATATCCTATCCACAAGATGTGGCATACCCGCCAGACATGCTACAGTCACTGGGAGACATGCCACAGTCACCAGATGTGCCACAGTCCTCAGCAGACATGTCACAGTCATTGCGAGATGGACCACAGTCATCAAGAGACGAACCTCAGTCACTAAGAAGTGTACCGCAGTCACTAAGAGGTGCACCACAGTCACCAAGAGACATGCTGCAGTCACCAAGTGGTGCACCGCAGTCACCTGGAGACATACCACACTTGCCGGGAGACAGGCCTGACTCTCCCCCACATGATGTACAGAACTGTGACACTCCTATGGATGTCTCAGCTCCATCCTCTCCAAACTGCTCTCTCAGCCCGCAGTCTCCACAGTCTACAACTTCCTTAGAGAAAGTCCCCTGGCTCTCTGTCACAGAAACTCCAGCCAGAAAGGAGATATCAGTGTCAGAGCCTGCCAACCCTGGGCCTGCCCAGGTACAAGCGCGAACACCCCCAGGTGTGTTGAACAACAGACCATGCCTGCATAGGCTGAAGTATTTCTTACGACCTCCGGTGCATCACCTCTTCTTCCAGACACTAATACCTGATAAAGACATAAGAGAGGTGAGCTAACCTATCTTCCCCTAGGAAGTAGATGTCCTTTATACACGCCTAGCATAAGTTAGTATGCTAACAGGATTCCACACATGAGAGAACATGTCCAATAGGAACTTGACATTTTTAACTTTCCCCACTTGTGGAACCATTTAGTGTAGAGTCAGATTCGGGTTTAAATTTCAGCCTCACACTTAAAACTGGCACTGTAGAAGTCTGCTTTTCTGAGCCTTAGCTTTCCTGTCTGTGAAATGGAGATAAGAACCTACCTCACAGGATCATTAAATGAGATAAAATAGTACAGTGCCTGTTACGTCTGGCTCATCATAGGCCTTCATCAAATACTTCTCTTCAACTCCTATGATGCCCTTATTACAGCTTCCATATCACAGAAATAATAATACTCTTGATACTTCAGTGCCTCCAAAATTATTAGTCTCTGACATTTGGGGAGGAAATTCAATTTTAAGATTTTAGTGGGAATGCTACTTCCCATTGGTCTTCATTGATGTATGAGAACTAAACCAGATGTGTAAGAAAAAAACATTGTTTTTGCCCTTGCTGGTGTGGCTCAGTTGGTTGGAGCATTATCCCATACAGCAAAAGGTTGTGGGTTCAATTCCCAGTCAGGACACATGCCCAGGTTGCAGATTGGAGCCCTATAGGGGGCAACCAATTGATATTTCTCTCTCACACCTATGTCTCTCTCTCTCCCTCTCCCTTCCTCTCTCTCTAAAATCAATGGAAACATGTCCTTAGGTGAGGATTAAAAACAAAAAATTGTAGCTAAGTCCCAGAGTGTGAATCTATTTTCTCATTATCCATAACTACATTCCCACCATTAAGAAGGCTGGCTTGAAGTAGCTCAAGAAATCACAAGGTACATTCATCTTCAGTGATTCAGCTTAGCATGTTAAGCACTCGCCTTAATTTGGCCTTAGAGAGTGAATTGTTTTCTCTCATTTTGATTGTTGTTATATCTTCTAATATGTTTGTCTTCTTCTGAATGACTATCCCAACCACTAGCCCATTCATTCTCTTTGTTCCTGTGGGTTTGCCTTGGGCTGGTGATAGTCTGTTCATTATCAAGGGCAATGTGGGGACTTGAAAGAAAGTAGTCAAGGCTGCAGTGCTTTTTAGGTGCCACAGGACTAGAGAAGCCATCAGGAGCTGCAGATGGGGAGACTGCCCTCTCTTCATCGTACACATTGCTCAGGTTAGAAGGTGGCAAGTTAGGCTAGACAAAGCGGATTTTCCTTCTTCTTTATTTCTTACCTTCTTATGTTAGCCATCTAGAATAAATCTTTCCTGTCCTGTGATTTGGGGGCTTTTAATAAGTACTTCTTCACTAGATAATTTTCCTCAAAAAACTTCTTAGCCAGTCCCCATGCTGTCACTTACCAGCATTGGCCTTAACTCCTTTGAGTCTCTTTTTTTAACTTAAAAAATTTTTTTTTTCCTTTTTTTTTTATTGATGATAGAGAGAGAGTGGGAGAGATAGAAACACCAATGAGAGAGAACATCGACTGGTCGCCTCCTGCATGCCCACCCTGGGGATTGGGCCCACAACCTGGGCATGTGCCCTGATCAGGAACCAAAACCTATTGGTGCATGAGTCGACGCTCAACCACTGAGCCACACCGACTGGGCCTCTTAGTCTCTTTTTGTTTAGCTCTAAAATAAGTTGTAATACCCATATCATAGAGTTGTTTGACTTAAAGGTAAACACATAAAGCACAAAGCCACCTTTCAGGACCTATAAAAGTGCTCTGTAAGTATTAGTTCCCTTTAAGGATACAGGCATGGAAACAATTGATAAACTTGATCTGTTTGCAGACGTCTGCATTTGTAGGCAGGAAATGAATAATACAGGTTTAAGACTGTAAAATGCATCACAGGAGAAACAGTCACCATAGCAAGATTTTTGTCCTCTTACTTTCTCTTGCTCTTCATTACTTGCCACTTATGGTGTTGGTCTCGTAGTGAGATCGGGGATGCCCTCAGATGATTTGAGACCTAAGGAAAAATAATGGGACTTCTTTCCTCCAGGAGACTCTGAGAGGGCAATTCTAACCGGCACCATTTTACTGTTACACAGAGCTGTCAAACCTTTGTTTGGTTGGAGTTTTAAAATTAATACATATTCTCAGATTTAAAAAATAATGCTTGCCTTATTTAAAACATTTAAAAATATAAAAAATAATTACCCATGGTGCTATCACTCAGTATTTATTATTGTTAATAATTTGGTATGTTCCCTTCCCCATCACCTTTTTGTACGTATGTTTAAAAGTAAACATATGTATTATTGTTGGTTTTGTTTTTAGAGGATACAAATTTACAGGACAGCTCAGGAGTGATAATCACTCATGTACACCAGCCATTTGTTGCATGACAAATGCTTACTCTCTAAGTCTTAGTTGTCTTATTTATAAAGTAGGAATAATACTATTTATGTCTTAGGGTTGTTTTGAGAATTAAGTGAGGATAAGTTAAATGTACAAAAAATTGTTTTCTAATTATTGCTGTTATTCTTGTATCAAACTTTTAAATGTTTGTTTTTCTTGTGATTGTGAAAGTAATATGTGTCTATTATGGAAAAATTGAAAAATACAAGAGCATATAGAGGGAAACTCATCTATAATTCCACCACCCAGATAACAGAAACCACTTTTCACATTTTCTCTTCCAGATTTATATTCATACTTTGGGGGGGGGGTGGGCAACTTAATATTTACTATCAACGTAAAAAAAAGAGCAAAATGGGATTCTTCTCCTAACAATAAAACATATTTAAAATATCTTTCTTCCTTTATTTATTTCAGTATCTGATAAACTATTATAACTACTCCTAAATATCTTATCACCTCACTCCAAAATCAGCTTAGTCTAGCTCTTAACTCTTTTTTTCTTTTCTTTTCCTTTCCTTTTCTTTTCTTTTGCTCTTAACTCTTTTGTGCTTTTCTTTCTATGCTGTATTTTAACACAGATGAAATCGTGGTATATGTAGAATACTGCATTCTTATTTATTAACTTAATATAAGCATTTTCCCATGTCATTGAAAGTTTTTTAGATAAGGCTTTCCAGTCTCTTTTTAAAAAATTGTGAATATTTCAAATGCATGGAAAACTTTGCTGTCTTCAACCTGTTCCAGAACCTCCTGTTTTTATGTCTGTAGAAACCCATTTTAATTTACTTCTTTTTATCTCTACAGAGCAAGGGTCAAAAATTAGAACCCATCCCTCACAGAAGACTAAGAATGGTAACAAACACCATTGAAGAAAATTTTCCCCTGGGGACTGTGCAGTTTTTGATGGACTTTGTGTCACCCCAGCATTACCCACCCAGAGAAATCGTGGCTCACATCATCCAGAAAATCCTGCTCAGTGGCTCTGAGACCGTGGATGTCCTAAAGGAGGCCTACATGCTTCTCATGAAAATTCAACAGTATGAACCTTAGATGTGGGCAAACCTTCTGGGAAGCCTGGACTTGGGGCATAGCTTTCTCTTGCCTAGGCTCTATTCAGCTAACCATTAGAGAGGGTAAATTAGTATGTTAGTGTTACTTAGATTACAAGCGACAGGAAACCCAATCTAAACTGGCTTTAACATCTAGTAAAAGAATTTAATCACTCATGTTACTAGAAACCTAGGAAAAAGATATGATGTATTTCAGTTCAAAAATGGTTACAAGGATCCTTTTTTTTTTCCAGCTCTGCTTTGCATCTATTTTCAGGCTTCATGTGGTAGCCTTCTCAGCCTCTAGCTTTTATGATACTCAGTGGGAGAGTGAGTCTGCTTTCTTTATAATCACACAAGAGTTCTGAAATTGAGTCTTGTAGGCTTTAATTGGCATAACATAAGACATGAGCCCATATGTGAGCCAATCACTATGAACTAAGGGATAGAATATTATGACCGACTCAATATGCTTCATAGGCTTCATTCCAGGGTCGTGGTAGCTAACGCCAGTGAACTAGCTAATAAAAAGTTGATTTCATCAGGGCAAAATTGGGTCGCTAATGCCTCCCAAAAGAGAAATGGATACTGGGTAGCAAAACAAAACAAAACAAAAAACCCGTGAACTTCCACTACCCTCAGGTGACATGGATTTGTATCAGAGTGGGGAGGGAAGAGCACTCGGGATAAGAGGAGGCTTCTTGCTTCTTTCATCTTCCAGATCCCATTCCGTTTTCTACTAAACTCTCCAGAATGCTAATTTCATGTCACTTAACTTTCAGGCTACATCCAGCTAATGCCAAGACAGTGGAGTGGGACTGGAAGCTGCTCACTTATGTCATGGAGGAAGAGGTAACATAACAATTATGAGGGTGTATCTTTTGTAGAGGAATTTTTAACTAGAAACAAAAGTAACAATGAATCTGATAGTAAAGTCTTCACTGTTATTTCCTCCTTATACTCTCCTCCCCATCAAACAATTCCTATTGAAATGGTATATGCTATCTTGTAATTCAAGACTGAGTACATTCACTTATCCCTCTCCTTCTTAAGATCCTATGAAAAATAATAGTAAGTGAGTAGGGAAAGTTATAAATCCATGGCAATGAAAATAAGGGGAAGGACATTAAATCTAAATGAAGATGGGAAGACCTAAAGGAAGTGTAACAGTGATAAGTGATGAAGCTAGGCAGAGAAAGCCAGAGCTAGAATACATGTGGAAGAGGCTGCGGCCAAGGAGGGAGGAAATCTGCCTTTTAGGGCAGAGAGGTTTTAGACTCAGAAACACAATATTTAAGAAGGTTGGAGTCAGAAATGGGCTGTAAATTTGTTGAAAGTTGTAGATGAAACTGATATCCTCTCCATTCTTGAGTATAGAAAGTTTAGTTACCAGGTTACTTAAAAGATTCCTTGTCTAAAGAAATTGAATAAACCATCTGTCATAAATGAAGGCAGCTAGTGTAGAGCTGGTACTTCAGAAAATAATTCTTCTACTTTCTGATCTTTAGGGATCCCTGAACTTGCCATCCTCCTGTCTGCTCACCCAAAAGCACTTGGATGGAACAAATTATTTTCAGCTTAGAATTCTATACTCAGCTAAACTATTAGTCAAGTGTGAGGGTAGAATAAAGACATTTCCAGCCCTGGCTGGTTTGGCTCAGCAGTTGGAGCATTGGCCTGCGGACCAGAGAGTCCCAGGTTCAGTTCCCACTAGAGGCACATACCAAAAAAAAAAAAAAGACATTTCCAGACATGTAGGAACTTGAAAAATATCCTCAAACTCCATTTCTTAATAGGTTACTTGAAGGTATTCATCAAAAGAATGGGAGAATAATAAAAAGAGGGAGGCACAGGATCCAGGGAACATCAGGAGAATAATAAAGAGATGTCCTAAGATTCCAGAAACTAGTAGACCTAGAGAGCAATCAGTCCAGATTGGAGTAAAATAACATTCGGCTTTTAAAAAGAGTAATCTGGCCCTGGCCGGTTTGGCTCAGCGGTTAGAGCGTCAGCCTGCGGTCCTGAGAGACCCGGGTTCGGTTCCCGCTAAGGGCATGTACCTCGGTTGCAGTTTGTCCCCAGCCCTGGTTGGTTGTGTGGGTGGCAGCCACTCGATGTGTCCCTTTCACATCGATGTTTCTCGCTCTCTCTCTGTTCCTCTCTCTCCCTCCCACTCTACCTGAGCAAAAGGTGGAAAAGTGTCCTCGGGTGAGGATAAAAAATAAATAAAAAATAAAAAGAGTAATCTGGGAAACATCACTAAGATGGTGGACAAGGAAACTCCAGGCCTTGTTCCTCCATGAAGACACCAATTTAGCAACAATATACAGACCAGAACATCTGTGTATAAACTATAGAGGCCAGGTGATAAACTACAGTACCCAGGCTAATGCATAAATAAGAAGGGACTTAATTGAAAGGAGTAGGGAAGTTTGTGGCATTTTGTGTCCATGCCCCTCTACCCAGCATAGCATGATGCAATTGGGAGGAAACCTCCTATATCATAGCTCCTTCTTCAGAATAGAAACAAGATTGGACTTTGAGTCCAGTATTCTAGCTTATTATGGGGATGCCTGAGGGATGGTTTCTGTCTTTCCTGACTCAAAGTACTGATGGGAATAGTGGCACAGTTCGAAGCTGCTGGAAAGAGGTGAGCACTGTGGTATGTTAGAGCTGCAGAGAGTATGCAGTTCCACAGGCAGGTACCAAGGGAATAAGAGACTGTGGGCTCCTGAGAAGAAATTAAGGCAAGCCCTGGCCAGTTTTGCTCAGCGGTTAGAGCATTGGCCTGTGGACCAGAGAGTCCTGGGTTTGGTTCTCGCTAAGGGCATGTACCTCAGTTGCAGTTTGTCCCTGGCCCTGGTTGGGGTCACATGTGTGGCAACCACTCGGTGTGTCTCTCTCACATCGATGTTTCTCTCTCTCTTCCCCCCGCCCCTCTCTCCCTCCCACTCTATCTGAAGATAAATGCAAAAATGTTCTTAGGTGAGGATAAAAAAGAAAATATTAAAAATAATAAAAGAAATAGAGGCAAGCCATTCAGGAAATTAGACAAATAAAAGCATATGGCGAAGCCCAGAGAAAACACAGTCCCAGAAAAGATCTGAGAGCTTCCAGAATTTCTAGCCAGGCTGATTGGTGAAGGTCTTGCTCTGCACGAAGTCAGTGGATAAAGACTGGGAAAGGTACATTTTTTCAAATGCTTAAATCTCAACAAAAGACTAAAAGGCATACAAAGAAACAGGAAAAGGTGGCCCAAAGAGCAAAACAAAGCTCCAGAAATTGACCCTAAAGAAACAGAGATCCCTTAATTTCATAAAAAAGAATTCTTAAAAACTATCTTAAAGCCCAGCCAGTGTGGTTCAGTGGTTGAGCATAGACCCATGAACCAAGAGGTTGCCGGTTCAATTCCCAGTCAGGGCACATGCTCAGGTTGTGGGCCAAATCCCTGGTGGAGGACATGCAGGAGGCAGCCAATTGATGTTCTCTCTCATCGATGTTTATCTCTCTTCTCCCTTTCCCTTCCTCTCTCTCTAAAAATCAATAAAGAATTAAAAAAAAAAAAACTATTTTAAAGATGCTCAAGGAGCTAAAAGAAAATACAGATGGACAATTAAATGAAGCAGGGTAACAACTGAACAAAATGAGACTATTAACCAAAAACTATAGGAAAGAAACATATTCTGGAGCTGAAAACACAATAATTGAACTTAAAAATTCATGAGGGATTCAACAGACTTGATCAAGCAGAAGAAAAAAATTGGTGAACTTTAAGAAAGGTCATTTGAAATCGTTAAAACAGAGAAGCAAAAACAAAAACAAACAAAAGCCCAGAATGAAGAGAGCCTAAGGGACTATGGAATACCACTAAGTGAACATATACGTATTATGGGAACCCCAGAAGGAGAAGAGAGAAAGGGGCAGACAGTTATTTGAAGAAATAATGACCGCAAACTTCCCAAATCTGATGGAAAAAAATAGACATACAAATGCAAAATGCTCAACTCCAGCGAGGATAAACTAAGAGACCCACACTAAAACACTTGATAATCACATTGTAAAAGTCAAAGACAGAATCTTGAAAGCAGCAAGGAAATGTGATTCATCACATACAAGGGAGCATGTATAATAAGCAGATTCTGAATGAAACATGTAGGTCAGAAGGCAGTGGGATGATGTATTCAAAGTGCTGGGAAAAAAGCTATCAATCAAGAATACTATGTCCTTCAAAAATTAGGGAGGACAGCAAAAGAGAAGTGACATTACATATAAGATCCCCAATAAGATGATCAGCAGATTTCTTATCAAAAACTTTGGAGGCCAGAAGGCAGTGGGCCATTATAGTCAAAGTGCTAAAGAAGAAAACTCAGCCAAGATTTCTATATCTGAAAAACTGTCCTTCAAAAATGAGGGAGAAATGAAGACATTCTCAGATAAACAAAAGTTGAAGGAATTTGTTACCACTAGCCCTGCCCAGCAAGAAATGCTGAAGGGAGTCTTGCAAGTAAAATGAAACACTGAACAGTGTTTCCTGACTTGATGCTGTATGAAGAAATAAAGATGTCAAGAAAGGATATATATGCAATCATAAAAACGACTATTATTGTAACAATGGTTTGTAACTCCACATTTTGTTTTCTATATGATTTAAGTGACTAATTTTTTTTATATATTATTAGTCTAAAAGTTAGTATTATTGTAACTTTTAATTCCACATTTTTTCCTACATAATTTAAAAGGCTAATGCATGTAAAAGAATTACTAGTTTGTTTCGGGACACACAATGTATGAAGACAGAGTTTTGTGACATTAATAACCAAAAGGGTGGAGACAGAGCTGCAAAGGAGCAGTTTCTTTATATTAGTACGTTGTTTGTTTTTTGTGTTAAATTAAGCTGTTATAAATTCAAATTAGAGTATTATAATTTTAGAATGTTAAATGTAATCCTTATGGTAACCACAACAACAATACCTACAGAATATACTTAAAAGGAAATGAGAAAGGAATTTACACATTTCACTACAATAACCAAGGGGTAGAATCAACCCAGGTGTCCATCAACAGATTACAGGATAGACAAAATGTGGTCCATACATACAAGGAAATAGTAATCCTGCTTTAACCCTCTCACACGCCACAACATGAAGACATTATACTAAGTGAAATAAGCCCATCACACACACACACAAATACTGGATGATTTGACTTGCATGAGGTATCTACAGTAGTCAGATTCATAGGCGCAGCCAATAGAATGTTGCTTACCAGGGACTAGGGGGAGGGGAAATGGGGATTTATTGTTCAATGTGTATAGTTTCAGTTTTGCAAGATTTGGAAGCTCTGGAGATCTATTGCACAACTATGTGAATATGCTTACGGTTAAATGCTAACTTTTACATTGTTGTTTTTTTACTACAATTAAAAAATTTTTTAAAGAAAGCGGACAATAACAAATATTGGCAAGAATATGGAGACAAAAATCTCATACATTGCTGTATGAGTGATACAGCCACTTTGGAAAACAGTTTGATAGTTTCTTTAAAAATAATATTAAACACAGGGCCCAGCCGGTGTGGCTCAGTGGTTGAGTGTCAACCTGTGTGCCAAAAAGTCACCAGTTTGATTCCTGGTCAGGGCACATGCCCAGGTTGTAGGCCCAGTCCCCAATGGGAGGTATGCAAGAGGCAACCAATTGATGTTCTCTCTCATCGATGTTTCTATCTCTTCCTACTTCTCCCTTCCTCTCTCTCTAAAATTAATAAAGAGGAAAAAAAATTAAACATAGGCCCTGGCCGGTTTGGCTAAGTGGTTAGAGCGTAAGCCCATGGACCAAAGAATCTTGGGTTAGATACCAGTCAAGGGCATATACCTTGGTTGTGGTTCGATCCCTGGCCCTGGTCAGGGTTGTGCGGGAGGCAACCAATCTATGTGTCTCTCTCACATGGATGTTTCTCTGTCTCTCCCTCCCTTCCTCCCACTCTACCGGAAAATCAATGGAAAAATATCCTTGGGTGAGGATTAAAAAAAAAAAAATTAAACATAAACTTATCATGTGACCCAGCTATTCCACTTTCAGATATTGACCCAAGAAAAATGAAAACTTTTATCTACCAAAAACTTGCATGTGACTGTTCATAGCAGCAGTATTCATAATAGCCCCAAAGTGGAAACAACCCAAATGTCCATCAACTGTTGAATTGATAAACAATGCGCTATGTCCATACACAAGAATACCATTCAGTAATAAAAATGAGCTACTGATACATGCCATGACATGGATGAACCTCAAAAAACATTAAGCTAAGTAAAAGGAAACCATGCACACACAAGATCACATAGTGTATAATGTATAATTCTGTATATAGGCAATGTCCAGAAAGGCAAGTCAGTAAAGCCAGAAATAGATGAGTGGTTGCCTGGGGCTGGAAGTGGGGATGGGAATGAACTGTAAACAGGCAGACATGAGGGATCTTATTTCAGTGATGAGGGTGTTGTAAACAAATGGGACTACATCAATCTTAAAAGCTTCTGCACAGCAAAAGAAACCATCAACAAAATGAAAAGGGAACTCACTGTATGGGAGAACATATTCGCCAGTGATACATCTGACAAGGGGTTAATTTCCAAAATATATAAAGAACTTAAACAACTCAATACCAGGAAGATAAACGATCCAATTAAAAAATGGGCAAAGGCTGGCTGGTTTGGCTCAGCGGTTAGAGCGTCGGCCTGCGGTCCGGAGAGACCCGGGTTCGGTTCCCGCTAAGGGCACGTACTTCGGTTGCAGTTTGTCCCCGGAAGGCCCTGAATAGACACTTCTCCAAAGAGGAAATACAGATGACCAATAGACATATGAAGAAATGTTCAGCGTCACTAATCATCAGAAACATGCAAATTAAAATGACTATGAGGTATCACCTCACACCTGCCAGAATGGCCGCCATCAACAAAAAAGTGCTGAAGAGGATGTGGAGAAAAGGGAACCCTAGTACACTGTTGGGAGTGCAGACTGATGTAGTCACTGTGGGAAACAGTATGGAGTTCATTCAAAAAATTAAAAATGGAACTGCCTTTTGACCTAGCAAATCCCATTTCTGGGAATATATCCTAAGAATCTCAAAACACCAATTAGAAAGAATATATGCACCCCTGTGTTCATAGCAGCATTATTTACAACAGCCGAGATCTGAAAATAGCCCAAGTGCCCATCGGTAGATGAGTGGAGAAAAAAAGCTGTGGTACATTTACATAATGGAGTACTGTGAGGCTGTAAAAAGAAAGGAACTCTTACCCATTTCAACAGTATGGATAGACCTGAAGATTATAATGCTAAGCGAAAAAGCTAGACGGAGAAAGACAAATATCATATGCGCTCATATGTGGAATCTAATGAACAAAATAAACTGATGAACGAAATAGAACCAGAGACATGGATACATGGTACAGACTGAGAGATGTCAGAGGGGAGGTAGGTGGGGCAGATGAGATGAAGGAAGGTAAAGAGAATAGCCAGAGAACATACATGCATAGCCCATGGACACAGACAATGTGGTGAGGGCCAGAGGAAAGGGAGGGTGGGGTCTGGGGGGCGGGTGGAGAGGGGGAATGGGGGACATCTGTAATTATGTCAACAATAAAAAAATAATAAATTGGTTATGGTGATGGTTCCCGAACTTCATACATTTATAACAAATCATTGAATTGTACATTGAAAATGGGTGAATTGTATGGTTTGTCAATAAGATTGCTTTAAAAAAATTGGGGGGAAAGAAGAATATTCTCAAAATTCAACACCATCTGAAGGAGATGAAAGAAGTGATAATAGCAAGCAGTGTAGAGAGGATATAAAAGAAGCTTTAAGAAAATAAAAAAAATCTTCACAAGGAATGATTTTCTTAGTACACTATATGGATTTCCAGTGTAGCAAATAATTTTAACATGTTCCTCACATTGTGAACACTATTCAGTTATCATGTTTAGAATCAATTTTATACAAAGCGTAGAAGACAATGTTATAGCTTTGACCATGGAAAATAGAAAAGTATAGAAAATAAAGGTTGGGAGATGAGAAGAGATAGCATCTCTGAGAATAGTAGGGCTAGTATAGCATCCTTATCTTACAACGTGGGGAGACAAAATATATTATCTGTAAATGATGGAACATAGAGATACAGTTATTTTGGGAAGAGAAGTGGGGTGTGGCATAAGTGAGTTAAATCCTTATCTAGCACAGCATACACCAATAGGGAATGTCTAAAGTTGATAAATAAGAAATAGTGATAAGAGCATATTTTTTAGAGATGTTTAGGGTAAACTTCAGGATACTGAAAGGGACAAGGAGTTATGGATAGGTGTCACTGGAAGACCTTTCTCATAAATCCAGCACAAATATTTGAGTTTTTAAAAATTATTTATATCAAAGATACAGGAAAACATTACACATTTAGAAAACAAAGGAATCCCATCCCCACTGCTCAAAAAAAAGAAAGAAAGAAATGGTAGATACTTAGAATGGTCATTCTTTTTCCTGTTGACCAAATGATACCCTACTCTAAGAGTTTAGTTCCTAAAAAGCATGCTTGCCTACCAGCGTTTGAAAGGTCCTCCACAGAGGCCAAAAATGGTTTGATGCCCTCTCATTCTTTGAAGTCTCAAAGCCTGAGCTCTCGGGCCTGGATCCCAGCACTTGTCTCCCAGTAAAGGGAAACTACCAAATTGCACCTGCCCACCTGCTGAGGGACAGGTGCTTACAGTGGCTTCGGTTAGAACTATCACCAAATAAATCACAGGGACACCAAGACTCAGGGGCATATGTTAAATAGGGGCTTCAAACAAACAAAAATCAATAAGGTCTGTGTGCCACCCAAGTCCATGCTCTCTACCTGCATCAGTTGGGCTTTATCAGTGAGGGTCATTCAACGGTAAGAAAACCCACCTCAGACTTGCACACACAATAAGACTGTGCATCAGCTCACATTACTACTAGTTCAGCAGCCAGGTGGACATCATGGTTGCTTGAGCTAGCAGCTCAGCAGAGTCGTTTGGGAGCCAGTTCCTGCCTCTGTTCTGATAGTCAGAGTTGAGGGTTTATTCTGAAACTGACAGATTTGGTGAGAGTGGGACAGACTTCCTATGGCCTTCTCTTAACATTGGGAGGTCTGCACTCCTGCGCTTCCAGGAACGCCCTATTTGCCCTCTTTTGTAATGACCTAGATGGCATGCTCTCCCTTTTAGGTGTAAACACTCTTGTTGACTCATGGTCTTCCTTTGGACGAAGTATTTGTGAGAGCCCAGTGCTCGCTGTCATCCAGTAGACTGAAGAGATACCTCACATTTTTTTCTCCCACAGGGACAAAATCTGCCTGGGCGAGTCCTTTTCCTGCGTTACGTGGTACAGACCCTGGAAGATGACTTCCAGCAGGTCCTGAGGAAGCAACGACAGCATCTGCAGCAATCCATTGCAAACACTGTGCTGTCCTGTGACAAGCAGCCCCACAATGTCAGGTAACCGGCCACCTGAGCCCTGGGATGGCAAGAGGCAAGGGGTGTAGGTGGGCCAGAGAACATCAGGTGGATGAGATATTCTAGTTGCGGGATGGTGTGACAGGTAGTTACTGGAACTATAGGCAGTCCTAAAACAACTGTCTGTACCAAGCGTATGTCCGGCCTCAGAGCTTGTATGTTTTCTCTGGAGGCCATCAGACTTCCTTTGGTCTATTTCACTATTGTGCAAACAACCTCAGGAGAGCTAAGAGGATCCTTAACTCATGTTGGTCAGTCTAAGGTAAGAAAATCAGCATGTAGAGAATTCTCAAAGAGCACAGGATAGTGTAATTGGGTTTTAAATTAAAAAATAACAATTTGAATAAGAGTAACTGCCGACCATTCTGCTGTGTGAACGTAGGCATTGGATTGAGTAGGCAGCGAAGAGGCATTCCCACTCAAGCCGATGTTGTCAGTCATTCATTTCCATCTCTCCTGATGTGAGCCTCTCACTATCCAGAGTGTGATTCTAGGGCTTAAAAATAGGCATGTGTGGCCTCGAAATGCAAACCAGGTCCTCCATTCTGTGCTTTATCAGTGAACAAAGCCATCTGTTCCCGATGGGAAAACCAGCTGTCTTCGATTGAAGGAAGAGATGGATATGAGATTAAGGTTGTGGTTACATGGATATATGCATGTATTTATCAAAACTCCTCACACAAAGCCTGTGTGCCATTTGTTGTATATAAATTATTCCTCACAGATAAGGTTTTAAAAAGAGAGAGACGGTAAATCAGTCTCCACATGACCCCTTTTTAGGGAATTTCTTTTCTTTTGTAACTGTGCCGACAAAGAGTGAACTAGTTCTACAAGATTTGAGAAATACACTAGTCCCCAGGTCCCCTCACCTGGATTTCCCTTTCTCACAGGGATAAATACTTTCAACTTTTCCATTTAAGTGATTCTTTGGGTATTTACGTCTGTGTAGCTAACAACCTGCTGCATTGCTTGTTCTTGACTTTGAATTACTAACTACCATCCATCGACTTCCCACAGGAAGGATGAGGAGGTAGGTCTTTTTGCTGCCTACCTCCTCCCTCCCCCACACTTTTCCTAGCCCCCGTATCATTAATATAGTTACATCATAATTTTGTGTAGGTCAGTATTTGATGTTTCTATTACTATGACTATGCTAGTCAGAATTGAGCGAAGTACTAAACTATGATAAGTTTTCCTTTCCCTTATAACTTTTTGTTTTCCTTAGAGTTGATAATTGCCTTACTTATTTTAGAATAGTTCCTCCTATTCTTTGTGCATATTGGAAGTCAATCCCACATTCTCTACTATTTTATCCGAATCTCCCCTCAGATGTTTATTATGTTTCTCTTTGAATATCTGTGATAAAACATTTTGACCTCCTTCATTCTGGATTGTTGTCCTTTTTGTCACTCCTTATCATAAGTGTGAGAATTCCCTCTGCCTGTTCCCAGGGTTGGACTCTTGCTTATTTGTCCTACTTCTTTTTCTTGGTTCACTCCCTCATTTTGATGGCTTAGTCTTCAGTAGCTTTTAGAAAGGTATGTGGCAAGTAAAATGTTTGAGATCTTGTATATCTGAAATTATGTTTATCTTCCCACGCATTGATTGATAACTGAGTATAGACTTTTAGGTTAGAAATAACTTTTCTACAGAATGTTGAAGGAAATCTTCCATTGTCTTCTAGCTTCCAGAACCACTATTAAGAAGTCATAAGTTTGATCACTGATTCTTATGTGTCCTGGTTCTTATCTCTGCAATTTTATAGAATCTTCCTCTTGCCCAGTATGTTTCTTGTAGGTCTATATTCCTCCATTGTGTGGGCCATTACAGTCTGGAAATATGTCCTCCATTCCTGGAAATATAGTTTTCCATTTCCAAGAGCTCTTTTGCTTATTTCTCTAAATGTTCATTTTTAAAATAAATAAATAATATTCTGTTGTCTTCTTTCATGGATCTATATCTTCTCATATCTTTGGTGATATTAATGATAACTTTTATTTTTGTTTATCCTCTGTATAATGTCTATTTTTTCCAAGTTGCTTTTTTGAGGGGAGGGATGGTTTGGGCTATTTTGGTCTTTATCTCTCATGTTGGGGTATTTCCATAGATGTCTGGTAAACCTTGGTAGTCTATTCATGTTTAAGGGTAGCAGACTCAAAAGTTGATGAAGCTCTGAGTCCATGGGAGGACGTGTCATTTCTGAACTTCCCTGCAGGTGGAACTGGCTGCCCATTTCTTAATAAGACTTTGTCCATGTCTTTAGGTCTTTCCTCTGGGCTGGATGGGTTTTCCATAGAAGACTTCCAGCCTCCTACGTGAAGGATAAAGGCTAGGATGCCAGGGTTTTGGAAGACAGATGCAGGAAGAGGGCAAGGGTCTCCGCATTCAGCACACATATGTTTGCCTAGTGCCCTGGTTTTCCTTCACTGCATTTGCCTCCCAGCTAAGCCTGTATTCTAGTCCAGAGACCCTGTTTTACCTCTCCATAAAGGTAGCCTGTAGTCTTCAGGGCTGGGGAAGGAGCTCTAGAAGTCTAACATTTCCTTAAACATCTTACAAGCCAGAATACTTATTTCAGTTTCTCCCTTCCATCCTCACTTCAGAGGAATCTTGTACTGCCACTTGCAAAGCTTATCGAAGAAATGTTTTCACCTTTTGGGTAAGTAGTGTCATATAGGATTGCTCTTATCTACCGCTGGCTTAGAATTCAGCTTTCTCGATTCTGCTAAGTCAGTTAAAATTTATCCTTTTGCCATTTAGATTAAACATTATCCTTAAAACATGACTCACTTGCCTTATTTACTTAGTTAATTGGTTACTTTTAATTTTGTAATCAGCATCTCTTAACCACCACCCTCAAATCAGAGGCTGGGACCTTGAAAATTACCTACAACTAACAACACAGTCATCCCCATCACCCACTCCTGCTCCTTCCTGAACCCAAAGTAGTCAGCATCCTCAATGTTCATCATTTCTTTTCCTTTTTATGTAGTTTTATTGCATCTGCATGTGTTCCTATAAAGTATATATTTTTATTTTACTTTTTCCCAGTATATAAAAGGGTATCATGCTGTATGTAATCTATTATATAAGAAAGTCTTTTATTTTTCACTTACTATTACAGTGTACTAAGATTTGCCCATATTGTTACCTATCACTGTAGCTTATCCATTTTCACTACTATATAATATTCTATTTTGTGAATATACTTCATTTTCCTTCCAATTTCCAAAATTTCATGACTCTTATCTCTCCTCTTTCTCTCCCATTCCTTGTGGAGATATATATATGTATATATATATATTTAATTTACTATAGTATTTATTAGTGGGATTTTCAGAAGGAACAACATTATGTGTGTGTATTCAGTCTACCATTTTTGCCTGGATCCTAAGTGATTGTTAAAAATAATTTTTTCTATATGAAATATTTTTACCTTACTGACTTTTAGAGCCTACATCCTGGTAAAATATGACTCCACTATACCTGCTGTAAACCTGGCTTATTAGCATTAATAGATGACACCTAATGACTGACAGCCAGCAAGGACTTCTGTGTTCATTCAGTCCAGCTCACCACCTAGTCAAAGAATGTGCCTGGTCAGGAAGCCACAAATAGTGCTCTTTGACCTCGGAGGTACCTTTCAATGATGATAACTCAGAGAAAATGTTGGTATCTTAGTTACTTGTATAACCCTACTGCAGTTAAATGTGTGGTTTCCAGTAGATTTTTATTTTATTTTATTTTTTTATCCTCACCTGAGGACATTTTTGCATGTATTTTCAGATAGAGCAGGAGGAAGAAAGGAGGAAGAGAGAGAGAAACATCGATGTGAGAGAGACACATCAACTGGTTGCCACCTGCATGACCCAACTGGGGCCAGGGACAAACTGCAACCTATGTATGTGCCCTTAGTGGCAACAGAACCCAGGACTCTCTGGTCCACGGGCCGACGCTCTAACCACTGAGCCAAACTGGCCAGGGCTCCAGTAGACTTTTACACATTGAAAGTAGCCTAAGGGCCTTCTGGTTGCCTTGTGGAAACATAGGGGGTCTAGGAATTCAGGTTAAAGCTGCAGTTCTGAGCACCATACAATAAGCAAAAGTTTGAACTTTTTCTTATCTTTTTCCCTTGCAGAGATGTGATCAAGTGGTTGTTCAAAGCGGTGACTGAAGGCAGATTAACTCAGCCCCCAAACGGGAGTCATGCCTCTTCGGGCCCAGGCATCTTGAAGGCCAGCAGTAGCCACGCTTCTCCCCAGCCTGCTCTGACGAGGAACACCACTCAGGTGTAAGGGCAGAAGTGTCGCTGTGGGGCTGCTGGAACTGACTTGTAGAAACAGCCCCATTCCCTCACAGCAGTTCCCCAGGTTAACAAGCCCTGAGACAGAAGGATGCTTACTAAAGACGATCTTTTCTGACTAAATTTCTAATTCCAAAGGTAGAACAACAGCAGATGCTTCCCCATAGATGGATAGGGTTCTACTAAGTGAAACAGATTTATAAACTGAAGTGAAACAAAAAATGAGGACACTGTCCTCCCTTTCCTGGACACCGAGAGACAGGACAGCTACTCATGCTTCCGCTTCCACTGACAGGAGAAGGAGGGGTGGGCAGGGGTGATCAGCAGCCACTGGTCCTTAAGGACCTGTGTCTCCCTCCAGTCCTGGGAGATGTCTGGCTGTTCAGCCTGCCAGTTCCACCGTGACAATAGTGGTTCAGACCAGGTCGGTCCCATGACCACCGGAAAGACTCCTGGTGTTTCTTTTATGAGGTTGAGAGTGGTCTTGGCATTTTTAAGAGTGCCAAGATTTTAGGGGCTGGAGCTGCCCTTACACAAGTAACCCGTGTCAATCATATTGTTAAATACCAGTCACACTTGACAATTTAGACACAACATTTGTACCTAAATTCACAATGATATTTCATAATCTAGTTGCACCAAGCTGATTTGCATACAAGACTTACGGGTTTTGACTAACTTAGGAGATAGTCTTGTACCAAAATGGAGAATGTTTTGAAACAAATAAGCATTTACATGGGCAGATTAGGGGAGGCCCTGAAGTCGGGCTATCCCAGAACCCCAGTGTGCAGATCCAAGAGAGGCTGACACTGTTCCTTCAAGGGAAGCTAATATCATAAATAATGGTAACAAGACATTTGTTGTAAGTAAAAATTAGTAGAAATAAAAAGTCAATTTACTAGGATCTTGCCAACACTGATCGGCACTGCCGTCTACCATCGGTGAGTGCCTAGCTGCCACACGTTTCACAGAGCACACACCGCTTTCTGAGATAGGCAGCATGAGTAATCTGTGTGCTGGTCACTGCAGACCCAGACTCAGGCCCGAGCCCCACGTCTGCCCGTTGTGTCACCAGCTGCAGATTTCCTGCAAACGTCCTCTCTTCCGTCACAATAATAATGCATGTTAGAAAAGGTGGAGTTCAAGCCAGCTCACCTTCCTGAGGGGTTGCCCAGATTCCTTCACCACATCAGCCTCTAGGTCTCATGGGAGAGACGGTCACGTTCCACCAGTTGAAGTTCTGAGACTGAATTTAGCAAAAGATTAGCATAAAGGAATCCATAACAGGAGAAAACTATGTGGCAAATATCTACAAGGGTAAGGAAAAGTGGGCTTACAGTTGTTTTATGTGGAAAAAGACATAAGACAATAATTAATAAATCAATAGTAATGCAAGAAAGAATAAACTGCGTTTCACAACTGTAAACCTACTTTTGCCCACTGCTGTACTTCCCTGTATCAAAGAGATTCAAACACGTGTTATTCATTCTGGACCTGTTTCTTCATCTGTACAACAGAAGTTACAGGTGAGACGATCCTCAAAGTACTCGAGAGCCTTAAGATTGTATATTTCTATCTTTGAATGTAAAACAGCTTGCTTTTGCAGCTCAACCCAGGTTCGGAGAGATTTAGATAGTACAATCTGGGAAAAGGGGTTCAGGTAGGTGAAACTGCTGAATAATAGCATGCTGATGGCTTGAGCAGTTCTCCCTGGCCCACTGGGTGCTTTACAAGACCCTCTAGAGTACTGGTGGTGACCTCCCTGCCGGCAGGTGGCTCCTGCCAGACCTCCCGCTCACCTGCATCCGTTCTGGCCTTAGGGTCGTGTGCCAGCTGCAGAGGATGCTGTCCATCGCTGTGGAGGTGGACAGGACCCCCACCTGCAGCTCCAATAAAATTGCCGAGATGATGTTTGGGTTTGTGCTGGACATTCCAGAGAGGAGTCAGAGGTGAGTCTTAGTTCTGTTTTTCTTTTTTATTCTGGGAACATAATTTCGAAAAAAAATTCCAAACAGTTAAATTGGGGAAAAAAGAGGTGGAGGGATAGTTCCTGTCTCTATAAGTGTGAAAGAAAAAGTTCTCAATGAATTTTTATTATTTGCAACTAAGGCATAATTTGGGGGGGAAGAGGCAGGATACCTTAACTGGAGCCTACATTTTCTGACTTTGTCCATTTGTCTAACAACCTCACTCATCTTTCAAGGTTCATCTGTTAAGCACAACCTTCTTCCCTGACCCTCAGCCACAGAGCCTGGCATAGATGTGATTTGTCTGCTTATCACTGTAGGCTTGAGGGATGAGTGAATTAGGCATGTCCAATAGTAGAATGATCAAGAATGAACAGGGTTGGGCCTGTGGAATGAGCCTGGGTAATGAGGATAAGGAATTCAGTTTCTCTAAGCATGAATTAATGAAGTATTCCATTAGGAGGGGATAACGAAATAGAGTTCTTGGCTAGAACTAAAGATTCCTTCTTTGAACCTGTAATTTGAGAATCCAGAGGAAGAAAAATAAACTGGAATGAATATGAATTCCCGAACAGTTGCTGGTACAGGAAGCAGCTATGAGAGAGCCATTGTACAGTGGTGACCCCTGGGAAAGCGATCTCCCTCGCTCCCAGCCTGCCCTCATCTCCAACCCCGAAGCTCCCCGTTGGCAGCCAGGAGTGTTCTACAGCTCTGGTTCCTCTATGAGAAGAAAATGTCCTACTAAATATTACTGTAATAAAGATTTAATTAAGACACTCTGCTAGGATGAAGACATTTATTGGGTCCTTACAGTGTGCCAGTCATTGTCACATTATCTCATATTTTCATGAAACTAACAAATGAGAAAAAAACTAAAAGTAGTAAGATAACTAGCCCAGGTTTACACAGCAGAACTTTTAATGCCAAGTTCACTGTTCAAAGGCGGCAGTACGTGAGCGCTCAGACAGAGGTGCTTAGACGCCGTGCTTGCTCTGCCACTTCCCAGGAGCACTTCACTGGGGTCCCACTCGCACACCAGTCACTCATTTAAGCCCAGATTCTGGCGAGAGATGAGAAATCTAAGGAATGCGTAACTATAAACACATTTAGACTTAACAAAGACAAACACAATTTAAGTAAAACCTGGCCCTACTTTAAAACTCTCTCAGGGCAAATTGGCAAACACCCAAATTATGCTAGACGATCCTTTATCTTCATGCCCTTTGCTGAGCCAAACAGTATCTAGCACATTGTGGACATTCAGAAATATTTATTCTTGGTATTAATTCTCTTAGTCACGGTATGAAGTAATTCTTTTTAATGTGCCCGAAACTGGTCTTTTCCAAATAGCAAAGACTCTCGCCCCCCCCACTCCCCAGCAGTTATTCGTTCCCGAGCAAATCTGTGTCCGCCCTGTCCACAGGCTTTGTGACTTTGTAGGGCTCCATGGGGCTCCTTCGTAGCCTGTTTGGGGCCAATGTTAGAGCATCCGGGGAACTGTGGAACACGTTCCTGGAAATGAGAGCCGTGACGGTTCGCTCCCTCTTTCCTGTCTCCCTGCAGAGAGATGTTCTTTACCACCATGGAGAGCCACCTTCTGCGCTGCAAAGTGTTGGAGATCATATTCCTGCACAGCTGCGAGACGCCCACCCGCCTACCGCTGTCTCTGGCCCAGGCCCTCTACTTCTTGAACCATTCCACATCGCTGCTCAAGTGTCAGGTACCTGCCCCCCTGCTTCAGTTCAGGCCCGGGCACCTTCTCCCAACCCTTGAGCATCCCATCCAAGTGACTTGGAAGCTGCACGAAACCTTTAACTGAGGTGGGTGTTTGTTAGCAAGTGTTCTTACTGTCTCCACAGTCAGACAAAACCCAGTGGCAGACATGGGACGAGCTGGTCGAGCACCTGCAGTTTCTGTTATCCAGCTACCAACATGTGTTAAGAGGTATGTTACTGACTTGTTCACAAGTGAGATGGTGTGGGAGTCTCACAGGGGACAGGGTAATGAATTAGTTACATGGGGATTCTAGTCAGTTAGCGTTGTCCCTTGGTTGTGCCTGTGTAAGGAACAGGGACTGATGTAGCTGGAGTGGCTGCTATGAAACGCGAATTCACCGGTTTCCCTATGGCATGCACTACACTGACCCCACCAGCATTAGGAGTGAGCGGGAGTCATCATGACGTGGGAAGTGGTCAGGAATGACCAGACTAGCCCGGGCAGCCCTGGCAGCCTACCCCAGCCCATCACTGCCGTGTCTTTGTTGGGTGGATTACTCACTGACTGGACATTATAAACATCTGTCAGGATGAGGCAAATACAGAGCGAATCAGTGGCAAGGTAAAAGCGTACATATTGCAAAAGATGGAAGACACCCTAACATCTGTCAGAGCAGCTCTGCTCAAATCACAGCTGAAGCTGGATAATAGCTGCTTCAAATGAGAATGATTTACTAGCCAAGGATTAATGAGGCCCTTAAGAAAAGTGATATAATTATTATTTTTTTCTTTATTGATTTTAGAAAGAGAGGTAGGGAAAGGGAGAGAGAGAGAAGCATTGATGAGGGAAAACACTGGCCGCCTCCTGCATGACCCCCACTGGGGATCAGGCCCACAACCTGGGCATGTGTCCTGACTGGGAATCAAACCGGTGACCTCTTCGTGCAGGGGTCGACGCTCAACCCCTGAGCCACACCAGCTGGGCGCCAGTTTTCTTCTAAAGTTACTATAAATTAGTAATTATATCACTTTTCTTGCCCAGCAGTTGATGTTCTCTCTCAACGATGTTTCTATCTTTCTCCCCCTCTCCCTTCATCTCTCTCTAAAATCAATAAAGAAAAATTAAAATTTAAAAACACCCACAAAAACTGGCATCCCTCTTGATGTGAGGCCCTGAGGACACCTCAGCACTTATGTAATATTCTTACCAAAAAGCCAGGACCTAAATCTAATCATAAAGACAATCAGACAAACCCATTTTGAGGGACCTTTCACAGAATAACTGGCCCGTACTCTTCAAAAGTGCCCCTTTCTTAAAAACAAAGGAGGACCAAGAAACTACTCCATTGTAGAAGGGAACTAAAGCATGTAAGTACTAAGTGCAAAACATGGTCCTAGATGGGATCCTGGGTCAGGAGAAAAAGCTAGAAAGTACATTATTGGGACAACTGGTGAAATTGAAATAGATTAGATAATAGAATTACATTAATATATTTCCTATTTTTTATAATTATCCTGGCTTATGAAAGTAAATGTCCTTGATCTTAGATCCATACTGAAGTATTGAGGGGTAGTGGGGCAGTGTCTTTAACTTACTCTCAAACAGGAAGTAGAAAAAGTATGTATATCAATTTTATCTGCCATGATCCTGTTGAGGCTGATTTTAGCTCAGTAGTGGCACTTGGGAAGATAAGGTCCCAATACCCTCTCAGGCCTAGAACTGAGGAGGCTGTTGTAGAGACAGAAAAAAGAAGGAAAAAGAAAAAGCTCTGGATTTAAGACAGAAGTTCAGGGTTTAAATCCAAACCTAGCACTTATTCTGCACTGGGCAGCTAACTTTGTTTCTAGACCTTAGTTTCTTCCCTTTACAGAAGGGGTTGGCAATATTTAACCTGCCAAGACTGATTCTAAGCAGGTGTGAGAAAAAAGTAGGCAGGGCTGTCATTTTGAGTGCATCTCGGTCTGCCTGTTTGCCTAGCCAGGGGTCGGCTACAAGGGTCTTCTGTTTCAAGTTCTCATAACTGGACTTAACAGAGCGCATCAAGGCCACAACATGGGGTGGACAGTGTGGGCATTTCTAGCACTCTCAAGGACAGTACATGTCCTTCCTAGAGCAAAGCCCCAAAGGCACATTCCATGTGTGCTGAGCCTCACTGAGTTTTATGTAATTATTTCTTTTAGCGATCTAGCAGAAAGTTTAATATTAAAGCCGCTTGTTTTTGTTTAAAGTTCACCTTTAAACACTTCTTGTTCATTTCTGTTTTGCTTCCCAGGAAATACACCTGTGTCATGGGCAATAGTGACTTAACATGGACATGGAATCAGTTTTATTACAGACTATTCTTATGCTTCAAATAAGGGAAAGGAAGGCCTCAGATCAGTACACAGGAGTGGGGAAAAGTAGGTTTACAGTTGTAATACAAATAGATAATACAATAGTTAATAAATAATCATATAAAAATAAACTGTTTCATGTACTCACAACTGTAGACCTACTTTTGCCCACCCCATATTGAATAAATGGGCTGTGATCCAATGTTCTTTTATCCTAGACATCCTCTCCAGTTTCTTTGGAGACCAAGTAGTCTGAAAACTGTCCTACAGCTGACTGGTACCCTGAAATGACCAGTGTCCTTGTCAGCGGGCATTTTACTGTGTTTACAATTTTTTTTTTTTTTTTATCCTCACCCGAGGACATTTTTCCATTTTTTGTTCAGACAGAACGGGAGGGAGAGAGAGGAAGAGAGAGAGAGAGAGCGAGAGAAACATCGATGTGTAAGGGACACATTGAGTGGCTGCCACCCACACGACCCCACCAGGGCGGCCGGGGGCAAACTGCAACCGAGGTACGTGCCCTTAGCGGGAACCGAACCCGGGTCTCTCTGGACTACAGGCTGACGCTCTAACCGCTGAGCCAAATTGGCCAGGGCAGCGGGCATTTTACTGTGAGGGAGCCTTAGTCATCTCTGCCTCTTCAGCGGTCTGAGGACGTTGCTGAGGGCATTTGGACATTAGCCTGAGCTCCAAGGGTAGGGGAAGAAGGGAAGAGGTTGGGAAGCCTCTTAACATGGAGGGAGAGAGGAAGGAAGATGAGGTAAATTCACATACACTGGTTTACATCATCCAATGACCTCATGAAAGTCCTTGACCTTTTACAGATGGGAAAACAAAGGCTGAGAAAAAATGTAGAACTAGGGCTCAAACTTGCACAGCAAGGAATTACTTTTCTATGAAATCACTAGGTGAGATTAGACAGTGAGAGTCTAAGGAATTTCCAACCCCTCTTTTCTTTTTTCAAAATTTTTTCCCCTGTATTGATTTTAGAGAGAGGAAGTGAGAGGGAGAGACAGAAACATTGATGAGAGAGGACATCGACTGGCCGCCTCCTGCATGCCCCCCGCTGGGAACTGGGCCCACAACCTGGGCATGTGTACCAATCGGGAATCGAACCGGCGACCTCTTGTGCATGGGTCGATGCTCAGCCACTGAGCCACACCTGCCGGACCCAACCCCCTTTTCTAAACTCCCTGTACGTGGTTAAATTGCTTTTGTATAGACCCTTGACCTTGGGGAGAAGTATATCCTGAAACTTCACATTTTCAAACATTCCCACAGAGGGCAGAGAAGCCCCACGAGACATGGATGCTGGGCTGTGCACTGAACTCACTCTCTGGCTGAAAGAAGCAACCCCCATCCCCCGTTTCTGAACACAGATACATTTGCTCACTTGGTCTACCCTACAATATATACCAAATGGTTTCCTTAAACAGAATTACTCTAATAAACCAACACCACAGTAAACTTACTAAGTACAAGTTCAACATTTCTTTGCAATACTTAGGAAAACCTCTCCCTGAAGATATTAAAAATTCATCTGAATATTTTTCAAGTGGTTATATTAATTTTAAAGAGTTCCATTGTTTAAACCAAGGGAAAAAATTATAATGGAATGCAATTTTTTTTAAATATGAAAAATTTGAGGACCAGAGAGAACCAAGAATAATGGACCTTTTGGAAATAGTTACTACAGGTACCCACTTGGCCTTTGACTTGTATCCCAGTAACTACTCAACAAGTCTTTGCCCAGACCCTGCCTACTAAAACAGGACTTCATTGTGTTAAATTGCAAAGGAATAAAAAGCAGGTTCAACTGACTTTTTCCCCTTGCAGAGCATTTACGGAGTTCGGTGATCGATCGAAAAGACTTAATAATCAAAAGAATTAAGCCCAAGCCCCAGCAAGGCGATGACATCACAGTGGTAGACGTGGAGAAGCAGATCGAGGCCTTCCGCGGCCGCCTGGTCCAGATGCTGGGGGAGCCGCTGGTCCCCCAGCTCCAAGACAAAGTGCACTTGTTGAAGCTCCTGCTCTTCTATGCTGCAGACTTGAACCCTGATGCAGAGCCCTCTCCCAAGCACTGGAGCAGCCCCTGAGGTCCTGCCACACACTGAGCACCTAGAATACCTCCTGAACTCCATGCTACTTGGAAGTTCTAAAAGTATAAAAAGTAGTTAAGTCTTATAGGACCAAACCTATCTTATTTATCTGTAGGTTAAAATAACTTTCTAACAACTCTTTAGTAAATACTTTTTTTTATATTACTATCCTAGTCTATTCTCAAATATGGCTTAAATATATAAGGTGTATATATTTTTTGATAAATTATTTATCTATACTTTTTGAAACAAGTAATACTATATGCACTTATATGTTTAACATTTCCATTCAAGATGTGAAAAAAATCCCTCTGAACAAATCATAGACATCAAATGTTACTCAAGGTATTGACAACTTGTTTGAAAGAGAAAGACGTATTCACTTCTCCCTAATGGAACACAAACATCAACATTAGACCTGTTATATTTCCTATGAATTTGACTTTGTGTTCAGTTTATTAAGATCTGATGTAATGGGGGGAGGATGGGAAGTTAGAAACAAGAGGCTGCGTGTGTTACAAAAAATGTTAAAATGATACAATAAAAAGGCAATGGTTTTTCAAAATACCAAGTTTACCTGCTTATCATGACTATGAATAAGCAGGCTAAGGCTTAATAGGACAAAGAAAACACCTATCCACATTTGAGAAAGTAGTAGGGATTTTTATTGTCAAAACAAGTAAGAGATACGAGCATTAACAAGACACAAATAAATTAATTGTTCTCATCACTTGAGACTCTAGGGCCTCTCTATGGAAAGGTCAGACCAGCTTGCTATGCAGACGATCCTTCCAAAGCAAGGACAGCAGGGATTTGAGACAGTGTTCAGGACAATGACCCGACACATCTACAGTGAGAAAGGGACAGGTGCTTTCCCCGGTTCCTTTCCTCGGTAAGCTGTGTGTGTGCAGGTATGAGGCTCATTTGGGGGGAAATGATTGCATATAGAAAATTGTTCATCCTTCCACGTGGCTCTTAGAAAAAGTTTCAGGCCCTGGTGACACCTGTTTCCCATGAATGTCTGGACTAGAATCTACAGATAGTTGCCACCATCTTTATTTTTAAAAAGCTTAACATCCGTTTATCTATACCAAAGCAGTAGGCTGAATTTTCTCCCTTAGAAACTTTTCTACCGAATTAGAATAGAATTAACTTAATCTCACTTTACAGTGCAGCAAAGGGGAGGAGAGACTTGTGTGTGTTGACATGAGACACTGCCCAGCAGAATGCCCGAGGCACCGCAGTAAGAACTGGCTCTGCCTGAGAGCCACAGTGAGGGCTCCGGTCTCCACGCAGGAAGAGGGGCCCTGCCAGTCTGGCTTTTCTTCGAGCCCAGATCTCAGAGCGCCGGTCCCCTCACTGACAAGGCTGGAGCACACACAGCACCAGCAGTCAGGAGGGCCAGAGACCAGTCAGTGAGCACCTCTAGGCCACAACTTGTCCATCTCACGCTGACCGTGGTAAAGGAATCACGAAGCCTTGGTTTGGGAACAACACAAACGTTACCTACCTCGCAAGCAATGATCGAGTTCCTGTCTAGGCTAAAGATGTAAAAACAGGTGATGAGGCCCCCATATATCACTGCTGAGATTATTTAGTCTAACTTTAAATTAAAGCAATACACAATGGCTTCTTCCACACAAGGACAAGCTTTGCACTAATATTTCTCAAAAACCAATTATGTCTCTAGTTCTAGCCTCAGTTTAAGAGGTTTAAAAAAAACAAAAACCCCAAACCTTTCCTATGTCAGAGCCAGGGTAATTGGGAAGTGGGTGCAAGACACCCTCTTATCCAGAGTCATTGGAAGAGAAAGGCCTAGAAGCCGGTGGGTGTGAGCACATTCAAGTCACGGGGTTTGAGATTATGGGTCCGTGGCAGTTGTTTCTTCCCTTCCATCACTGGGATGTCCATGTTGGGCGGCTTGAAGGTTGCGGGATCTTCTGCCATCCGGGTGGCCTGCATGCGGATCAGTTCCATTGGGGAAGGCTTCTGGGCTCCTCTGTAGGGTTGGGTGGCAAAGCCTCCTAAGAAGTAAACCACAGCAAATGATTTCAGAACCAGCAGGCAACTCCCAATACACCTGGCAAAATGCCTGCCACACGGCTTTCTCTTTTGAGGGAACTGCCTTACCTGAATCAGACTTCTGGAGGGATCTTGGTCCAAAGAGGCTCCATTTATCTGCTGCATTTCTATCTTTATCTCCGCTTCCAGAATCCATGGTGCTAAGATTTGGGCCAGGCAAGGCTGTGGAAGAGCCAGAAGAGAACCAGCCTCTGGCAGAGAAAGAATAAAACATCTAGAAGTGTCTCGTGTGAAATACCTAGGAACTGTCAACTCCCCCTTCTCGCTCAGAAACCACAGGCTTAAGTCCCAATTTCATACATATACTGCCGCTCGGAAGGGTCACAGAAAGGGCTCACCGAGGCTTCTGCTTAGGGGAAGAGTGGGGGGTGCTGCTGGGGGTGGACTGGGCAGAGGCCGGCTGCTTCTCCTCCCTCGTTATCTCTCCGCTCTGTAGTTTTAATTTCTGTTCAGATGGGTAAGAGGAGAGACTTCAGCTAAGTTTGGTATAAACAACCTGGTCCACACCAACTTCAGGCAGAAGGAAAACATTAACAGGTAGAATAATTTTGGATTATAGAACAGATATTCCTTTGATTTTGCCATACTAGATAGAACTCCATCTTTTCGAAAAATGTACTAATTCTACAACACATCTTAAACATTTCTGTCCTACTACCACACCGGAGCTTTGGATTCCCCCCTCGCCCAGCCAGTAAGTGCAAGAGCCAGACCTCCAGCTGCAGGCCTCTGGCCTTCTCAGCATGGCCCTGAATCGTCCTCGCTGCCTCTGCTGCTGTGGACAACCCGCCACCACCAGGCTCCGAAGCCACGACATGCAACTCCTCCAGCTGCCTCTTCGCTGTGGAGCCTGCCCCACCCTGTCCCTTTTCCCTCCCATAACCAGTCGTCCTGGGTTCCCTCCGCACTGCAAACATACCTCTAACATACAGACTAGCAGCTGCTGGGGAAGAAATAAATCTACTTCCCAGTTCTTCCAGATTGAGGCTCCCTGCCTGCCTCTATGCTCCATGTCCGGTTTGCCAAAGCTGAGCCCAACCCACATCCAAACAAATGACCCTGACAATTTCCTCAAACACCCACATGTCAGCTTACGTAAGCTGGCATTTCAGCCAGCCTCATGTTCTACTCCTGTGGCCAAGACGCTGATAATGGCCCAAGTCAGTCCTCCCATTACACGGTGAATTGCTCAACACTGACACCGATGCTGGAAAGCTGTGTCACAGGCCGACAGTGCACCTCTCCGGAAGCAACTGTTTTGTCAGCTTCAACTGGCCACCAACCCAATACCGGTCCCCAACAGCAGTGTTTTTACACTTGGTGTGCAACATCATCTGGGATGCTCATTACGAAATGCCACGGTCCACTAGGTCTTGCCACCCGCCCCAGGCTAGTAGGTGCACATCACTCTTTCTCCACATCCTGTGTATCACGACTCTCCTCTGAGCCCCTTCAGGAGTCGGGTTGTCAGACAACTTTGGAATATGGAGGAGAACCAGCAAGAAATGGGGCATCAGGAGACGTGAGTTTAGGTGCTGTGACTGGCTAAACACACGAGCTTGGACCTCAGTCTCTGCCTTTATATTACACGGAGAACGGCTTCCACCTCGAAGGGGTAACACAACGATGACGTGAATGCGAGGGCCCCAGAAATCATAAAGCACTGTTAAGTACGAAGTGGTACCTGAACTGAAGTCACCTGAAATTATTTTATTCATACAACTATCTGATCATTAACTTCACCAAAAATTAGTCTTCATTCATTCCAATTTTAGAAATAAAGAGCAAAAACATTTCAATTTTACATTTGCTCTAAATTTTAAAAAAATTAAACACAGAGCATGACATTCTTCCAGCTACGGTGTCACGTCTGCTGAGGCTGCCCAACCCTCCTCTCCCCTCAGCATCGGTCCCTCCGGTGCAGGAAGTGACGTGCTCACCCACACCACACGCACGAGCAGAGGCTCCTTTCACCCTCCTGCCGGACAGCCCCTTTTTAGACGCGTGAGCAGACCCCGCAGGGATAAGAGCTCCCAACCTTACGACCACCTGCCACCACAGGTGGGACTATCGTAGTTCTACATTCCTCGCCCTCTTCTCTTTCCATCACTCCCCACAACACCCCACCACACCCAGCTGAGCTGGTCACTTCTAACCGACAGCCACATCTCAAGCTAGGAGCGACGAGGGTGTCGTTTTTGTCAAGGTTCCTGAGGAACAAGCTTACGTGGAGCGCTTCTGCCACTCGAAGGTACTTGGTCTCCTCGGTGGTGAGGCCCTTGTGAGGTGTGTAGCCAGCATCTCTCAGCCCTGCCTGTTGCTCAAAACGCTGAATGCTCTCCTGCGTCTGCTCTGGGAACAGAGGAGATGACAGTCATGCCCATCCCCTCTCCCATCACAAACTGGGGGAGGACAGCGCAGACATTCACTGTTCTCCCCAGAAACGAGAGGACACACTGCCCGCCTGAGGAGAGTTTCCCCAGACCAGCAGTGATTCCGAACCTCACAGGAAGGTTCCCTCACAGCCAAATGAAGACCAGACAACCTCCATGGAAACTCCTTACCTTCCTCTTATTTGCACACTGCGGCATTCTCTTTGTGTTTAGAAATGCAACATGCAGAAGCCAGCTGACATACAGAAACAGTGCAAGTTCTCCAAATACATTTCCTAAGAGACTCACCATCCTCACGACCCACACAAAAACCTTCACCAAAGACAAACAGGCTACATTTTGGATAGATGACACCAAGGTAACAATTAGATTCAAACCACAGAGAACATGTCTTGAAGTAGCCAAGGTCTAGCGAGTCAGTGTTTCTCGTGGGTCAGAGTGCCTCTCCCGGTGCCTAGCCCAGCGGACAGACAACTCAGTGTTAAGTCAGTCTGACCTACTAATACTCTAATCAATAAGTCAGCTGTAAGAGTATTTGAGATCTTGCTTCCCGGCGTATGTCATCAGTTTGGCTCAAATAAACTCATAAAATTTCTCTAAAGTAAGTAAGTAAATAAATAAGGTCAGTTTTACTGTGGGATGATTGACAGCTGACTTTTTTGCTTCCTCTGTATACACACTACCTAATACAGCTATGCGTGCAGGAATGTGGCAGTGTGGACCAAAAGTCTAGAGCCCAGGTGTCCTTCATGACTCAGTCATTCCCCTTCGAAAGAACTAGTTTATTTCTATCAGAAACAGGCACAAGAAAAAAACTATGTGTATAAAGATGTTTTCCTGTCTCACCAGCTAGTTACCTAAAAAGGTTAAAGGTGGGAATAGATTTAATACATTACAGCACACCAATACCGGGATTTTAAATGCAGCTATTTGTTAACAATGTAAAACTATGCCAACATACAAAGAAGTCCATGGCAGTATTAACTGAGGTATGACTACCATATCTGCAATTATGTAAAAATATGCATGTAAGTGGAAGTGAATAAGCCAAGTGAGTATCTGAGTGACAGCAACACTCGGGGGTGGCAGGACGCTCTGTACTGCTGGGGAAGTGTCTTCAGTACAGAAGTCATTTGTGCTGGGAGAACAGGACCGAGTCTTCTAACACTGCCAGGACATTCTCAAGCTTGCAAAATACAAGTAGTGGTTGCAATTCAAACGGCATGTTTGCATGTGAATGAGAGGAAGGCCAAGAAGAGTTTGGACTTTTGGTTCTTGGGTGAGCTCTCCAGTAACTGCCCAGATAAACCTATGCCTTCCCAGAGCAGATAAACAAGGACTTCCGACTTCACAACTGTGCCAACAAGGAGAACCTCCATGTGCTCTGTCCTTGGCAGAGGTTGCTGCTGACAGCAGAGCTGTATCTAACAATTAATTGTTAACTTCCCACTGTAGAACCAAGGTTTTTTTTAAAAAAAAAAGCAAGCTCCCTGTTTCCAGTCTTATTAGGACCACAAATCACCCTTCCTTAAGAATAAAGAAGCGGAGGCAACAAACTTGCTTCAAGATCCAGGAAGGGGCGGGGTGGGGGAGAAATACAGACAGGTGGGGGAATGTCGAGTGCCGCCTTCCCCAGCAGCAGCTCCCAGCCACCAGACACTGGGCCGCCTCGCCCTCCCTCCACCTGCCTGCCAGACTCCCCATTTCATTTAGGAGGAAACAGTCTCGTGATTAAGTAACTTGCCCCAGCCACACTAATGGATGTGGGCAAGAAAGACCGCATCAGCAGACAGCCAGAACACACCTAAGTCAACTGGGATGCCTCATGTTTGGCATATCTGCACCTAAATGGAGCTTCAGTGGAGGCTGGCAGCCCAGCAGGCACCTGCCGGGCATGGCCAGGCCAGGCTAAGGCCAGCGTACCTGCAGAACCCACTCTTCCTGTCCCTGTTCCACTCTATTCTGAGGGTACAGAGTGCTTACTTGTGATCAGAGAACTCATGATGACACGGGTGGCTTTAGCCTTCACCACGGGGACCTTGTCCATACTGTCAATGGCTGATGACAGGGTCATGGCAGGGGAGGAAACACTGGCCTCTCCTTCCTCCACCTGTTCAAGAGAGGTAAGGAGGCACTTGAGCAGAGCAGGGGGATCACACACCTAACCCTACTCTTTTGTGGAAGAGGTTACTAAACACCTTGAATCTGATACATAAGGAAAACTTCGAAGGGGGGGGGGGTTGTCGTTTTCATCCGATTAGATATGTACCATCCATAGTGACAACAGACAAAAGACATTTATAAAAGTGTGAAAGCCAGAATGTGAAGCTGAGGTCTCCTGATTCCCAGCCCGTGTCTGTCCAGTAGACTAAGCTGGGACCTACTACTACACACTGACCCCGCACAGACACTGCACTGGCTTGTGCTTAACTCATCACTGTGCTCGCTCCGTGTTCTCAGACTTCAGAGCATCAGGACCCCCCGAAGGGCTTGTCAAACAGAGTGCTGGGCCCCACCCCACAGCTGATTCAGTAGGCCTGGGTGGGGCTCAGGAACTTGTTTCTAACAAATTCCCAAGGTTCAAGGAATGGGCTTTTAAAATAAACTCTATGTCACTCCTAATCTTCAACATGAGAGCCAAGAGCTCTCAAACACCTGACACATGCTCAGGACTAGCAGGGAGGAGAGAACTGGGTTTATTCTTTGTTCTCTGCTTCTCCAGAGGAGTTGAGAAGAGTCAGAAAGGAGGGGAGAAGTGTGAAAGGCTACGTTACAGCATGGGGTTCACACTTCTCAGCTGGACCCTCTGGGGAACTTGACCCTCTGCTCCCTCACTTGGAAGACGCTGGACAGCCAGGACAGATGAAACAATGCATGCGACACGTCCAGCTGAGCTCCCCTGTAAGAGCAGCTGTCCCAGCTGGGGCACAACAGCAAATGGGAAGCCCGTTCTCTGCCTTGGCAAGCAAGCAGCAGCCTTCACAAAGGAAGGGTGTGCCGCCCTGGAGCACTGGCAGAGGCCTGGCTCACTGTCTGCTCTAGTGCCCGGGGTCCGCTGCTTTGGATGGCAGGCCGCCAGGGCCCTCTCCCAGCACTGCCAGTCCTCTTCGCACAGGCAAGACCGGTTCACCTAACAACTAAGTGGGTCAGATTTCCGTAGATAACGGACCCGGGGAATTCCCCCCGAGCTATAGGGATCACTTTTGCAGAAAGGAGCTCTGAGCGCGTGAAGGTAAGGGGGTGGGGAGGACCCATTAGAAAGGGAGAATCAAATACAGCTCTACCAAGTCAAAGTTAGGCTGGGAGCTAGGAGTCACAGTGACCGCTACACACCTAATGCGTGTCAAGTCCTCTTTAATCCACACAACACGTCCATGGTGAAAGTATTCCCGTGTCTCAGACGGAGACACTGTCGCTCAGGCGTGAGGCCCTGTGCCCAAAGTCATTGCTAATACGTGGACTATTACGGAATCCATACCCAGCTCTGTTACAGTAATTGCTCACTGTGTACTTCCTGTCAGGCCCTGAGCTGTTACGCGGTTCAGAGTTCAGTGAACCTGCGTTTGTAGATTAAATGGCCTCATCTGAACTTGGTAGGCCCAGTTTATTCAGGCAACAGCACCAAGAGCCAGAGGTGACGGAGACAGTCCCTACAGGCAGGAAGCACAGGTTCCAGTAACACGTCTGCAACGAGCACGCCAGAGCCTCGGAAGCCAAACCGCACGGGAGGGTTGCGAGAGCGGGTGGCGATGGGATGGGTGTGCGGGACCTGAGGAGGAGGAAGGCATCTCTTACAGCAGGAAAGGCATCTGCGGCAGGAGAAGGCCATGACAAAAAAGAAGTATAGCATGTGTTCAAGAGGGAGACAATTTCCTCCCCAGTCATTCAATGAACATTTTTTTGGAATCTGCTTCATGCCAGGTCCTCTGCTTGACCTTGCAGGTGGAGCACAAAACTGGCGCGGCTCCTGCCCTCCAGAGCTCATGAAAAGTGATAAAGTAACACAGGGCTTGTGACAGGGGCCTGTGGCATAGTGGAGAGCTCGAAGGAAGAGGTGACAGTCTTACTGGGAGGGAAGTCCTTGCAGGAGAGATGTCTTCGAGAAGGCTTAAAAGGACACTACTTGCCCTGACCGGTTTGGCTCAGCGGTTAGAGTGTCGGCCCACCGACCAACCAGTCGCAGGTTTGATTCCAGTCAAGGGCACGTACCTCGGTTGCAATTCGGTCCCCAGCCCTGGTTGGGGTTGTGCAGGAGGCAACCAATCGCTGTGTCTCTCTCACATCGATGTTTCTTCCCCTCTCTCTCTCTCCCCCTTCCACTCTGTCTGAACATAAATGGCAAAATATCCTCCAGTGAGGATTAAAAAAAAAAAAGAACACCATTTGTCAGGCAGGCGGATGGGAGAACAGGATGGGGATGCAAACATTCCAGGCAATGGAGCAGCAGAAGCAAAGACGTAGAGGCATCGAATACCCTGTTGAGTGCAAGAACTCTTAAGCAACTGGCATGTCTGGATCGCTGCGGGGAGCAGCAGACAGGGCTGGGTCATGCAGAGCCAGACTGAGGAGCTTGCATTTTAATGCTGTGGCAAATGGGATGGGGTGGACAGAAGAGTCTCAGCTGGGACAAAACATGCCCGTTCTAACTTGAATTAAAAAGAAAAAAAGGTCCACCAACTCCAGCTGAGGCATAGAAAACACATAGAGGATTGGTGGCGGCCAGATTCTATGTGTGCCAGGAGCCACTATGTGAGCCACTGAGGCTTCTGGAGCCAATGGAGGGGAATGAAAGGCTGGACTTGCCAGAAACAGTTGGCAGGGTCAGGTACCTTGGAGAGGTGCTGATACTTGCGCTCTGGAATCACTGGCTTCCAGGGGATGCTGCCCATGTCCGATGGAGGAGGAGTCATGGGCGTAGGGTCCTCCAGGGCATCATCATAGCTGAATGCCCGGCGGTACATCCCGATGGGCAGGGACATCTTGCCTAGAGGCCCACTAGGCTCAAGAGCTAAGAACAGAGACACCTGTCAGGATAGGTTGAGCAACTGAACATGCTAACAGCTTTAAACTCATCTGCAGGCAGGAAAGCTCTGAAAACTCACTCTGGGACACAGCAAGAATAGTTGTTTACTCTGAAATAGCAAATCCACTCAAGGAAAGGTAACCTGTAGTACTAATCCCTGCCTTTATGCCTGACACGTGGATTCTCCTCTTGACCCACTCAGCAGCTCTATTCCATTTATATGGTTTAGAAAAATAGGAAATTCAATTTAAATGACCTGAGCAAGGTCACACAACTTCAAAGTACAGTGAAGAATCAAAACCCAATCCTGTGTATTTCAACACTTGTGTTCTTTAGGCCACAGAATCTGCCTCCACAGCAATACCAATGCTCTCAAGTCACGCAAGATGTCCTTATTCCCACTTTACAGATAAGGAAAGTAAGGCCTAGAGGCAAAGAGATTTGCCCAAGTGCGTCCAGCTAGCAGCCAGCTGGGGCTCGACTGCAAACCCTCTGCCTTCCCTACCTCACCAAAGAAAACAAGAGCACGATTATGAGAAATAGTTAAAAGCTGTTCAGCAGCACCGCTCATCTCGAGTGCTCTGCACGGTTTACACAGCAGCACCAACTGCCAGCACAGAGACCGTCCACACCCACGCTCGGACACTGCTCCGGCTGACCCTGCCGCTCCATCTGCGGCCCGACTGGGGCCGTCCCACTGGGACACGGGCACTCCGCTTCAAGGGCACTCTCCCCTCTGCCAGGCCAGGGAGCAAAGTTCATTCTGTTTGTTTGTTTCATAGCATAACTAATGTCCACATCCTGCCTTCAGCGTGACAGTTTCCTGTTGCTAAAATTATACAATCAGTCTCCAAGACATCAACTTGTGTGGCAGTAAGTCCAAAACCAGCAAAGACACTTCATTTTATACAGCAAGGGGACCAAGCAGCTACCATTGTTATTACTATTAACATCAATAATAATTACTAACAAACCCCTAAAAACAGAAAGAGAATTAGTGGTTGCCAAGGGCTGGTGGGAGTAGAGGGGAGGAGGAGTAATTACTAATGGGTATGAGGTTTTCTTTTTGGGGTGAAGATGTTCTGGAATGAGATGGTCATGGTAGCACAACCTTGTGAACACTAAAAACCACTAAATTACTCATTTTAAATGAGTGAATTTGATGGTATATGAATCACCCTACTTAAAACAAGCAAATAATAATTACCAAGTACCCTTCCTTGCCAGGCACTTACATCCCTCTTACCTTATTCTCATTTCCCAGCTCAGGAAACTGAGGCATGGATCTTAGTGATACCCAGCTAGCAACTGTGGGTGGGGACTGAATCACAGACTTAAGCCAGTGCTCACTCTACTTGCAACAGCCCATGTCCCCACACTACAAAGCATTAACATAATGAGTGCAACCCTGTGGTCTGAGACGGTCAGCAGGGTTCATGGGAATCACAAGAGCAATGAAAGACAAACTAAAACGCAAGCTAATGGAGTTAGAGACTAGAGAGGGATCTGCATCAGGAGACATGGGAAAGATTCCTCTTACTCCACTTAATTTGGGAGCGATTTCAAAAACATCTTAAAACTCCTCCCAGCAGCCATCCCAATAGCCTTCCTAAAAATTATAATAAAGTCAGCTAATATTTACTAAGAAATATATTCCTACAAATAGAGACCCTAAAATTTTCTGGGCATTAAATGCATATTCATAACTAATTTTGAACTCACATTTTCACATATTTTATGTTTAATCTTCACAGCAGCCCTGAGAGACAGGTACTATCATCTATACTTTACTGATTATCTAAAATTGAGTGATTCCGATTTGATTAAAAATCACTGCCCTTGCCCTGGCTGGTTTGGCTCAGCAGTAGAGCATTGGCCCACGGACCAACAGTCACCGGTTCGATTCTGGTCAACGGCACATATCTCAGTTGTGGTTAGTCCCTGGCCCTGGTAGGGGTCGTGCAGGAGACAGTTGATGTGTCTCTCTTACACCAATGTTTTTTTTTTCTCTCTCTCCCCCCCCCCCCCATTCTATCTAACGATAAATAAAAAAATATCCGCCCTGGCCGGTTTGGCTCAGTGGTTGGAATGTTGGCCTGCGGACCAGGGTCCCGAGTTCAGTTAGTGCTAGGGGCACGTACCAAAAAAAAAAAAAAATCCTCAGGTGAGGATTTAAAAAAATCACTGCCCTTCCCACTAAAACAGTCCAAGATGAAAACAATGCCTCCAATAACCCAGAAATGATCGTCTTATAGAGACCCAGGATTCATTAATTTGCTGTGAGCATTTTTTTTTTTTTTTTATCCTCACCCGAGGATATTTTTCCATTTTTTGTACCTATAGAGTGGGAGGGAGAGAGAGGAAGGGAGAGAGAGAGAGAAACATCGACGTGAAGGGACACATCAAGTGGCTGTCACCCGCACGACCAACCAGGGCCGGGGACAAACTGCAACCGAAGTACATGCCCTTAGCGGGAACCAAACCCGGGTCTCTCCGGACCACAGGCCGACGCTCTAACCGCTGAGCCAAACTGGCCAGGGCTGCTGTGAGCATTTTGATAACTAAGTTCAATTTGCTGCCTTTAAATCAGGCTGGCTGCCTTTTTGCCCAGACATCCATTTCACCTGCCCCCCGCATAGAAAGGGGGTGAGTTTAATCTTTTTGGAACACACTATAAGAACTATCCAGCTGTTCTGAATTCTTACTTGATACCTTAGGAAAGTGACAAATTTATCATACTCCAGTGAAAAGACCACTCTCTTTCCAGTTAGATTTTGGGTTCATACCCTGGCTGGGTTGTTATTAAGATAATATTTAACGATGCCAATCTATTAAATCTAAATACTCTCCTGGTGTCGGAGAGTAACTACAGCTATATGGTTCAGAAAAAGTGGTTTCTGGCTAGCAACATTAAGGGCAAAACATGACTTGACCAAAAAGAATTAAGTTTACCAGGCACTTCTGATTGTCTTGAAGCCATTGAAAGACTGGATCCAGGTACTTTTTCTATATAGATTTCAGAGCTGAGTCCCTGCCACCTAATAAAAATAACAAAAAGCATTTGCTTACAGTGAACACAAAAGAATAGCTCCAACGCTGTTCTTTTGACAGACACACAAAGAGTTTAATGGTTTGCTTACAACGTTGATACACACATGAATGAGCCAACAATGGGTGAGAAACATGCCAAGGGAGAAAAAAAAAAAAAAGATAATGTCAAAGGTCTCACCACACCTGTGGCTGGTCTTAACACCTATATGACAAAGACAATATACCTGGTGAAAAGGTCACCTTACCAGAGTGAAATGATGTGATGATTACGCTGACAGATAGATATCAGTGAGGAACATTGTCCAGCTGCTGCAAATGAGCTAAGTTGCTTGGGAGGAGTCTGTCCATTCCAGAGATTCTAAGAACAAACAAACAGCATTGGTACACCAGTCAGAGACTGCCAAACAACCCCTATACACTCATGGACTCCCCAGCCCTGCAAGGGGGATTAGCAGTCTGGTTTTTTGTCTTGTCTTTTCATTCTTTTTTTTTTTTTATCCTCACCCGAGGACATTTTTTGTTCAGACAGAGTGGGAGGGAGAGGGAGGGAGAGAGAGAGAAACATCGACGTGAAGGGACACATCGAGTGGCTGCCACCCGCACGACCAACCAGGGCCGGGGACAAACTGCAACCGAGGTACATGCCCTTAGCGGGAACCGAACCCGGGTCTCTCTGGACCACAGGCTGATGCTCCAACCACTGAGCCAAACCGGCCAGGGCTGTTTTTTCATTTTATAAATAAGTTATGGCTCAGGGTCCAAAAAACTTGATCCACCGCAAGGGGCAAGGTAGCATCGCAGGTAAATTCATTCTTTGTGGCTAACACTGACTAATATTTATAAGGGTTTTATACACTTATCTTTGTGTTAACCCTGGCAAGGACCCTGTGAAGTAGGCGTTATGTATCCCCAATTTAAGGAGAAAGAAACTAAAAATCTGGAGATAAGTGATTGGTCGAGGGTCACGGACAAAAAGCTCATCTGCAAGACAGGTCGTTTCATCCCCACCTTACAGGGGAGTTCAAACAAAGCCCCAGAAAGCGGAGTCATTTGCTTTTCAACTTGCTACCGGGCCCCTGTATCCTGACGGAGTTCGGAGGGCAAACGGGCTCGTTCTTCATTAAAGAGCATCGCCGAAACCGACGTGCAGCCACCCTGCGGGGCTGGGGAGCCTTCCGACCCAGATACACCCCCTCCCACTTCCCGGGCCTCCCCGCAGAGCGCAAGCAGCTCCTGTGCAGGAGGCAGGGCTATGCCACCAGGGTCCGAAGGGCCGGGTCTGGCTCGACCCCTCTCCCACGCAGCGAGGAGACCCGGGCCGGGGCCTGGCCACCGAGCGCAGGGCGCGGAGTGGGGGGCCCGGGCTGGGGGGCCCGATGAAGCAGAGGCGAGGCCCGCGCCGGCGCTGCAGGGACACCAGAGAGAAGGCCCGCCGGGGCCGCGGGGCCCGGATAAGGAGAAAGGGGAGAGGACCCGGCCAGGGCGGTGTGGGGGGCCGGGAGCGCGCCCCTCCGGACGGGCGGACGATGGCGCCCCAGGAGGGCCCGGCCCATCTGCTTACCTACTTCGTCGCCGCGGAGCTGCCTGCAGCCCGAGTCTCGGCACTAAACAGGCTCCGACGACCCACGACTCTCCGGAGGTTGTGGCGCGGTCGGGACCCAAGCCATGGTGGGGGCCAGGTTGTGTCAGTCGCGACCCTAAGGGCCTCGGGCACCGACCAGAGAGCTTAAGATGCCGGCGGCCCACAGCCTCCGTGATAAAGCCTCCCGAGGCGCTCAAGTCACGCGAGACTTGGCTCGGAAGTCGCTCAGGGTGTGCTGGGAGTTGTAGTCCGCGATCAGCACAATATAAACAGCACAATTGCACTGCGGTGTGATTTGCATGTGTGTGTGTTAAAAGTGTCACTTCGTTAACTTGGAACTTTTAAAATACTATCTGCCATTATCTTTTTATCCCCTGTGGATGCAAAGCTGACACCTTGCCTTCCTCCATCAGAAGGACAGAGTGTACATCACACCTCAGTGAGAAGGGGAGGAAACAGCACTTTGCACCTTTATATGAACCAGAAGACAGGATCACCTTGTTTGGTTCTTAACCTCAAATAAAAGAAAACTGAAGCTTTTCCTGGAAGTTACTGATTCTGACTAAAACAACTGTGTCCCTGAATTTTATGGTACTGAAGCTATGGCATCACCAGGGCAGGTATAGCCATGTGAGAAAATTGCTATTTTTCACCAATAACAGACTAACTATAAACTTTTAACTGTCATAATCTTATGGGATTTTCTCCTTTAAATGGGCATTGCATTTTTTTTTTTTTTTTTAATTGGGGAGCTTATTCGTCTAAAGCCTGGACTCCCTTCAAAGCCTTCTTAACAAATAAACCAATTTTCTAAATGGTTTGGTTGCCAGAGTCCCAATCAAGATGAACCCCAAGAGGCCCACACCAAGACCTATTATCATCAAAATGCAAAAGGTTTAAGACAAAGAGAGAATCTTAAAAGCAGCAAGAGAAAAGCAGTTAGTTACCTACAAGGGAGTTCCCATTAGACTCCAGCTGATTTCTCAAAAGAAACTTTGCAGGCCAGAAGGGAGTGGCAAGAAATATTCAGAGTGATGAAAAGCAAGAACCTACAACCAAGATTACTCTAACCTGCAAAGCTGTCATTTAGAATCGATGGCCATATAAAGAGTTTCCCAGACAAAGAAAAGCTAAAGGAGTTCATCACCACCAAACCAATGTTATATGAAATATTGAAGGGTCTTTTTGAAGAAAAAGATTGAAAAAAAATGAACAAACAAAATGGCAATGAATACATAGCTATCAACAATTGAATCTACAAACAAAATGAACAAGCAGAACAGAAACATTCTCATAGATACAGAGAACATATTGTTGGTTGCCAGATGGGAGGGAGGATGGGGGAATGGGTGAAAAAGGTGAAGGGATTAAGAAGTACAAATGGGTTGCTAGACTGACAAACTTCAAAGGGAAGGGGGGTTGGGGGTGAGGAAAAAAAAAACCAAAGAACTTATATGCATGTATGCATAACCAATGGACACAGATAACAGTGTGGGAAAAGGCAGGAGGGGGGAGGGATTGGGGAGGAGGCGTTCAGTGGGGGAAGAATGAGGAACATCTATAATACATTCAACAATAAAGATTAATAAAAATAAATAAATAAATAATAAATGGTTTGGTTGCATAGCTGAGGAGGACTCAGTCATGAACCCTTCTGAGCTGTTTAAGTTCAGGACATCTTTCTTAGTTCCTGGGGTGGTTTTCTTGTGGCACTAGAGGTTTCCCTCCACCCCTTTCTGTGCTTTTTTTATTTTCTGACTCTGGTTTTGGTTCTTAACCAGGCCTGCTTTCCATTCTGTGCATGGTACCTTACTTCCCCAAGGGCAGCAACATCTTTGGAAAGTTCTTCTTTGGGGTCTGGCTGTATGGCTCTTTTCTGGGGCAAATACCAGTCAAGGAGCCCTGTGTGTGGCTAGCCAGGGAATATGGTTGCCCTTTTATATATATTTACAACATACACTTACCAGGAAACTAATTTTCTAAATGCTTGGACGCTGAAACGTCTTTTTGCACTTCTTGAATATTTCATACTTTAATAAACTTGGAGCCTCAAAAATTAGAATTGACCAGGATCTCTCTTGCATCCTATTTCATGGGGGAGGGGTAACTTGCCTTCCTGTAGACATCTGCCTTCTCTGGCCAGGCCAAGCCCTCGGAAAGGCCCATTCCCTAGACAGAGCTGCCAGCATTCTCACCACCCATCAGCAGACAGGAACTGAGTCACTGGGAAGGTAGCAGTGGGGGCATTTGCATCTCTGGGGGTCTGTAGACTTCGAGCTCTACTTGGAGGCCTGTCCTCTTTGTCATCATAGATGAGGAATTCTACCTAGCAGTGCTCAGGAATTGCCCATTTCCATTGCCCAATTGGCAGCAGAGGAAACTAATACTTTCAAGAGGACCTTGGCAAAGTTACCTCAGCCAGGAAGCAGCAGAGTTGAAATTCAAGCCGAGGGCTGGGTATCTACCTGGCATGATAGTGTGGCCGCTTGCTGTCCTCAGCCTCAACATCACTTTTTAAGTCTCTGGGACAAGGGGTTGAAAGCACATGCCCAAGGAAGAAATAATTGTAAGCAACATCTCCCCCTAGTGGTGAAGGGGAAGAAAGATTTCATCGAAGAGATTAAGGATGCTGGGCTAGAGGGTCAATTGTCACACTGTCCTTAGAAACCACCTTGCCATGGCCAGATAGTTCATTTGGTTAGAGCATTTACCTGATTTGCCAAGGTTTCAGGTTTGATCCCCGGTCAGGACACATACAAAGATCAACCAATGAATGCATTAAAAAGTGGAACAACAAACTGATGTTTCTCTCTTCCTCTCTCTCTCTAAAATCAATTTTAAAAAACCCAAAAATTTAAAAAACAAATGTATCCAACCTGATATTATAGATGGTGCAACTAAGGTGCAGAGAACAGAAGGAACAAGGCTAATGTCACACAGCTAGTGTGGAGCAGTTGGTTAGACAGAAAATGTGTTCTTGTGTCTTTTTTTCAGGCGCTATGCTGGGTGCTTGGGATACAATGGGAAGGAGGGCACAGTCCCGGAATGGACGTCTCTGGGCTTTTAAGGGACCCACCCACCCACAAAATATATCTGAAAAGTAAAATAAATGGCTCCAATTTTTTTTTTTTTTTTTTTAAAAAACCCTGGCCCTGGCCAGTTTGGCTCAGCGGTTAGAGCGTTGGCCTGCGGTCCGGAGAGACCCAGGTTCGGTTCCCGCTAAGGGCACGTACTTCGGTTGCAGTTTGTCCCCGACCCTGGTTGGTTGTGCGGGTGGCAGCCACTCGATGTGTCCCTTTCACGTCGATGTTTCTCTCTCTCTCTCCCTTCCTCTCTCTCCCTCCCATTCTATCTGTACAAAAAATGGAAAAATATCCTCAGGTGAGGATTAAAAAAACAAAACAAACAAACAAAAAAAAACCCTGCATAATCAAAGTTAGTATGTTTAATTAAATGTCTGCACAACAGATTATGCCAACTTCGATCATGACAATATATAATTTTCATAGAAGGCATTACACTTTGGGAATTATTTTTCTCGCTTTGAAACAAATTCCCCGTGAGCACCTTAGGGCTCCTAAAAAAGACAATCACACATTAGACAAGTTACTGTGGCCATTCCCTGAGGTCTTGAGGGATGCTCAGGAAACAGGTCGCTTGGGTTTAAACACAGGCTGTACCAAGGCACCACGGTGCGGCCTGGGCCTCGGTTTTCCCTGCTACGAGGTACTGTCTTCAGGGGTAACCGAGAACACCGTGAGCTAACGCTGAGCACACAGCAAGAGCGCGGGGATGCTGACATCACCGTCCCGGTCTGCCCAGACGGTCTCTGCAGACCGAGCGGCGGTTCCAGCGCGGCGGCCGTCGCGACGGCGCAGGTGCATTGTGGGGCTTGTAGTGCGGGGCCGGCCGGCTGGGTGGGCGCGGCCGCGGCAGGCGCTGCGGGGCCATCTTCTGCGGGCCGGCGGGTTCGGCCAGTGCACGCGCCCGTGCCGGGCCCGATGGCGCCGCGGTCCCTGAGCCCCTTGGTGCTGGCGCTGGGCGGCGCCGCGGCCGTGCTCGGCTCGGTGCTCTTCATCCTCTGGAAGGCCTACTTCGGCCGCGGACGGGAGCGGCGCTGGGACCGCGGCGACGGCTGGTGGGGCGAGGAGCCCGCCCGTCTCCCCGAGTGGGACGAGTGGGACGTGAGTACCGGGCTGGGGTCTGCGCCTCCGCGCGAGCGACCGAAGCGCCTGGGTCCAGGGCTGGGAGCTGCGGCCCGCAGGCTCCGCGCGGGCCACCGGGCCGTCATGAGCCCCGGAACCGAGGGGCGGGTGGGCGTTTGGGTGAGGGGTGGGGCCGCCGCCGAGTTCGGGCTGCCTTGCCGGGGGAGTCGGGGCCGCACCAGGGGCAGCGCACGCCTGGCCCGCGCCTGCGCAGTGCGCGCGTGGTGTGCCGCGCGGGGGATGTCGGGAGAGGCCCGCTGCCTGCTCCGCGAGTCGGTGGCTGCGCTGCGCGCTTCCCCTCCTGGGTTGGTCCCTGCGGCCTCGGGAAGTGGGCATAGGGAGCTTGTCCGAGGTCACTCAGGGAAGCCTGCAGAATGAGGTTGGGGATTCAGGACAACAAAAGTGGCGCGTGTCCCACTGCACCAGGCCGCGCCTGCCTGCCCGCCCTTGCTGGGAGGAGGGCGGGGCTGGGCACTTTGGTGCCTTCGGTCCGCCCTCGGGAAGGGCAAGGGGGCGGGGGTGGACCACAGCCTTACCTGTGCCCCGCAGCCCGAGGATGAGGAGGACGAAGAGCCCGCTCTGGAGGAGCTGGAGCAGCGCGAGGTGCTGGTGCTGGGGTTGGATGGCTCTGGGAAGAGCACGTTCCTGCGAGTGCTCTCCGGGAAGCCACCGCTGGAAGGCCACATCCCCACCTGGGGCTTCAACTCCGTGCGGCTGCCCACCAAGGACTTCGAGGTGGACCTGCTAGAGAGTGAGCGGACTACCCCCAGCCCCCGCACACGTACACCATCTCCCCATCACCTGAGTTGGACCCCAGCCTGGGCTGTTTGCCTGGGGGTGGCTCCGAGATGCATATCTAAGCAGAACACGACCCTGTATGAAATCCTTCCCGAGTTTCCAGGGGCACAGCATACAAAATAAGTTCTTTTCTGACATGAACAGGCAGCTCCAGCTTGGTCCTCTTGCTTATTCCTCACTCTAACTGAACTAACATGCCTAACACAGATACTAACAGCTAGTTTTCTCTATGCCAATCATTTGACAGGCATGACAGTCACGCGTCACTTAAGGACAGGGATGCCGTCTGGGGAATGCTTCGTTAAGTGATCTTGTGCAAACATCATAGAGTGCACTTACGCACACCCAGATGGTACAGTCTGCTACACACCTGGGCTATGTGATGTACCTGTTGCTCTTAGGTTACAAGTGTGTACAGCATGTTACTGTACTGAATACTGTAGGCAGTTGTAATGGGTTGTGCTATGATGTCACTAGATGATGGGAATTTTCCAGCTCCATTGTAATATGGGACCTTTGCCATACATGTGGTTTGATATTGACTGAAATGTCATTATGTGGCGCATGACTACTAATAAAACCCTCCCAACAACTCCATGCAACCAGGAACAGTTATTACACTAATTAATACATGGGGAAACTGAAGCCCAACAGCTGCCTGACTTTTGATGTTAAGCCCCATGCACCATACTACACTGTTTCTGAAGGGCACTTGCTCTCTTCCTTCTCGTCTGTTGCCTTTGCAAGCACTGTGCCCTCAGTCTGGAAACCCCATCTTCCCTTGATAAACTGATACTCATCCTTCAAGATTTACTTCAAACTTGACGTCCTAGTGAAGCGTCCTCTGACCCCCATGCTAGGTTTAGGGCTCCTCTGGGTGCACCTTGCGCTGCAGTATTTGCCACACACCAGCCTCTGGAACACAGACAGATCTGATCCAGCCCTAGCCCCTAGGCCCAGCCCCAAGCAGGCACCTGGAAGAGCTTGTTGAGTGATCAGAGAGTGTCTGAGCAGCCCCCTGCCCTTGGTGTTAGGCTTCTTGGGATTTGGGGAGAGGATGGCAGAGAGGGAATTGAGAGGGCAGTAGTACTTAGCCACCTGTGTCCAGCCAGACTCACTGGAGGGACAGGTAGACCTCCTGCCAGCCAAAGGACTCAGACCATAAAGACTGGGTGGGTTTGGTTAAGTGCTAGGTGGGGGATCAGATTCTGAGGGCCTGGCTGTTGCCCTGCCTGGGCCCAGTTCCTCTGATCTAAGGCACTAGCCTGTTGATGTGATTTGGCTACCTATTTTCCCCCGATTATAGCAAACATTGATATTCACTGGGGATTTGGTCTTTTCAACAACCTCTTTTGTGCCCGGGACACAGAAAGGTCAAAGGGGCCCTGGCCAGTTTGGCTCAGCGGTTAGAGCATCGGCCTGTGGTCCAGAGGGACCCGGGTTCAGTTCCCGCTAAGGGCACGTACCTCAGTTGCAGTTTGTCCCCGGCCCTGGTTGGGTCATGTAGGTGGCAACCACTCCATGTGTCCCTTTCACGTTGACGTTTCTCTCTCTCTCTTCCTCTCTCTCCCTCCCACTCTGAAAAAAAAAACAAAGGTCAAGGGGGTTTCTGCATTTGAGGCCCACCCTGTCTGGCAGAGATAGTGCTCCCCCCACCACTCTCCAACCCTGGGAGAAGGGGTTTGGTGTTTGTTTTCATGTTACCCAAGGGTCTGACAGTAACACCCTAACTTCCATAGGGTCACTCAGCTTGGATTCAACCACAAATCTCCCATTCAAGTCCTAGGTCTTTTCCCTCCCAGAACACTCACTTTGCTGTGGTCTCCAATGCCAGGCCTGGAACTCAGCTGAGAATGGGCCTTTGTGGATCTTTGATGACTCTTGCCTTCCAGCACCTCCTATATCCATTTCATTGGCTAGTCCTGTCAGCTTTATCCTTGTCTGTCCGGATTCTGGTCCGTCCACTTCTCCCCACCTCCACCACTGCCTCTGTGGTCCAAGCCATTGCCATCTCTCAGTACTACAACAGCTTCCTTGCAGGTCTCCCTGCTTCCACTTCTGTCCCCAAGTCAGCCAGTGGTATCGTTCAGATCACGTCACTCTTGCTTAAAACCGTTAAGGGGCTCTCCACAGTCCCAGTGTGGGCTTCCAGGCCCTCTGTGGTTCAGCCTGGCCAGCCTTGCTGGTGTGGCTTCCTTCTCTCTTCCTCTGGCAGTGCCTCAGCCGCCCTGGCCACCTTCTGCCAGCTTGCTCTTCCCTCTGCCTGGAATGCTTTTCTCTGCCTCTGCTATGGCTAGCTCCTTCTCATCATCCCAGACTTGGCTCACATGCCACCTCCTCGGGGAGACCTTCCTAGACCACCCAGTCCAAAGCCCCTGCCCAGCCACTTTCACTTTTCCTGTTTTCCTTCCTTCCTTTATGAATGTTTGTTACTGCTGTCCCCCTGGTTTCAGAGGTATCCCCTGAGAGCATGGCCCCTGCCTGCCTTGCTCACCTCTATATCCCCAGCACCCAGATCAGTGCTTGGCACCTAGTAAGCACTCAGTAAATACTTGTTGAGTGCCTGCTATGTGCCAGGCATTGTGCTGAGGGCTTTGGGGGGGATCCAGAGAGAAATAGCTCTAAGTCTCAAAGAGCTTAGAGTCCACAAGGGTCAGAATTATAACCAGGAACACTAGGCTGCAGGGTGACCAATGGGCACTGTGCAGAGGGACAGAAAGAACAGGAAGGCAACCCATATTGGGGGTATACGTGGGCAGCCATGTGGTAGGATTGACTATGGCATTTCCAAAGGAAGAAAATGGGGTGGCCAGACTGAATAAAAGAAACTGGAAAATGGCTGTGCACAGGCAGGGCAGCGAGTCCTAGCTTCTGACCACAACTACTGCCAACCCAGGAGGAAGCTAGGAATTGGCAGGAGGCTAGGCAGCCCAGGGGAAAGAACTGGAGAGTGCTATTTATTGAGCACCTACTATACACCAGTCCTCAGAAAAGAGCACTGTATATGTACCTTCAGGTTTTGCTGTTAGGTAAGTTCAGTGAGGAGACTAATGTTTGATGGTAGCAGCTCACCCCGGGAGACTCAGCTGTGAGCTAGAACTAAACCTGGGTCTGACCGGCTCTGGCACCTGTGGCCTTCCCTGTTCCTGGTTGGGGAAGCCTTCGGAAGTAGGGTGGGGTGGGGCTGTGTGTAGGGCCAGGCCCAGGGAGGCTCTGAGCTGGCCCTGGCCTCTCCTCAGTCGGTGGCAGCCAGAACCTGCGCTTCTACTGGAAGGAGTTTGTGAACGAGGTGGACGTGCTGGTGTTCATGGTGGACTCGGCTGACCGGCTGCGGCTGCCCTGGGCCCGGCAGGAGCTGCACAAGCTGCTGGATAAGGACCCTGACCTGCCTGTCGTCGTGGTGGCCAACAAGCAGGTGAGGGCCACAGGAATCTGGCTCAGGCCAGGTGATCCTCAGGTGCCTGGGCGGGGCAGGCGCCCTGGAGAGGGGTTCAGGCCCAGGCCTGTGACTGGAGCGCTTGGCGGAGAGCCTGCCCCCACTCTGCCCGTGCTCTTTCCTCATCCCATATCCCCGTCCCGCCTGCTCCCCTTCTGCCTGCCTGTCATGTCATCCCGGGGAAAGGAGGAGACTAATTAGTAAGTGCTCACTGGATGCCAGGTGTGGTTTTGAATGACCTTTCATATTGTCTATCTACTGACCCTCCAAGGTATGGAATTCTAGTTCCATTTTACAGACTGGGCTTTTTTTTTTCCTAATTTTCCCCCCCTTTATTACTGATTTTAGAGAGGAAGGGAGAGGGGGAGAGAGAGAAATATCGATGAGAAAGAACATCGATTGGCTGCCTCCTGCATGCCCAACACTGGGGATCGGGCCCACATCCTGGGCATGTGTCCTGACCAGGAACTGAACTGGCGACCTCTTGGTGCATGAGTTGACGCTCAACCACTGAGCCACGCTCAACCACTGAGCCACACTGGTCAGATGCAGACAGGGCATCTTGAAGCTCAGAGAGATTTCGTAATCTCCCCAAGGTTGTACACCTTGAAAACAGTGAATTTGGGATACCTAACTCCAAAACCTGTGCCTTTTCACTCTGCTATGTCCTTGTGACTTCTGGCTCTGATCAAAGAGCTAAAGCTGGGCAGTGATGAGAAGTTAACAGAATAAGTATAATAATAAGTAGCACTGATTGTGTGCTTGCTTAGTTAGTGCACCAGGCACAGCGGTAAGCACCTGACAATCATGACCTCACTTCAGTCCTATAAAAACCCCACGATAGGCCTTGCTGTTGTCCCTAAGTGCCCAAAGTTACATTTGGTAAGTGGCAAAGTCAGGACTCAAACTCAGATCATCCTCAAAGTTCCTGTTCAGCCCTGGCCGGTTTGGCTCAGCAGTTAGAGCGTCGGCCTGCGGTCCTGAGAGACCCGGGTTCGGTTCCCACTAAGGGCGCGTACCTCGGTTGCAGTTTGTCCCCGGCCCTGGTCGATCGTGTGGGTGGCAGCCCCTCGATGTGTTCCTTTCACATTGATGTTTCTCTCTCTCTCTCTGTTCCTCTCTCTCCCTCCCACTATACCTGAACAAAAAATGGAAAAATGTCCTCGGGTGAGGATAAAAAAAAAGTTCCTGTTCATATGTATGTATGTATGTATGTATTTTAATCCTCACCTGAGGATATTTTTCTCTTTATCTTCAGATAGAGTGGGAGGGAGAGAAAGGGAGAGAGAGAGAAATGTCGACGTGAGAGGGACACACTGACTGGTTGCCTCCCGCATGACCGCGACCAGGGCGGTCACAACTGAGGTACATGCCCTTGGCTGAGGTACATGCCCTTGGCTGGAATCGAACCTGCGACTCATTGGTCCGCGGGCCGACTCTCTACCACCAAGCCAAACCCGCCAGGGCAAAGTTCCTGTTCCTAACCACTACACTACACCTCTCCCGGGTGCCAGAGGTGCCCAGCAGCCCTCGGCATCACAGACCTGCAGTGCCACTCTGGGTGCCAGGCGACACTGCCCCAGTACAGAGTCCTCAGCGTTTCCTGTGGCCTGTGCCCGTGACCTTGAGTGTCAGGACACTTCCAGCCCAGTTGGAGAGAAGCTTCCATCTTTGAACTCAGATTCCCCCTGCCTTCCAGGAAATACGTGACTTTTATCAATAGGTGACCCTATGTCCTATCTGCCTGGGACAGTCCCCATTCATGCCTATTGTCCTAGTATAAGCATTAGTAGTGTCCACTTTGAGTCTCAGAAGTACCCTGGTTTGGACAATGAATTATGTCATCATCCTACATATAAACTATAATTTTTAGCAATTTTGAACCTACAGGAGACAACACCAAAGATTCTACATTCTATGAATTGTTTCAAGAAGAGTCATTTTATTTACTTATTTATTTTTATCCTCACCCGAGGACTTTTTTTTTTTTTTTTGCATTTATCTTCAGATAGATCGGGAGGGAGAAGGAGGGGGAGAGAGACATCAGCTGGTTGCCACCTGCACGACCCCAACCAGGGCTGGGGACAAACTGCAATCGAGGTACATGCCCTTAGCGCAGTGGTTCTCAACCTTCCTAATGCCATGACCCTTTAATACAGTTCTTCATGTTGTGGTGACCCCCAACCATAAAATTATTTTTGTTGCTACTTCATAACTGTAATTTTGCTACTGTTATGTCTTAGGCAACCCCTGTGAAAGGGTCGTTCGAGCCCCAAAGGGGTCGTGACCCACAGGTTGAGAACTGCTGCCTTGGCGGGAACTGAACCTGGGTCTCTCTGGTCCGCGGGCCAACACTCTAACCGCTGAGCCAAACTGGCTCGGCTAAGAGTCATTTTAATCTTAGGCCAGTTTTGAAATGAAAATGTACCCTCACCAGCTGTGTTCTGTAGTAGCCTCTTACTCTCCTCAGCCGGTGTCTGGAGTCGGGGAGGTGAGGCCCTTGTGCGGAAGTGACCCCGCTGTCAGGTCTCTCCACTATGAGCTAGGAAACCGGAACTAAGCTGGGATCCCTACAAGGGTCCTAAGCTTGGGCGTCACACCAACCTGAGTCTGAAATCTGGCTCTGCCACTTCTCAGTGTTTCCTTGACAATGACTTTACCTTCACTGAGCCGGTTTCCTCATCAGTTAGACTGAGAATTAAATAAGGCTTAGTACCTGTTCATAATGCCTGATGAATAGGAAGTGCTACTTCTAACCACAGTGGCTGATGATGGGATGAATCGAGATAAGTACGAAGGAAAGGCAGAGATGAGGGCAGAGTTTAGAGCAGGGGGTCTAGAGGCCACTTCTGGGAACTTGGGCCCCAGGGTTCCCTGAGGTAGCTCAAGTTTATTTCCTGGACCATGAGGCTGGGTGTTGGGCAACACTGTGGTGTTTCATCAGGACCTGAGCGAGGCCATGAGCATGGTGGAGCTGCAGCAGGAGCTGGGTCTGCATGTCGTTGACAGCCAGCGGGAGGTCTTCCTCTTGGGAGCCAGCATTGCCCCTGCAGGACCTGGCTTTGAAGACCCTGGCACTGTGCACATCTGGAGACTGCTCTTGGAGCTTCTCTCCTAAGCTGGCACCACCTGTTCACCACCCAGCCCTGGGAGCCCCAGGTCTGCTGCTCCTGCTTCTTCAGCACCGGCCTGGGCCTGGGGCAGGAGCTATGTGGCCCCTTACCGCCCTCATGAGCAGGGCCTGGGCAAGGCCAAGAACCACAGAGAAGCCCTCCTGGTGAGGCGGCCTTGGGGCTGGAGTGGGGAGGTGGGTGGGGCAGAGGGTGGGCACAGAGAGTATGGCTCTTTCTGGACTGGAAGAGGATCCAGCTGTCACCCGACCTGGACGGTGAGATGCTCAGTGGGCTCAGTACTCCGCCCTGCAGGTCCTGGCAACTGAGGACCGTTTCGATGTCGTAAGTACTTCTAGCCGAGTGTTCACGCCTGGCAACTTCAGGCCCCTCCTCACAAGCAGGTCCTAGGCAGTGCACAGTGAACCCCGGCTTCCAGTTCACATTGTCCTCCAGCCCCAGCTCTGCCCATCGGGCTTGTGGCCTTGACCAGTGTCTTCTCCTCTGGCCCCAGGGCCATGATTTTGAAAGGAAGATTTCTGTGGTTTTTTTCGAACTGAGAGATGCATTTCCCAGTGGTAGAGATGAGAAGTGTGAGGACAAACCTGGAGCTCCTAGCAAGGATCTGAAACCTCCCTGCTTCCCCAGGCCAAGGCCTGGCCCCCAGCCTCTCGTGACTACAGAGTAAGAGGTATTCACCCCCAGTCAGAAAAACTGAAAGCTTGTCCCGCCGAATCGGAGCAAACAGCTGCTACTGTGTTAGCTGACCAGTGCCCGTGTTTTCATGAGTGGGGGAGAAAGGGGTGCCATTCCCGGAAGGAGGCCGAAGACCATGGGTGTTGATCTAGGGACTGCACTGTGATTATTTATTTATTTATAAAAGGAACAGGCCAACGATTTGGGGTGTTTCCAGGTGCTGTTATCAAAACCTCCAACGACCGGCATGGAAACTTTGGATCTTTGAGGAAAACAGCTGAACTCCAGAATGACAAGGTGATCAGCCACCATGTTAAGGGAGCTGGATCTGTAGCTTCCCCTGCCCTTTGGCTGTAACTGATACCACAATACTTCACCCTGATCCACATGTACCGTAGCTCCATCAGCACGTCACTCTGCTTCTGTGTAGTTAGCAGAGGACTCTGGGAAAGGAAATTCCAATCATGTAAATCCAGGTACAAAGAACTTGGGCGTAGCAGACCAGCCAACGGGGTAGCCTGGAACATCGCTCAGCCTCTCTACCCCTGTGGATGCCCCAGCCACAGCAAAGTTGGACGGAATTTCTGCTCTTCTCTCCAGTGCACAGTCAGTGATTCTCCTTCCAGTGACCAGCCAGTTCAAGGACCATCTTACCTGCATCAACACCTCTTTAGTGCAGGCAACAGGAGCCTTTTGTCCGTTGGGGCCACTGAGTAATCAACAGCCACAAATGGGTGTTGTTTTTTAGAGCACATATCCAATTGGGTTTGCTTTTTCATTGAGAATAGAGGTTATGTGCCTTCGTTTCGTTTGGCAGTTTCCCTGTGCTTCAGTTCGGGGGGTGGGGTGGTGGTGGCGGTGGCGGGAGAACTGAAGAGCAGCCTGTTCTGCTCCAGGGCTGCGGGATTAACTTTCTGCATTAAGAAGCGATTTGTCTCCTTTTTTAAAATAATTAAAGAACTTGGGTTTAAAGTAGCCTTTAAAACTTTTCTGACAACTTCACTTCTGTGTTCTATGAACCTCACCTGGTTTCCGGTGCTCGAAAGTTAACTCTAGACCCAGAGCTGGTCAGCGGACCCTTTTCTTCTCATGAAGATCTGCCTTTGGTCTGTTGAGTATCACTATGTAGTACAATTTTTAAAGTCCCCAGTGTGGGGAGGTGAATTTGAATAGCTTTCAACCACATGTAGTTGAGCTTTTATTTTTTTTATCCTCACTGGAAGACAATTTTGCATTTATCTTCAGATAGAGCAGGAGGGAGAGAGGGAGGAAGAGAGACACATCGACTGGTTGCCACCGAGGCCGGGGACAAACTGCAACCAAGGTACACGCCTCTAGCAGGAACCGAACCTGGGTCTCTCTGGTCCGCGGGCCAATGCTCTAACCGCTGAGCCAAACTGGCGAGGGCTAGTTGAGCTACTTTTAAAGACCACTCATTACTGGTGGGTCTCAGCGGCACCAGAAGACACACACTGCTGAGCGGCCAGACTGCCACCCCTCTGATACTTGTACGGAACATGGACGTTCCGCTGGCCTCTGGCTGGGCCTCGGCACGCCTGACAGACAAGCTGTGCTCCTCTGACGGGGCTGCCGGCCCGTCCTCCAAGCAGAGTGCCACAGGGCTCGTCTGTTCTGATTTTTAGGACCAGATTGCACAAAATGGGACAATGGCCTTTCCTAAAAACACTAGGTACCTGGCCTTATGGTGCGCTTACCAGGTGCTCCTAAATGTGACTTTGATTCAGGAGCCCCAATAACTGCTTTGGGGAGCCAAGCACTGCCTGGAGCGGTTCATCTCGGAGGCTCCTGAGCTAGCCTGGGTGACACTGTTCCCTCCACTGCCCGGCTCTGCGGCTCCCGACCTGCCTGCGCATGGCAACAGGGAGGAAGTGTCTGGGCTGCTCTTGTAAGGAAGATGGCAGAGGGGCGGCTCTGGGCCCGAGAGCATGTGAGCACTGACCATGCAGTGGCCACTCTTCATGTCGGAGGGAAGCCTCTGCTTCTACTTGCCTGTGGAGCCTGTGCCTGAGTCACTTCCCCTGGCACTGGGGCGTCTGTTCTTAAGTTTATTCAAATGAAATCGTGGCTTCTGATGCTCTATTCTCTGACCTGTTGCCATCCCTTTGAAGAAAAGCCAACCCGGCCCAGAATGAGACATGTGGATGGTCTGGGCAAGAGGGCTCTCGAGGCTGCTGGGCTGCTGGTACCACCATCACCTTGGACTGACTGCCCATCCCAAGAAGCCTTGGCACCTCTTGGTGCCCACAACTGACTGGTAAGCTTGTGCTGACACAAAAGAACCAGCTGTAAGACGGGGAGAGGACGGAGTCAGTCCTCACAGTCCCCCACCCACTCCCTGGTCCTCTGCAGAGGTGCTGATGAAAATCTCGTAACTCTGGCCTGTCTGCCTGAAGGAAGCAAAATGCTCCATAAAACCTTCCCACTTGCCTTTGAAAACCACTTTGTTCTTACGCTGCTTTAGTGGCAACGGCCAGCATCTCGCACCAGCTGCTGAAACGCCTGTGGTGCCATCCTCTCGCCGCTGCCCCAGACCTTGGAGCCGGACAGTGGGCAGTGCCTCTCACAACTGCCTGCGCACGCGTCCTGAGCCCTTTCTGGTAGCTCTGAAGAAGGGACCCTCCAACTCGTCCTTGTCTGCTGCCTCCAGGAGCCGGGCCCATTAAGAGACAAGGGGAGGGTTCCCATCAAAGATGTGGGAGTAGAGGGCCTTGCTGTCCTGCCTGTGCCCCGCGAACAGACCCGCAGGCCACCGAGGACGGGCGACGCGAGGTGGGGTGCGGCGGTGTCTGAGGCACTATACAATAAATGCCAAGTCTCGGGCATGGTTTCATCTGAATTCTGATTTTGAGGAATGTGTGCTGGGTGCTTCACGTCCCAGTGAGGGACAGTGACAGAGGGGTGGCTCCAGAGTACTTCCCTTGACCGTCTGTCAACAGCCAGTCCCAGTCTCCAGGCCCACAGCCCACGTGGGGGTGGGGTGGTGAGGAACATCAGCTTTGGCCTCAGTACCTTCTGGGGGTATCCAAACCCTTCTCCTACTCCTTGGCTCTGGCCCTGCCAGCCAGGTGTGGAAATGGGAGCAAGGATGTTACCTGAAGGCCTCCATGCCCCAGGTCAGAATGGAGGCCACTCCCCAAGCATTTCCAAGGAAGGTCCCTGCACGTGCCCTGTCTTATAGGGGGCGTCGAGCAGATTAAAAGGCAGTTCTGACTGCTAGGCACTGCTAACAGGAAGTCTGGGACATGGGAACTACAGGACCCTCACGCAGCCTGGGGGCAGGGCACAGTGGCAGGAAGGCTTCCTAAAACTGGCACCTGAACTGGGTAAAGAAACAAGGTCAGGGGCCAGGCCAGTTAAAGGCCTGAGTCTGGGAAGCTGTGAAAGACTAGTTGTAAGACCAGATAACAGAGGCCCTCTGAGCTCTGCCGAAGACTAGGTCCTAGAGGTCGTGCCTGGGGCCAGTCCCTGCCGGAGTCGAAGCAGCCTGTCTAGTCTCCAGCACGCCCTGATGGTGGGTCGGATGGGCTGCCTTCGGGGGCCGGGGGGTGGGGGGGGGGGGGGGTAGAGCACACACAGCAAGTGCAAGCCTAGGCTTAGCTGTCAGAACGACTTGACTTCAATCCCCCACCTTCAGTGCCTCTCAAGCCCCAGTCTCCTTACCTGTAAAATGGGGATAAAACCACACATCTTCCAGGGTTTTATGTGTAATGAACTATGTAAAAACACTAAGCCCTTTTCAAGAGCAGTAAGAAGAGACATTTTAGGTGCTTATAGGAGAAATCTCAGGAACGGGAGAATTTTTGTATTAACAGCTGAAGATAAATTATCAAGGCTAAGAAAATGCCAGTGCCCACCCCACACCCTGCCTGTGGAATACTCATCACTTCCTCATGTCACCCAAATCAGGCAGCCTGGCCCCGAGAATGGGGTTTGGCCAGCCTCATCTGTAGCCACGTGTCCCTCCTTGCCTTAAACCCTGGCTCCAGCTTCTTGGGTCCAGGAGGAGGCTTCAACCCAGGGCAAGTGAAAACCAGTCACTCAACTTCCATTGTATTCTTCAGAGAAAGCACGAAGGCTTGCCACTCTGCTGGGTAAAAGCGCTTGTAGACGTTGATCTTATTCCGAATCTGTTTTGGGGTATCTTGATAGTAATTCTTCTCATCCCGGGCCATAGCCTAAGAAGGGAGAAGGGCCACTTGAGGGCTGGACAAACAAAGGTTCAAATCCTAGTTCTGCTGAAGGTGGGCAAACCACTTCCTGTCCCGGAGGTTCAGCTTCCTCACCGCAGAAGCCCGGTGTGTGTGAGGAAGTGGCCGCAGATGCCACAGGGGCCAGCTGAGCAGTTCATGCTCCGTCCATAACCAACTAATCCCAGATCTTTCGATTTCTAACAGAAGGCAAGCATGCGGACTTTTATTTGAAACCTCCCATAGCTAAAATGGCAACTAGTTCAAGATCTTTGTAAATACCATGCAAGCAAAGCAATACATCTGTGGGACAGTCGCTCAGTCTATCTCAGCTATAAGCACTGTCGCTGGGATCCATCTAGTCTGTCTTCCCTTTGTTTCCACTCGGGAAACCGGCTCCAGACAAGCAGATTCAGATCACGAATGACCTGCAATGCCTTCCCAACGGGCCCGAGTGGTGCTTTCCGCCAGGCCTGAGCCACTCACCTTGTAGTCCTCCCCATGGTTCTCCACCATGTAGCGTACGTAGTCTATGAGGTCCCGAGACAGCGTATTTCCTTTCTTTTCTGGGAGGCTGGCTTCTGCTTCCAGGTCTGGGGTGAGAAGCCGGGAGACAGAGAATGAGGTGTTGCTTCCTGCATCGTTTGAGCTGTCCAGTCACCCCTTTGCTCAATCCCAAGCCACATGAGTTGCTACAGTAGCCATCTGATGGGCTTTGCCTCTCTATCCCCATATTCAGTGCTAGAACCTTCTTTTTCAGTGCCTCGGATCCCAGGCTCTGCATGTGACATAGTCATCCATCAGTGGCAACTACATGAAAGGCAAGTCATCTCTTTGGGCCTCATAAGGGTAAAAGAAAAGCAGCAAACTTACAATCTTGAGTGTCAAGTCCTGGGACAGAAATCAAGATACACTGCCTGTCCACGGGACAGGGCTCCCTTCCAGCTCTAAAACTGAGAACCTCTTTTCTTGAAGTGTTAAAATAACACATGAAAGGTCTGAACAAATGAGAACTAGGGCCTAAGGCTGGGCCCAGGCATCTCTCTGCTCCACGGGAGGCGAAAAGCCAAGCTGTGGAGCCAATAATGGCTTTGCTTTTAAAATAACTAGGCAAGCCCCGCCGGTGTGGCTCTGGTTGACCCAGGCACCAAGGAAGGGGTTGCTAGTTCTATTCCCGGTCAGAGCATGTGCCCAGGTTGTGGACCAAATCCCCAGTGCGGGGCACGCAGGAGGCAGCCAATTAATGTTCTCTCTCATTGATGTTTTTATCTCTCTCTCCCTCTCCCTTCCTCTCTCTCTAAAGTCAATAAAGAAAAAAATTAAAAATAGCTAGGCAAATACTCCCTATTTCTCATCTATGAAGGAAGAAAATTAGCTCAAGAAAACGGGGTAGTCAAATCTTATCTAGGGTTAAGTGCTAAAACTGCTTATAGTAAAAAAATTTTAAATGATCTTTGACTAATTTAAATTTGCACAATAAGTACACAATTTCATATATGCATCCAGAGCTGTAATTCTTATGAGAATCACTGAGATATGCTAAAGACAGGCCCTCAAGGATTTCTGTATCAAATGTCTGGCCATTCAAACCCTTTGCATTCAGAACTGTTAAAAATCTCAGATAAGAGATTATTACCTGAGAATTCCAGAGTATTCTGTCTTCCCTGCAGAATTGACTCTTTTCTGTTTTAATATTCAGTTTCTACGGCCTTATTGAATATGAAATTGGTTATTGGGAAGATTAAATAAGATGGTGGAATCTCTATAAATCTGTTCATCCTTAAATTTAGGAGCTGAAATGTGTGCTTGAGACTTACCCTCTCAGGCACTGGCTCCTTCCTCCCTAAACATCTCTGCCCTCACTTCACAAACTTTGAGTTTAGTCAGTAGACTGAAAATGTCCCAGCAGGAGACACAATCCTAACTCTTGTGAGCCCTGGACCGGCTCACTTCTTCCCTCGGATCCTCGGTCTCTCCACCTGCTCTTTCCAGCCCTGACTATGCTGGATTGTAACCCAGAGGAATGTGGCCCGCACTCACCACTTAGCACATAGGGCTTCCGCACGAGCTCCTGAGGCCTCACCTCCACATCCACGTCCATGGCCTTGACCTACAGAGAACAGAGCCAGTGAGACCAGTAGATGAAGGATCCTGAGGGAAACTTCTAGAGGCTCTTGCCCATCCCGGTACAGCTGCATAACCCACAATAATCCCTTTAGAAGCTTACGCAGGAATAGATGACAAGGAGAACCAATGCCCTGGAGGCTTCAGGAGTCTCAAGAGACTCAAGCAAGCAATTCATCTTTCTGTGCCTACCTGTGAAATGGGAATATACCCCTTGCCGTCCCACTTTGTTGGGTGAGAGTCCAATGGAACAATGCACACAGAGTGCTTTATAATTTACAGTGAGGAAATGTCAGATCTCTATGGGGAGGAGCAACCTGACAGAGCTTGGCTGCAGCTTCACATTTGTTCAAGAAACAGTAGGGTAGCACCATTTCCCTCTGGAATGAAGCGATAAAAAGAAACTTGCCTAAAGGCAATGGGACAAACTCGATCAGCAAGCCCAGTCCTTAGGTTAACTATTTATTGAGCATTAATCACACCCTGAGTATCACTGGGGATTTACTAGTGAACAAAACACCACGTCCTTGTCTCCAAGGAGATTATGTTGGGGGAAAGAGGCCCAGCCAATAAACATAAACAAATACCACCACCAAGCATTTACAAGTACTATACATTAAGATAAAACAGGATAGAAGTTACTGAGTGAAAGGGGAGTGCTATTTTTTTAAAGGGTGGCTCAGGAAATCCTTATTTGGGAGAAAGTGGCCCTAGAGAAACCTCAGACTAAGGACGCTTGGATGACTGGGGTAAGATGTAAGGAAGAGTAGATGCAAATCCCAAACTCTGGGGAGTCCATATTAGGAAAGTTAAGTAAGGGCAGAAAAAGATAAATTCTGGAAAATACCACTGAGATGCTAAGGGACACAAACAAGTTAATTTCAATTAAAACAAAAAAACCCGGTGGAGAAGACGCTCCAACCCTGGTCCAGGGGGTTCTGGGGGCCAAAGGAACCTTCAGCCACAGTCAGCGCGGGCCGGCCGAGTGGGCTGTGCGGAGGGCGCAGGCCCGGGACGGGCGGGAGGGAGGTAATGGGCAGGGCGTTCGGAAACCCCGCTAGTTACGGCGGGGCGAGGGCCGGGACGCTGCCATGTCACTACCTTTCTCTTACGGAGGGGCACCACCTTGTTGGGGTCCATAGCCAACCCCATCTCGGCCAGGTTCTGCCGCACGGATTTGGTGTGGTCCCAGGCATGTCGGATGTGGGAGCTACGGAAAAAGGGGAGAACGCGAAACTGTCATCTTGCAGACCATTCCGGCCCAGGCCCGCGGCCGCCTCAACCCCGGCCCCCGCACCACTCGATCCGCGGGGCTGCCTTCCGCCGAGCATTCCGGTTCAGACGCTTCCGGTTAACACTGTAACCGAACTTCTGCCTCCGGGTCTTCCCCTTGGCCTTGGGCATCACGCTGACCACCTCGCAGTTAATTCAGATTCGGAGCCTCTCACTCCCAGAACCTCGTGTAGCCGACTCCTTCCGGCGGCTGTGCGCACGGCTTGGCAGGCTTTGTGGGAAATGTAGTCCTCCCCGGAGCAATACCGAGCTGATTCCTACAACTCCCAGAATGCAATGAGAAGTTGCGCCTGCGTACACTGCTCAGCAAATTCTTTCCAGCCCCCCGCCCCTTTCATGACCCCATCAGGAGGCAGAGCCAAGCGTTCCTAGTTCCTCCTACCGCTGTTGCCTAGGACACCACGTCTCCTAGCGCCGTGACTCTGGAGGCGCACTTTGAACCATCGCAGCACCCCACCTAGCATCTTTGCAGCTAATTCTCCAATCTGGAATGTTCGTCCCTCAGAGTCACAAAGTTGGCTCTTCTCGCCTGGCAGACCATGCTTGACGTCAATTGCATGACCCTCTCCCTCTGGACCCCATCCCTTGCCCAAGTGCAGAGTAAAGCCGAGCTGAACCCAGGACCCAGGCTGCTAGTGTCCAATCTTTAAGGCCAGCCAGGCCTGGCCACTCTGGAAGGAAAGACGCCCTGCTTGGTTATGGCAGATGGACGTGCCTGCTTAGGCTAAGGAGTGTCCAAGGAGCATTCTAGTCACTCACCACAGTTGTCTGAGTCTTGCAAGGCCCTCCGTGACAGCGACGTCGCCGGGAGGCCAGGTTTGAGCACAAGCCCCATTTTACAGCAGGCACAGAGAGGGTAAACCGAGGCACAACATCAGTCCCAGGGCAGGGCCCCTGTGCTCAAGCCCCTCTCTCTGGAGGGGGTGTTTCCAGGCCCGTTGCCCAGCGCCTGGCATACAGTAGGCGCTCAGAGTTTCTCGAATGAAAAACCGCATCTGTAAGCCAGGTGCGTCACGAGCAGAGAAGGCACCTGGAGAAGAACCCAAAGGGGCCTGCTCGAGGCTTTGCAGTGCTGCGCGCACCTCTAGGGACGCTGAGCCAGAGCCAGCGGGGAGGGGAGGGGGGCAGACTGGAGCGTCGTGGGGAAAGGAGAGTGCGCCGAGGGGAGAGAGGGGCGAGGGAGGGGACGCAGACTCGGGGAGTGCGGATGCAGGGAGGGGGGGATCGTGGGGAGAGGACGGGAAGATCGTGGGGAAGAGAGGGGTGCGGCGAGCGAAGGGAGGGCGCGGGGAGGGGGCGCCGAGCAGCTGACGTGGGCTGGGGTCGGTGCGGCTGGCTGTGGGAGGCGGCGGCGCACAGCGGCACAGTGTCCCCAAGCAAGGGCGAGCGAGCGCCGCGCCCGCACCTCCCTGCACAGCCCGCACCTTGCGCCAGGAGGAGAGGCCGCCGCCGCCTTGTCGAGCCCCGTCCTCTCGGGCTCCTGCAGCTCCTGGAGGCGCCATGGCCCTGGCCCTCTGGCCGCGCGTCAGCCACATCCTCTGGCTTTCCTGCCTCCTGCCCTCGGCCCCCGCCGTGGTGGCCGCAGGTAAGCCGCTGCACCGGCCGGCCGCCTGCCCTCCCCGAGTCGCTGCGCGCCTGGGGCCTCCCTGGGAGCCTGGGCTGAGGAGCTGGCGCCGTGCGCCCTGCGAGCACCTTCCTCCACCCCCGAGTCCCTGCACAGGTTTCGGAGGGGACACCGCCAGCCCTCTACGCTCTCCCCAGAAGTCGCCTTGCCACTTGAGGGGGCTCTCTGCGGCCCTCGGCTTCTGCTGCCCCCTATAGATCGGTCCAGCGCTGCCCTGGGAACCGCGCGCGCGGTAACCCGCGAATCCACCTGGATGCTTGGGGACCTAGCAGCCGATGAGGGTGGGAGAAAACGATGCAGGGAGACCCAGTCTGTGTGGGGTCGGCCATCACGTCACAGCCCCATGGAGCACGGCCACGTCGCCCTCGGAGCAGCATTTTTCGCTTTAAAATATCCCCTTATGTGAAGTCTTTCCACCCTGTTGTGCTGACGCGCGTGCGTGTGTGTGTGTGTGTGTGTGTGGTGTGTTGGGGGGCGGGAGGGTGGGGTGGGGAGGTGTAGATGTGATTTTAAAGCCGAGGAGGCCAGTCTACCATTTCCTCTCTGGGAATATTTCCAAAATGGACCCTGAGTAGGTTCTGCCAGGTCCCACCCCCTGTCCCTTGTTGCACCTCTACCATGCCCACCTCCCCACTGCTGGAAAGCCAGCACCAAATTTTCTGCCTCATTTTGGCGACAAAAATGGACTCAGATAGGAGAGTTGTTGGGGAACCGTTGGGACGTGGGCGGCTATGGGAGAGGGTGTTAAATATTATCCAACAATTTCATTTTCTCCATACACACCTTAAAAGAATGGGAGAGAGAGGAAGGCCATTTTGTGCAATAAAAGCCACAAGGTAGAATAAAAACTTGCATCTCAGGGATGAAATAAGAGAAATGTTTGGGAATTGAGCTTGGCCAAGATCACTTGCCACCCCCTAGAGATTCATATGGAAATGGGGTCTCTTGTCCATTAGGGTTATTTATCCAAAAATAACGGATGTGGTTTTAATTAAAGAAACACGTGAATTGATTATTTGGAAGTCATGTGTGGTTCCCAGCCTGGCCGACTGCACCCATGATATGGTTAAAACAGCTAGGAATTGGGTTAGGGAAAACCCAAGGGGGAAAATAGAGACTCAAACACCCTTTCCACCCTCCCTGGGGTCTGGGTCAGCCTGCATGGCATGCTTCCTACACCAGGGGTTAAAGTCAGAAGTCTGTGTTCTGACCATGAATCAATTCCAGGATGTGTTATCCAGACTTCAGGTGGACCATGTGTGAAAAGGCTGACGTAGCCATTTTCTAGAATGTCCAAGGCCCCACATACTGTGTTATCGGAGAAAACGTGTGTGCTCCAAGTGGAAACCCTGGGGCTTGCTTGTGAATGTTGTTCCCACGGGTCATGCTTTATGGCAGTTGCCACTTCACTTTCTGCGTTGGTCCTCTCAGCGCCGGTCCCTTGGGCTACCTGTGGTGCCCTGTAAGCCATGCCATGACTGCTGTGTAACTCGGACTCTCCAACTTGAAAAGATGGGTTTCAGTGGGTAGGGTAATGGGACCTGAGCTTGGTTTCTTCAGCCACATATGGCGAAGCCTTTATGGCCCATTTTAGCCTGAATGTCCCGAACACTTCCCAGAACCCTGAAAGGAGAGACAGCACCACCTAGGAACCGTAAAGCATCTGCTGTAGGAAATGCTCAAGAAAAAGTGCCCCTGTTGGCTTCTTGGGTCTGGACAGGTAGGGGTCTCCCAGGAGCTGCGCCACCATCTGCCCCAACATCTGCTGTAGCCACAGCCCCTCCTGACACCCATATACCTCCTCCCAGCTGAGCCTGTGGCCCCTGATTCCATTCCCCTGGCAAGAGATCTTCGTCCTGCTGACGGGCATGGCTCTACGTTCTGCTGACCTGCGTCTTGTCATGTGCCCGTCTCTCTGCAGATTCTGGATGGCCATTTACATGCAGCCAGCCACATGTCCCCGCCACCTGCCAGCCTCGCTCTGGCCCAAGCTCCTTGACTGGGGGTGGGCAGGAGCAAGAGGGGAAAGGGAGGGGGTGGCCTCTTATCTAGCACCTCTTTCTGTGACAATGAAGATATTCTATATCCACACTGTCCAACATGATGACCCTTAGTCACAGGTGGGTAGCGAGCACTTGAAATGGAGCTAGTGTGACTGAGAGAGTGGATTTTACATTTTGTTTCATCTTCATTGAAACTTAACTGGCCACACGTAGCTGATGCTGCCATATTGGGCAGCGCAGATCTAGCACCTCTCACATGACAGATTTAGAATCTCAGACCAAGAGAGACAGGGGCTTGGCTCAGATGGAGTGGACTTTCTGCCCATGGCTTGTTTGGCTACAGTCAAGGTGTTAGGCTTCTTAACAGGGACCAGACTCAGCTTCGTGTGTCAAATCAGAATTTTGTTTGACATGTACTAGTCCAAACATGTGGGCAATGGTGGGCATTCCTCAGCAGCAGCTGCCATGGTTCCTCCTGAGGGGCATGGGCAGTTGTTTATCAAAGCTTAGATGGAAGTCCAGGCAGGTCAGCATGCCATACACATGCTCTGTAATATAAATTGGGAGCCCTAGAAAGAGCATGTGGTTTGGAGTCAGTTGGGCCCGGGGTTTGACTCTCAGCTTGACAATGAACTAGTCATATGACCCTTGGGCAAGTCACTTGGGCTGCCCGGGCCTCAGTCTCTCCACCTGTCAAATAGAATAATAGAAGCCAACCCAGTGGGTGTCATTAGAGTTCCTTGCCATGTCCCCTTCTGAAACACGGTTTTCGTTTCTGGACTCCTAGGCCGTTATGAACTTCGCCTCGTCACTGATAGCCCTGCCACCACAGGGGCAGAGATGACCATCACGGCTAGCCTAGTGTCCAGTGACAACGGCAGCCTGGTCCTGCCCACCAACACTCACTTCTACCGTTTCCACTGGATCCATAGCCCACTGCTGCTCAGGGAGAAGACGGAGGAGGCTTTCAGCTCGACCGTCCGCGCTGTGGGAAGCGTGCCTGGGGACTTCCCCGTGTCTGTCTGGGTCACTGCAGCCAACTGTGGGATGTGCCAGCCTGTGGCAAGGAGCCTCCTCGTCCTCTCCGTCTCAGGTGAGGACCTTTCCCGTCTGCTAATTTGTCTGCAGACTCTGGGTGCAGAGAAAAACATCCAGCCTGGCTGGGAACAAAATGCAAATTACACCCTTGGTCCCTTCTCTGTTGTCAGTTGAGTTAACAAAGGATCAGAAAATGGTAATACCCACTGCGGGCACACATGCGGGCGCTAAAAGTACCTCTTGCTACTGGGAGTGTAAATTAATACAACCCCTTGGAGAGCAACTGATCGATATGTATCAATTATTTTCCTCTTCAGCCTATTCATTTTTATTCTCTCTTTCTCCCCTACCCCATTTTCTTCTTCCAAGAAGTCCCTACTATCTTGGAGTTCACAGTCTCGTAAAGAATTTATCTTCAGGGACTAAATCTCCATCTGGGTAATGCGTTACGTACAAAGATGTCCATTTCAGTGGTGTTTATAACAGCAGACGAAAATATAAACAAAGCTAAGTATGCAACCGTAAGGGGAGTGGTTAAGTATGTTGATATACTTTTGTATAATGAACAATAATGACCTTTACTGGATTTATAATATCCTAGGAGAACACTCATGCTTGTAAAATTTTAAAAAGCAAAACAAAATTTTATAACCAATTTGGTCAACTGTGTTTAATATACACGTACACACATACACACTAACACTTTGCAACTCTTAAAAAATGTCAGCAATGGTTGTGTTTGAGTGATAGGAAGTTTCTCTTCTTTTCATTCTATTTTTTAGCATTTTCCAAATGAACATGATTGAGCCCACCTTACTCTAAATTTTTGTGGTGAAAAAAAAAATCAGCTTCTTTCTTTCTTTCTTTCTTTCTTTCTTTCTTTCTTTCTTTCTTTCTTTCTTTCTTTCTTTCTTTCTTTCTTTCAAGAGAAGGACGCAGAACAGAGGTCCTCACCCAGCTCAGCACATTGGGTGTGGAGATGTGATCAGTAGAACTGCTCATTGTTTTAAGGCTCCTTTAACACTTTGCAATATTTCCCAGAAGTTACTTTCAAAGCCTATGCATTTCCTTCTGTTCTGAGCATCTTTTGTGCCAGAAAGTTCAGGGTCCTGGTGAAAAGGGTGCAGGCGAGAAGCCATGTATGTCCCACCTGCCGGGGGTCTTCAACAGTGTCTACGCAGCCGGCGTGATGACTCGGAGGCACGCGCCTCTGTGCACAGTGACTTCAGGGTCCCCGCTCACCACCCCCAGCTGTGACAGCCAGAAAGTCAGGGAGGGCAGAGGGTGCTCTGTCTGCAGACACGGGAGGTCGCTCCTGGCTCTACCCTCCCAAAGTCTCAGTGATTCACCCTCTTGGTCTCGCCCCCAGAATTCCTTGTGGGGAACCTCGTCATCACCCAGAACACGTCCCTGCCCTGGCCCGGCTCCTATCTCACCAAGACAGTCCTTAAACTGTCCTTCCTCCTCCATGACCCGAGCGACTTCTTCAAGACCGCCTGGTTTCTCTACCGCTGGGACTTTGGGGATGGGTATGTCCTGCCCCTGCCCCTCCCACCACTGGTGCCCCAAAGCCTTGGCCCAGGGTGGTGGCCCTGTCATCCCACGCAGTCCCATGCAGGGTGCTCTTCCTGCCCCGCCTACACCCACTCACCCCAGACGTCCCTGCTCTGTGCTGGCTTGGGGTGCGTGGGGACCAGTGGTGAGCACCATGGGACCTGCCCTCAAGTTGCCTGCAGCTGAGTGGAGGAGGTCACTGGTACCCCAAACCGTCCTTTAAGGACAGTCAAGGTGGAAAGGGCTTTTGCCCATTTGACTTTGGAGGGACCTGTCCAGGCTTCCTTTCTCCAGATTCCATCTCTCCAAACACGCTACAGGAGGCAGGGCGGGAAGTGGGGGTCAGGCGCTGAGCCCAGGCAGCCCACAGGCTCCCCCAAGTTCATACAAGAGCAGGGCTCAGTGGCGACCACTCACCCCCTGGGTCCCCCCAAGCCCCTGGCTGAGCCTGTGAGTCCCATGGGGGCGAGGAGGGGTGCAGGAAGGGCCCCTGAGCCCCGAGGGACAGGAAAGCTGGTGGCGGGCCGTAAGGAATGGCGAGATTCGGAAGGCTGCCGCTGTGATGGTCGCCAGGGAGTGTGTCACTGTATCGCCACCCTGGACTCTCAGAGGTCACATGAGTTACCTCTGTCGTCTGTCTCCTCCCTGTCGCCTTACAGCACCCTGCTGGTGACTGAGGACTCTACGGTCTATTACAACTATTCGATCATCGGGACCGTCACCGTGAAGCTCAAAGTGGTGGCGGAGTGGGAACAGACAACGCTGGACGCTGGGAAGGGCATCGTGCAGAAGAAGGGGGACTTCTCTGCCTCGCTGAAGCTGCAGGGTAGGTCCGCAAGGGTCGGTGCAGGTTGAGGGCTTCTTGTTCCCCGGCCACATGGGCCTGTGGTCAAGGCACAAGGCATAGTGGACTGTGCCCCCATCTACCGCACAGGAGGAAATGTCGAAGCCCATCTCTTCCGTCACACAGCTCTGGGCCTGGGAGCCCCGAGACAGCTGTCCTTAGCTACTGGACTTAACGGGGTCCCCTGCCTTTCAGAAACTCTTCGAGGCATCCAGGTCTCGGGGCCCACCCAAATTCAGACCTTCCAAAAGATGACGGTGACCTTGAACTTCCTGGGGAGGTGAGTGAACCCCAGAGTGCGCGGTATGTGATCTGCGGCCTTGCCCGCTCTCTCCGGGGGGTGATCCTGAGCCTGCTCCACACCCCGTGGGGCTCCCAGCCTGGGGGCTCTTGGAAGGACAATGTCACCCAGCCCCTTGGCCATGCCACGGGAAAGCTGTGGGCACAGCTCCATTGTCAGGGTCCACGACAGGGAGCACTGGCCTTTCGGGGCGGTCAGCAGTGTGGGCATCGAGGCAAAGGCAGGGGAGGGACCCTGCTGAGGAAGGTCCCCTGTGTGACTTGGGCCTACTTTCCAGCTCCCGGCAAACACGCCATTTTGAGTAGGATGTGGCCCAGCTCTTGGCAAGAAGGGCATTCAGCTAAGTTTGTGGTGAACAATGAGACACAAGAGGCCTGCCCTGGTGTCCACAGGGGCGGCTGGAGCTGCAGAGGTCACGGCCTGGCCCAGCCCTCCCTCACCACGGGGCCATGGCAGAGGGAAGCAGGGCTGGGCAGAGAGGGGGGGGCTGGAGGTGGTTTCTAAAGCATGGGTGTGGGGCTGCGGAGGCTGGAGCTAGGTACTTGGAGGGCGGGGTGGGAAGCCGCTGGGGCGCCGCAGACTGGGTGCTTGAGTGAGCGCTGAGTGAGCGCCGAGTGTGCGCTGAGTGTGCGCTGAGTGTGCGCCGAGTGAGCGCTGAGTGTGCGCCGAGTGAGCGCTGAGTGTGCGCTGAGTGTGCGCTGAGTGTGCGCTGAGTGAGTGCTGAGTGTGTGCTGAGTGCGTGCTGAGTGTGCGCTGAGTGAGCGCCGAGTGTGCGCTGAGTGTGCGCCGAGTGAGCGCTGAGTGTGCGCTGAGTGAGCGCTGAGTGAGCGCTGAGTGTGCCATGAGTGTGCGCTGAGTGTGCGCTGAATGAGCGCTGAGTGTGCGCTGAGTGTGCGCTGAGTGAGCGCTGAGTGTGCGCTGAGTGTGCGCTGAGTGTGCGCTGAGTGAGTGCTGAGTGTGTGCTGAGTGAGTGCTGAGTGTGTGCTGAGTGCGTGCTGAGTGTGCGCTGAGTGAGTGCTGAGTGAGCGCTGAGTGTGCCATGAGTGTGCGCTGAGTGTGCGCTGGACTGGAGCCTGGAGCCCCGGGAAGGGACTGCTCCCGGGCGCTCCTGGGACGGACCTGCGGTTCCCAGCTTCCGAGCCCGTGCTGTGCGGGCAGACAAGGCGAAATGCCCTCGTCCCCTCTACACCTACCAGACCCTCCTCAAACGCCACCTCCTCCAGGAGGCCTGCCCAGCACACCGCCTGTGTCACCGCTGGGCATTGGTCCAGCAGTCAGTGCAGGGCTCCGTGTGTCTCCCCGGCCTGGAATCCCCTCGGGGTCCAGGGCCATCTCTGTGGACTGTTGTGTTCCCCGTCCGGGAGGTGTGAAGTGGAGGCCGGCACAGCCGGGGTCCCGTCTTGGAAAGGACACCGGAGTTCACGGCCCCCTGGCCTTCCGGGACGCGGTCTGTGTCACACTCTTTGCCGTTGCTGAAAAGCCACCCGCGTGTGCCTGCAGCCCGCCCCTGACCGTGTGCTGGCACCTCACGGCCGAGTGCCTCCCGCCGGAGGAGGGCGAGTGCCGCCCCGCGCCCGTGGCCGGCACAGCTTACAACCTGACCCACACCTTCCGGGACCCTGGGGACTACTGCTTCAGCATCCGGGCCCAGAACGTCGTCAGCAAGACGCACCAGTACCACAGGATCCAGGTGTGGCCCTCCAGTAAGTGACACCTCCCCTCTGCTTCGGAGCCATGCGGACCGCAACAGCCAGCCACCCCTGCCCAGCCCATCTGCCCACGCAGTCTGCGACCACCCCTCCAACACTAGAGTCACCAGTAACCCTGCTGACCCCAACGCCACTGACCCACTGCCATACCCCTCCCCCACCACATCTTACCGTGCCACCAACAGCCAGCTCCGGCCCCCTCCGACCCGCCAGCACCACCTCTCGCCCTGCGTCACCGGCTGGGCTGAGCCAGCAGCAGCCCGCCTGACACCTTCCAGCACCGCCCAGAAGCAGCAGATGGCCCTGAACCCCCACCGCCAGCCCCGCGCCATCTGGACCACAGCGCCACTGCCCTGCCGCCCCGGCCTCTCAGCTCTCTTGCTGCCCCCACCATCACTGTGTCCCCAACACGAACACCCCACACAAAATGAGCCACCACGAACACAACGCACCCCTGTTCTTCCCCATCTCCCCAGCACACGGCCTCGGTCACGGCACTGTCGCCGCCACTGAGACCTGCATCTCCAGCGGTGACTGCGGGACTCACAGGGCTGTGGTGGGTCCCCGGGGATGGTGTGCTGCTCAGATAGTGCCCAGTGTGGTCCCTCTCATCCGTCAGGCCCATCCACTTGGCTTACGGTCACAAGAGTGGCTGATGATGGCATTAGGTTCTCCCCTTTCTTTGTGCTTCCTTATGTAGAGGTCAATGTTGGATCCCGGATCCCTCAGGGATGGTCTTTCAGAGCCCAGCCAGAGCCCCCCGTGCAGTACAAAAGGGGAAGCCCTCCCAGCTGCCTGTCCCTCCAGTCCCCAGTCCCTCAGCCCTTGAGCGGGTGCTGCAGGTAGACGCTGACCTGTGGGCGCGGTCGGGGGCGTGGCACCTCCGGGCACTGAGTTCCCAGGATACCCCGACTTCTGTGGACAAGATAGCAGGCCAGGGAGTCAGTGCTAGCTTCTCCTGGGAATCAGGTCCTCATGACGTATGTCGGTGTCTACACTTAGGGAACTTTGTCTACACTTAGGGAACTTCCACAGGAGGGTGAGGGGACAGTGAGAGGGAACTCACATCTGCCGATCACCTGCCGTGCACCTGGCACGCCTACACCTCACCTGGTCTGATCCCCGTGGCAGCCTCCTGGGTCAGCCTTAGCCTGGTCAGAGCCAGGATTTGAACCCAGGACTGCCTAACTGCAGACCCTGGGCTCTTCCTGCCCTGCCACATGGCTTCCCCACAACAGCATCAGTGAGAGAGCCCAGAGCTGCCGGAGGTCAGAAAGCTGCAGCAGAGGTCGCGGGGCAGCTTGAGTGCCCTCCGGGCATGGCTTCCCCTCCCCAGCACGTCACCCCAGAGAGAGCAAGGGGCAGCTGTGCTCTCTTCTACCGCCTGCACTTGGAAGTCATATGCCGTCACCCGTTATAAGCTGTTCACCAGGAGCAAGTCACAGTCCAGCCCGTACTCAGGGGCTGGGGACTTTGGCTGCACCGCTCAGAGGTCACCGTCAACACTAGTGGACGTTTTCTAAAACCCTGACACAACGCCAACGTGGTTTTCGGGAAGTCCGGGCTTTGCCCTTTGCAGCTGCCTGGTCGGAGCGTATGCACACAAAGCAAAGGCTGTGGCGGGGTAGACTCCCCTCCCCTCTGCCCCCCCCTAGCTGGCAATCAGCAGATCAGCACCACTACGCATGACTTCACCCTTTCTCGCTCCCAGGCATCCAGCCGGCCGTCTTCGCGTTCCCCTGCGCCACGCTAATCACCATGATGCTGGCCTTCATCATGTACATGACCCTGAGGAGTGCCGCTCACCAGAAGGACTTGGCGGAGGTGGGCGCGCGGGAGGGTGGGGTCGGGACCTCTGGGCTCGAGGACGAGGAAGGAAACGGTGTGTGCAGAGGGCATGGGGACCAGGCCAGAGGGCTTGGATCCCAGCACAAGGCTGCAGGGCTGGGGGAATTGTGCCCGGAGGCATCCACAGACCAGGCAAAATTGTTGACTTGGCTCTTCCCCCCACTTCTGCTTTACCTCCTGTGCCTGCCCCTCTCCTGGCAGCTGTACCCAGGAGCTGGGAAGGGGGAGGGCCACCAAAAGAGGGATCCCCAGGGAGCAGGAAGGCCCAGGGCACAGTAGCTGCTGTGTGGGGCCAGGAAGGTGCCTGCATGTTGCCACCAGGAGCTGAGCTCATGAGGCCACCTACCAGGGCTCCAGGTGGGCGGATGACTGGCCCGTGGGGTTTTTGTTCATCACAGGTGGCTGATTTGGACTTTCCCCCCATGTCTGACAAGAACCCTGAACCACCCGCTGGGGTCAAGTGCTGCCAGATGTGCTGTGGGCCCTTCCTGCTGGAGACACCGTCCGAGTACCTGGAGGTCGTCCGGGAGAACCATGGGCTGCTGCCGCCCCTCTACAAGTCCGTCAAAACGTACACGGTGTGAGCCCGCCCCCTGGCTCAGCCTCACCGAACTGCCAACTGGACGCTTTGGGTGGGGTGCTGCCCGCCACCCAGCGAGAGGGGTTCATGTGTGCGGGGCCGTCTGCCCTGGCCGGCCAGCCATCTGTACAGCCCAGCCGCTGCCACAGCCCCTCAGTCACACCCCCCGCCGGCCATCTGTCCACCTGTGCAGCCCAGCGGCTGCCACAGCCCCTCAGTCACACCCCCCACCGGCCATCTGTCCACCTGTGCAGCCCAGCCGCTGCTGTGGCCCCTCTCACCTTGGAAGAGGCCCCTGACGTGGTCCCTCCTCTCTCCAGGTGAGCCTGGCTGTCCCTCACCCAGTCCTGCCGTGTTGGCATGTCTGCTGGCCATCTGGGGTTCGAGCTTTCCTCCCCCAGCCAGCCTGTCCGGGTCGGAAAGCTGGAGGAAGGTCACAGACGGTTAGGGATGCATCACAGAAAGTCATGCTTAGAGACAGAGGGGCAGGCGCGCACACACCCATCACGCAGACATCTCAACAGATTCCCTCGGCATCAGTTTGGTCACTTGCTGGGACAAACCCTGAATTTGAACTAAGATGAAATCTGACCTTCTCGACTTGGCCCCAAATAGCTCCTGGGCCTGGGCCTGGTCTGTCCCTTTGTGAACTGTCCCTGCAGCGACCTGGTCTCATTTGAAGGACGCCTGTTAGCTGGGGGCTGGGTGGGGGCAGGACTATTGGTGAGTGCAAAGTGCTTTATGAAAGCACCTTCTTTTCTTGAGACCCTGTTAACATCCACTGAAGAAAAGGCCTTGAAGCAAAAGAGAGTTGAGCAGGTGGGGACTTGGGAAGGTGGTCTTGCCAACCAGCTGCCCCCAGAGGGGCCTTGAGAGGGAAGAGGCAGGACTGGACCAGCCCGAGCCTGGGGGAACCAAGCCCATTCCTGTCCCCTGGGGCCCAGTGGCTGGGGCAGGCAGAGCAGGTGGGGGGAGCAGGTTATGGGTGCAGAGGAGACACAGGCCCCAGCCAACTGTGCAAGGGGTGCCGGGAGCAACCTGGGCCTTCTGGTGGGGGGGGGGGGCAGGGCATGGGGGCCGAGCTCTGTTGCTATACTTGTTTGCTCTCAGACTCATTCTCATGAAACACTGCCATTATTGCTGAATAAAGCTTGTGTACTCTGAGTATAGCTAAGATACGCTGGGTGGCCCCACGGCTCTTTCTGTTCCATGCCTGGACGTTTGAGTGGTTCTCGGCCACCGCAGGACGTCCCTGGTGTGTCCTCTGGTGGAGTGGACTGACGGGGCTGCTGTCTGGGGCCTCAGACCCAGTCAGCAAGGCCCAAATTGCTGCTTGGTCTGCATCACGGACCAATCAGACTCTGGCGAGGGTCTCTTGGCGGCGCCCCCTGGTGACCAACGTGCAGCCAGATCTGACACCCAGCAGACGAGATCAGAGTGGGAATTGCCAAGCCAGGGCACCTGTTGAAAATGCCCATCCCTGGGCCCATCCCACACCTGATTCAGCACCGGGGGAGGGGTCGGCCACCTGTTTCCATAGCCCTCGGGATCCCAGTGCATCGCCAAGTGTGAGAACCCGCCGTCTCCAGCAGGGCTTCTGGGACTTGGACGTAGGTGAAAACCGCAGGAGGTCTCGTTCGATGACAAGGTCTCTCTCGGGACAGCTGGAGTGGGGCCTGAGACTCTGACTTCTAACGAGCTTCCTGCTGATGTTGCTGGTCTCAGGACCACACTTTGAAAACGTCTGGGTCTACGCCCTTCCTGAGCTCTTTTTCTTCTGTGAGAGGTTTGGGAAAAAGCTTCCTTCCTTCCTTCCTTCCTTCCTTCCTTCCTTCCTTCCTTCCTTCCTTCCTTCCTTCCTTCCTTCCTTCCTTCCTTCCTTCCTTCCTTCCTTCCTTCCTTCTCCTCCTCCTCCTCCTCCTCCTTCTTCTTCTTCTTCTCCTCCTCCTCCCCCTCCTCCCCCCTTCTCCTCCTCCTTCTCCCTCTTCTTCCTCACCCAAGGATAGTTTGGCCATTGATTTTTAGAGTGAAAAGGGAAGACTGAGAGAGATAGAAACAGCGATGGGAGACACATCAATTGTTTGGCTCCCACATGCGCCAGACCCAGCCAGGGATCGAACCTGCAGCACAGGCACGTGCCCTTGACCAGGAATGGAACCTGAGACCCTTCCGTGTGCAGGCTGATGCTCTAACCACTGAGCAACACCGGCCAGGGCTAATTTTTTTCTTAACTGCCTTTGCTCTCCTGCCACCCACAGCACCCAGCACCCAGTGAGTGTGCCCAAGCTGGACACGGGTGGGAATGGACCCTGCCCCCACCCCATGCTGTACCACTCTGGGAAACCCCACTTTGAATGGGCAAAGCCATTTAGGGAACTTTCTGGGACTTCAGCATCATTGGCACAAGGGACAGATGCTGCCATACACGCCCTTCCTGTGCCCCCCCCCTGCCCCGTGGTCAGCTGTCAGCCCCCAGGAGGCAGGGGCACACGGCTTTGTTGCACCTCACTTTATTGTGCTTCGCAAATGTTGCGATTTTTACAAACGGAAGACGAGACCCTTCACCAGCGAAAGGTTACAGCTCAGTTCACTGTGGTGCTCTGGAACCACACCCGCACTGCACCTGTTAGTCGGCCCGGCAGCCTTAACGAAGGACCACGGGCGGTTCCTTAAACAACAGAAATCTGTTTAGTCCTGGAGTCTGGAAGTCCAGGGTCAAGGTGCCCACAGGGCGGGTTCCCTCTGAGGCCTCGCTCCTTGGCGTGTAGACGCCGCCTTCTCCCTGCGTCCCCACGTGGTCGCCCCTGTGTCCTAACCTCCTCTTATAAAGACACCAGTCAGATTGGACCGGGACCACCCTAATGGCCTTGTTTTAACGTGATCATCTCTTTAAAGGATCTGAGGTGCTGGGGGCGAGGATTTCAACATACGCATCTCAGAGGGGCACAGTTCAGCTCACGGCACTTTGACTTCAGGCGTCTGGCCCCAGGACGCGGAGGGGATGGGGTGTTTGCTGCCACCCAGTTTGTGGTGTTTGTTTCGGGGGCTACAGGAAGCACATCAGCTTTCCCCGTGTCTGCTTTGGGAGCTCTGTTTGTCACAGTCACATCCATCCAACAGGAAGCCCTTCCAACCAGATCCTGCATCCAACCACGTCTGGTCTCCGCAGCCCTGTACCCCCAGTGCGGGGCCTTCCTATCCCACCGTCCTCTCACACACACCCCCCCCCCCAGTGTCCTCAGAACACCAGGACCACGTCTTCCTCCGCCCAAACCCTTGATCAGCTCCCGGCTCAGAGCCCTTCCAGCGGCCCCAAGGCCTGCATGACCTGACCCTCGGACCTTGATGACCTCATCCACCGCTGCTCACCCCTATGGCTCTGTCATCCTTAGGGCTTTGCTCTTCCCTACTCATGCATGGGGCTCCCTCCTCACCTCCTTCATGTCTTCTCAAATGTCACCTTCGCAGTGAGGCTGTCCTCAGCACCCTCACCTCCCATACCCTGCGTTCCCCACCCCTAAACCCACTGATCACCTTCCAACATGCTATTACTTTTACTAATTTATTTATTCAATCTTTTTCCCTCCATAGAATAAAAACAAGAAGGGTCTTTGCCTACTGTGTTCACTATTTCTAGTTTCAGCACCTAGAACAATGCCTGGCACATAGTAGATGCTCATTAAATATCATCAAGGAAAGGACGGTGAAAAATCCCCCCCCCCCCCGAAAAACTCATGTCTCCACAATATCTAGAATTTAAGAGAGGAAAGAGAAGATTCTAAAGAAAGGGTTCAATGTCTCCCCAGATTATGCAAAAGGCCAAATGGCTTGGAAGCCCTCATTTGGGTTGCGTGGTGATGTCCAGGTGACAGGGAGCAGAGTTCTTCCCACCTTTACCCTGGAGAGAGGGACTGTTGTCTGGGGGGTCCTTCCCTGCCCAGAGGACTTGGAACTGTCCCAAAGTATGATGATGTTTCAGAAATAGGCTCTGAAGCCTCTCCATCATCCAGGCAGTTTCTGAGGAGCCTTGTTCCAATTGAGGGGGGCCATCAGAAGGGGGGGGCAGCCGGAGTGTGAAAGGTGTGCCAGGGGCCGAAGAAGCAGCTGGCCAGAGAGCTGAGGAGGAGCTCTTATCCTGGGGTGCCTGATCCCCCAGGTGTCCACAGAGAGAATTCATGAACTTTCATGGGAGAAATTACATCTTCAAGGTTACAAACCTTTAGTCAAACAGTGGCATCGTCTTTCACCAGAAATATAGGTAAAGATCAGTGGTGTCCTTAGCAGTTGCTATGACTTCGCCATTGGTAGAAATCAGGAATGTTTTCCCAGCCCATTCGAATTGCTGGGGATCTCTCATAATATCATCTATGCTGATTGCATCTGCAAAATTACAGTTCTATTGACCTGCCACTGGATCTTATCTCATTAAGCTGTTTTGATACCCATATTTCAGTATAATTGGTTTCCTTTATAATTCTATTGTTTTATATTATGAAAACATTATTCTGAGGGCTTGATCCAACTAGAGAGGTGCTTGTGGTAACCAGGCCCCTGTACCTGTTCCCTAGAGAGGGCTTCAGGGACACGGATGACTGAGGGCTCTGCTGTCTTCTGGCCGTAGGAAAGGATCCTTCCGGGGATCCTTCTGGGAGACCAGGTGCCAGCCCCCGACAGGCTGTCTGCCTGCAGCGCCCAGTGTGACCAGCAGGTGGCCGCCCTGCCTGGCCATGCTTCCAGCAGTCTCTTACCAGAGGTAGTGGGTGGGCGCCACAGGGGGACAGCGGGGACGTGGATGGCAAGCATGTCGGGCACATGTCAATCATGAGAGTCATGTGCTGAGTCAGTATTTTGGAGACTGTGGTCAGCAAAAAGCCCTTGGTGCAGCGGCCTTGCCAGAGGGGATGTGAGCTTTGCTTCTCTTTCCATTTTCTTCTCCCCAAAGCCCCAGTGTACTTCCAGGAACGGGCAGCAGAGGGTGCCATCGGCTTTTCCGAGAGGAACCCAGTGGCAGAGAAAAGACTGGAAGGCCAGGCTTCCCTTCCGACTCAGCTGCTCCCACTCTGACTGTAGTTTCGGACCAATCCCCTCACTCCAGGTCCCCAGTGAGCGTCTGACTGGGCACCAGGCCACTCCTAGCCTGATCCTGCAGGAGGCTGGCGTGGGATGGGGCTGGGGGCAGGCACCACATCGTCTCTCAAACAGAAACCCAGTTCTGGCCCTAAGCAGAGGCCAGGTCAGCTCGCTCTCCTGCTCAAAACCCTCAGCACCTCCGCATCACCTTTATCATCAGGTCCAACCTCTTCGTTTGATGTTCCAGTTACTCCCACGTATACCTCCAGCCTTCTGTGCATCGAAGTCACCCTTGGCCAGGACCCAGGTGGTCTGATCACACCCCGTTGCCCTCAGGGCTCACCATTCATTCATGCATTCATTCAGCAAATGTCCCCGTGCCAAGTGCCAAAGTGCAGCCACAAACAAGGTGAAGCCTCTTGGGGCTCCCTGTCCTGTGGATGACTGAGCCCGAGCCAAGAACCACGGAAACAGCCACCAACGGTCAGGGGCCGCGCTCTTGCTTCTTGGCTGCTCTCCTTCTCCTTCTGCCGGGAGAATGAGCCTGAAATCTGGCTGGGGCCCAGCACAGGGCCTGGGCAGAAGAGGCTGCGTCCTGACTCAGGCCAGACCACAGCAATGAGCGTTCTGGCAGGAAACCACGAGGCTTCCCCAGGCTTGAGCCTCCCACGGAGCCGCCTGCGGGCTCGGAGCTGCAGGGGACAAACACAGCAGCAAACACCCCAGCAGGCGCCTTGGCGGGGCTGCCACCGTGGCTCTCCCCGTGGCGATGCACGTGCTCCTCCAGCTTTTAACAGTTACTAGGAAAAAGGTCGATGCCTGTGGTCTATTTATTCCTCTGTTTCGCTATGGACGCCATGAACATTCTTGCTATTTTCAGATTCCACCGGTTAATGAGAACAGTGGTGCCCGAGACCTGTGCTCCCAGAAAACAGTGGTTCAAAAGAACCTTTGTAGT